CTCTCCAGTGCACACCTTACGGTTTCCTTCGCGTATTACTTGAATGGATAGGCAATCCCAGCAGGAATGAGGTATCGTACTTATATGCAGGCGCACTAAACTTTGCGACGTCAGTGCGAGTGCGTAAAGGTATCGCCACGCCTTGACGGCTCCGACTTCCGCCGTCTCTGGCTTTTGTTTTTGCATCCGAAGCGCGGAAATCTGGAGGTGTAACTAGTTCGATGAAAACCTAGCAAATGTGTGTCTTCACATGCCACTTGGTGTGCTGCAAAAGCCGATGAGCACTGCTATAGGAGCTTTTGAAAATATCCACTCAATACTACGGATTTGCGCATAAAGGCACAGATCCAGTTCATAGTTATAAGATCATAGATATCCTGATCAACTTGCCGTTGCAGTTAAGCTGTGGCATTAGCAACTACAAAAAGCATGCAGGTGCACTGGAGATTTTGAGTGCGCGTGTAACAGTTTTGTGTTTGCTAGCTGGATGTTTGGTTACTTGCGGCATCTGTAAAGTTCGATATTGAGTACACTGCCGATCAGCGCATTTGTATGCGTAATTTGCCAATATGAAGCATCAGGAGCTCTTGTCTCACAGTATTCTTTTCAAGACGTCAGCGTTAGCACATGTGAGCCACCGTTCGTCCGTTTTCAACACCAACACCAGGTTTGCCCCTAACGCACTGGGCGAATCCTGCGCTTTTCAACAGATAATCCATATGACTTTTAGTCTCCTCTTCATGCTGTGGGAGCTTCTGATAGTGCGCAACATAGCTTGGGCCAGCCCCAGAGATTAACAGGCTGCCCCAGGGATTAGTTTAATAAGATCTGCTGCAGGTAGCCACCCTAGTGGCAGCTCATCATTACTTACCACGTTCGCGAGCTTTCTGATAGCCGGATAGTCCTACTATTCCTTCCTTTAAGGTTCAATAGAATCTTTTAAAACTAGGCCTCTTTCAAAGCCCCATGGACTCGATACAAGCTCAGTGCCCCCTTTTCTCAGTGCGCTGCTGAATCCCCCTCATTGAAAATCTGGCTCAACTCGTTGAAGCACTGCCGCTAAGCCCCTCCACCACATATGAGATAAGCATTGTTGAGAAGATCAGGCGGTTGTTCCAAACGCCTTCAGGCACACCAACCTCCACGACACAAAACTGTGGCCGCATGCGCGCCTTCCATTGGACCACTATCATTCATGGCCTATGTAGGATGCCATCACGATAAGCGATCCCAACCTAGAAGTCACACACCATGCTGATAGGACCCAATTCCTTTTGAAGTAACAGTTGAGTGTCGTAGTCTTGCGGACCCTTGCTTCCTGCCGCCCATCAGCAATCCGAAGTCATTGTGACTGCGCTCACGAGTGGAACGCCATGTTACACTTTTGCGCCTCCTCCCTGAATAACAAATCCATTTAAGATCCAATGCTATGTGACCTGGCCAGTTCTTTACCAGCAAGTTGTTTGTATGAGCTCTGAATTGACCCGTTGTGCTTCACCACATGCGACTCAATCCTCTGTAGACCCCTTCACTGGGCTGCAGGCGGCAGTGAGGTGAATTCCATTTCCCTGATGAGCTTCTTGGCTGCCAAGGCTTCCGCTGGAACCAGTCCCTTTGGTCAGTGTTCTATGGCCTTCTGCATGCGGTGCAGTTCCGCATTATTTGGGTCAATTGCTCACAATAGAATTAATTACAGTGTTAGGGTGCGTTGTGGCTGCGTTGGGGGGCAGGCTTTATCTGGCTTTTCTCGTTCACCGTACACTGCAGGCTAGGGTTGGTTGACACACTCTCCGTATCTCTGTGTTCTCCACTTAGAACTGCGTCTTCTGTGTCAGCTAAAAACGCAGGGATTGCGCTCATTTGCCTCAGAAGTCCCACGGAGTCCAGTAATTGTGGACGCCCCACCAGTCGGTTTTTCAGTAGCTGAGTCGCTGCCTATTTTGCGACCGCTTGGCATGACATTTTGTTCGAGTCTAGATAAGCCACTGATACAGTAGCTGTTCTCCTACATTGTGCTTTTGTAAGCCAAAGCTTTGCAGCATTCACTATACCAATCTGTTGATTGATTTTCTGTTTCAGCTTTTTCAATCCTCCTACGGCTTGCCATTTTTCGGATATCGGTAAAGTTGATGTGTCACGGTTGGTATAATGGCTTATCTTGTCGCAGTCCCTGCAGGTAGACGCCTTCCTCTACATGTACAGAGCTCTCAAGAAAGTGGTGATCCATCCAATAAAGACTGCGGGAGTAGCACTTATATTTCTTCTTCAAGTAGGGAGCCAAGCGAGACACATCTTCAACCGGCTGATGATCTTCGAGTACTTACCCATCGCTACATCAGTAATACTTTTCTGGTCAGCATCTCCTCCTCAGTAAAGTCAATAACCTTTTGTCGGGTGACAAATCATGCGTTCTTAGCAGCTTAAGAGATTCTGCGTCCACAGCAGCGTGCACGCCGCACTCTGCTTTCCTAACAGGTTCACCAAGCCTTCCTCCACGTTGTTGTCAGCTAAAATAATCCTTTTGAACTCTCGAATGACTTGCCGAGCCAGACACCTGCTGTGTGGAAATGCGACATCCCACTTCATCCAGTCAGCGGATGAGTGGGACCAGCTCTATTGAGCTAGGTGGTGCTACCGACGGTAAAGCTGAGCTAAGCTGTCCGGAGAGGATCGCTTAACTTTGGACCCATTACGAATTTGATAGGATGTTATTGAAACTTTACCAAGACTGCTTCTGTTTTCCCCTTCCTTCGTCTTTCAGAGTTTTTGATGTGAGGGGAAGAGGGGGGACAGCTACTGTGCGCGTAGCTGCACCTCAAAGCATTCCACGCATTCAGAGTACATAGCACACTGCACCTTGTGCAGACGCACAAAAAGTTCAGTCTAACCGTATTGATCTAGCGTTACCATGCAATAGATAAGATGCCAAAAGAACAAGTCTATATCGTCACTAGCTTACTACTTAATCGAATATGACAAGTGTAGAAGAAATACGGAAGCGTAGCTTTGCCATCTACTACAAGATACTTTTGCGTCAAGGCCGAAATCTCTCGAAACAGTATTCGTTCACGCTTAGACATACGTGTGAGGCTGGGAATCCAACGAGCAGCATTGGTGGCAGCGGCCCTGTAAAGTGTGTGCTTTGGTTATGCCTACCGTGCGTTCTGGTAGGACTATCGCCACGAGCTGTCCTGGCTTCACCTGCAGCTCAACAGGCGCTCCCTTGAGTGCCCGTTCCCCTAGGTGGCATCTCCCTTTGCGTGGGCGTTACGATCTCTAAATTTTAGGGTCTATGAGTTCTGCCCTTGTTCCATTTTACCTGCTCACGCCAAACTGAAGGCTGCCCAGTATTTCCATCACCTCGGGCAGCAGTTGAGGCAGTTGGGTACTGCAACCGTGGAAAACCCGACTGGCAGCCTGCTCTACTCTACAATATTTGAAGGCTGCGCCTTTATGCTCTACTTTAAGATGACTGCTCATAACAAACTCATACAAGGGTACATAACGCCCTTTGCTGCGTTGCTGCAGCGATACCCCGCATCACCCGTACACGGTGCTGCATCTTCAGTCTTAGGTTTGCCACTGTGCGCAGAACTCCCTTCGAGTCTTCGGTGTCCATCGTCAATTCTGTGGCTCTCTGTGCCGGGAATAGGCAATCGACATGCACTGTTGAGGAGAGTTGATTGCCGGTTGCACGGTTGCTACTTCAGCCCGGGGTGTACAGCTGGCAGGCTTGAGGAAGCGGCACAGAAAAGCGCTCGCATTGCGCACAAATTTGCAACGCAGCGTATCTGCAAGCAGTAGCACTGCGAAGCGTACAGTTCTACTCATGCGAAATAAAGGTGGCTGCTTTCCGCGAGCAGACAGAGCGACTGCAGTCGTCGGTGGTGGCTAGTGGTGGCAGGCGCCATCCTGCACCCCATAGAAATCGCTGCACGCGGGGTAAAGGGAAGAGGCAGCCAGGAAGAAAGCAAAAGAGGGAAAGAACTGGGGGGTTGGGTGAGGAGGAAGGGGGTTGTAGGGAAGCAAGCAGCTGTCGAGAGAGAGTGGACAAACTGAGAAGCGCCGCACGAAGATTCGAGACAAGGCCGAGGGGGCCCTTCCCCACTAGGAAGTATCTACTACGACCCCCTCCCAGCTTTTCGTGTGCCTCATCAAGCTCTTGAATCCCATGCATCCTGGTTTTTTTCCTACTTCTAAAGGATTTCAAGCTTTATTACATGGGGAACGTTCAAACAAGGGGGAAACAGACAAGGTGTGTGCCCCCCCGCCAGCCAGCGAGTCCTTATACTGCCCGTACTGCAGCACGGGCTTCCAGGCTCCTCAATTTTCGAGCCTGCTCAAAGGAGTTCGTTTTTAAAAATGTGTTTCTTGCCTTCTTCTTGCCAATTAGTAACAGGTTTCCGAATGTGACTGCCGGTGGAGGCAATTCGGTGCTCCTAGTAAGCACTGGGATCTCGCGCTGCTCGCTGCCTCGCAAAAGAGAGCCAACAAGGGGTTGTTCAGCACGAAAGACACAGGAAAACTGCCTGGCTGTGCTGCGGAGGAACCGCCAGAAGGGCGGAGCGCCTTTGCTCCTCCCTCCTTCTGTCTGTATGCACTTCGCGGCATGCGGAGGCCTCCCCCGATGGGAGGGCGCTGCGCACCTCCTGCATCACCGTGTTCGCTCTCCCTCCTGCGCACCGACCGTCGCTACAGCTCGGAGAGGAGGGGGCTGAAGGGCTGCCGTCTGCGGCGGCTGCTGCTGGCAGTAGCGCTGCACTGCATTCTCTGCGCACACCTGCGCCTCGCTGCCGCAGTGGCCTCTCCGTGCCTGCACAGAGGAGCTGGCTCTTGTTGTTGCAGCGCAAAAAAACCCAGCACCCCTCTTGCTCGGAGGCCCTTCTCTCTCAAGGCTGCAACTCCGCTTCCGCCCGCCTTCCTGCAACCTGCACGGCTGCAGCCGCTGCTGGCAGCTGCCAGCCGCCCCCCACAGATCTCCACGTTTGCGACCACCCCTAATGAGCGCTTCGGAGGGCAGGCTGCCTCACTGCGTCCTTCAAACTTCACAAGTGGCAGCAGGCTCATTCAAGCCGCAGCCATCACCCACTGCCCAAGCACCAGCCAACTGGGATCTGGCAACAGCAGCCCATGTTGGAGGCTTTGGAAAGCGGGAGGAGCGCACACTTCAAAAGGCCCTTGGAGATGGCTCTGCTCGGGTGCGATAACAGCAACAGCAGCGGCCAAATCGGCAGCCTCCCGTGCGGCTTCTGCTGCCACTGCTGCAGGTCGCCTGCTGATGAGCGTCGCAGGGGCATCTGCTTTAAGGGACAGCTTTCTACTCCAGCTGGTCGTAACGGGGTGTCTGTACACCGCCCATCTGCTCCTCGTTTCGCCCCACGTAGTGCTGCTGCCGCCACTGCTGCACCGTCTGCTGCAGACGGAGGCGCTGCATGCGGACACCGTTGCCGGCCTGGCTGCGGTTGCTCTTGGCGCTGCAGTGTTGCTACAGCAGCGAAGGCAGCAGAAGCAGCAGCAGCAGCCGCATGAGAAAGGGCAAACGCTCTTGCCGTGGACGGTGCGCGACTGTCATGCCTCCCCCTTATAGTGCACCTCGCCCCCCTCCTTCTGCGCTGTTCGCCTCCCGACAACTCGTTTTTTTCCTGCTGCCGCTGCTGCTGCTGCTGCGGTTGCTGCTCGTTCCTCCTGGCGTGTCCCCTTGCTGCCGTGAGGCTCGCTGCGCATCGCTAAGGCTGCTACTCAAAGCTGCTACTTCTGCACAGGAGACGCAGTCTCTTCCTTGCCTGTGTGACGTTGCCGGGCACTTGCGCAGTTGGTCAGGCTTGCCCCTTGCGCCTCTGCGCATGCGCTGCAGGAGCCTAAAGAGAGCATTGCCCGGTGTCTCGGTGTGGCGGCTGCCCTCCTTCTCTTCTTTTCTGTTTCTGGTCATGTGGCTGCAGCAGTTGAGTTGGTGTTGGCTATCGCGGCAGCCGCGGGTGTCTGTACACCGCAGGCGGACATCCACAGAGCTCTCCAGGTGTCGTGAAGCCGCTGCTGCTGCCGCTGCTTATCCTTTCGCGGGCGCGCTGTCTTGTGTTTTGGCCGTCTAAGAACTGCACGAAAAATCGTTCCTAAGCCTCCTGAGCGCTTTTTTGCTGCTGCAGATCCTGCTGGGGCATCTGGCGTGGGTAGGGGCGGGAACCGTGGTGCTGCGTGGCGCCCTTCCCTCCTTCAGAAAGTCTTCCAGCAAAGCCTCTGAGTCACGAAGGGCAGTCTTGCAACGGGCAGCAGCGGCGACTGTGGCTGCAGAAGCGGCTGCAGAAGCGGCTGCAGAAGCTGCTGCAGAAGCTGTCGAAATTACGGCGAAGGGCGCAGAAGCGCCCCTGCAGCCAGAGGCATACGAGAAGGCTGCCAAAGAGGCCTTGCATGCCTTGGAAACGCTGCAACAGCTCATGGGCTGTGAACGGCAGCAACCCTCGCAGTTGCCTCGGCCCCAAGAACTGCCGAAGGGGCCCCCCTCATTGTCGCCAATGAGAACGTTTCCAGCAGCGAGCATCATTCCAAAGGCGGGAAGTCCAATAGAGAGCTTCCCTCTTCGGCACGCGGCTTTCCCTTCCCCTGCAGCAGCAGCTGCTGCAGGAGCAGCAGCAGCTCCACCAGCAGCACCTGCAGACTCTGCAGCAGCCGACGCAGGGAATGCGTGGGCAGCAGTCGAGCAGAAACTCTCCAGCATCCGCAGGGCCGCTGCTGTCCTCGTAGGACGCCTGAGACAGCAGCGGGAGCAGCAGCAGCAGCAGCAGCAGCCGCCGCAGCGGCAGAGAGACCAGGCGCATCTTCTCCGGAAACTGGCAGCTGTTTGCAGTGCGCTGAAGCGGCGCTTCTCCTTGGTTGGGGAGCGCCTTTCCTTCCTGCGGCAGCAGGGAGAGCAGCAGCCTGAGCGGCTGCCGCCTTATTGGTACAGCTGCCCTGTGCGCGGGCGAAGGCGGGGGGGCCTATGGGTTTGGTGGGCTCTTCTGGGGTACTGTGCGTCTTGCCTTTGCTTCAACATCGCGGAGTGTATCAACACTGCTGTTCTTGCTGCAGTTGCAGCCCCCAGAAAACCAGTAAGTTGGCGGGATAGCCGGCTGGGGCCCCTTATTTTGACTCGGCGGTGACCCCCCCTTTAACAGGCGCTGGCTGTTTCCCGAGGCTGTCGCAGCGTGCGTTTCGATTCCAGTGTAGCTCTCGCTCACGTCGTTTGGCGTCCACTTCTGCGCTTGGTCTGCTCACCAGGTAGAGGAGTCCTTAGTGCATGCACTGACGGACCCGAGCAACAACTCCGCCGCAGCTTTGCTGCTGGCAGCGGCAGCGCCTTGCGTTTCTGCGCCTCCCTGGGAGGAGCTCGTCTACAGGGGGTTTTGCCTGCCGCTCCTCGGGCGGTACATTTCGCTTCCCGGTGCCATCGCTGCCTCCTCATTCTTATTCTCCCTCCACCACATGAGCCTAGAAACGCTGCTGCCCCTGTGGGCCCTCGGCGCCGCGTGGTGCGGGGTGTACATACACTCCGGCTCGCTCACGGTGCCCATTGCAATCCACGCCATGTGGAACAGCCGGGTCTTTCTCAGCAGCTTGCTGCACTTGTAAGCAGCAGCAACACTGTCAACCCCGCAAGGCCGTGGCCGTTTGCTGGTGTATCTATCGCTCTGTGGTCTCACCAAGCGCGCCGCCTGTCTCTGTACCGGCTGCATTCCGATGCCCAAAACTTGTATTGCGGTTTCGCGCCGGCCCCTCACAGCAGCCCCTTCGGGGCTGTCGCCTTCCAGCTTTGTTTGGCTGCTGCACCTACGCATGCCTCCATCTATTCGCTCGTCACTGCGTATACTTGCGCCCGTGTGAGCGTCTGCCGCCCCTATGTGCTTTCTTCATGGAGATCGAAGGCCATTGGATTATCTGCGCTTTCTGGATCTACGCGTACACACGGCTCTCTTACGCTTCTGTGGACGCTTCTTCAGCGACCAAAGGCGGTTGCCTGTTCCCGTGTCACTCCTCTTGCAGTGATGTCTCACTCAGGGGTTCATCTGGCCCCCTCTGTACTCTGAGTATCTGCCCAACTATTTCTAGCTCCACACCTCTATTACCGTATTTAAAGATACCCCCTCCCCTTCCCCTCCCCCCGGCACGTAACGCTTCAGAACATACCCGCACGCAAGCAGCTACTACTACGCAGATGCCCACACGCAACACTTCTTTAAAATCAGAGCAAAGAGAGACAATCCTTGCAGGGCGGAATCCTTTCTAGGACTTCCTTCCGTGCATGTGTGCACTCCTCTGTCAGCACAAAACGATCCAGATATTGTTCGTATGCGACGACACAGGGGCACGCAGCAATGCCACCAGTGGTCCCCTCCCTTCAGCCCCTAAACCGCCTTGCCAGACCCCCGTCTGCGCAGGAGCAGCTGGTGCAGCTGCAACTATTGTTGTGTGCACTCTGTAGGTTGCGTCATAAGGATGACTGTGAAAGCAGTTAGCAGCCAACCGTTCGGTAAACCATGCTGCGTGTAAGACTCCTTTCTAAAGCCCCATCCTTCCAACTCTGGTGCTGCCAGTGAAAATGTCCCGCTATGACGTAGCAAGTATTGCAGCTGCGCTTTATCGTGAAGGTAGGCGATGCCTGCCAGCAGCGGTTTCACAGTGGCGCTTCTTCGGAACCATGAACCTAAGCGCCTAGGGGCTGCGTGGCTACATCAAGAATGTTAATGGAGGCTGCGGGTAGGAAAGAACCATGGGAGGCGTGTCCACAACAGTCACAGCATACTTTGGAGGGGGCTTCACAAGGACCTGCAAGGGGGGCTGCTGCACTACACAGACTGAAGGCTGCGGCATCACCACCACCGGAACTGGGGAAGTATACACAGGGATACAAATCGGAGCAGAAATGTAATAACCCATTTTGAAATACCGAAAAAAATACCAAAGAAAGCACCGAGGAAATGAAAAAGTGTGTAGTGTGAGGGGAGGAGGTTGAACAGCCTTGACAAGAATCGGCGATCGATTGCCTTCCGCTACAAATGCTGCCGGCGCGATTTGGCGTTGCAGTGCCCGTGCTGTCTATCTGTTGCTTGCGCACGTAGACGTCGGAATGTAGGCAAAATAATGCTGGAAGAAAACACCAAGAACAACAAAAAGTAATCTGCTTGAGTTGATTCTATGGCAGATGCGCTTTCTGTTGCGCGGCTCCTGCCACTGCTATTGCTGCTGCTGCTGCTCGCATCGGATGAGGACGAGGACAGCGTCCAAGACTCCCGCATGAAGAAGAGAGGAAAATCAGCAGAAAAACGGCTGCGCCACCTTTTAAATGCTTCAAAAGGTTCATGAATAAAGTGCTTTCTCTGTCGCTGCAGCCAGTGTTGGCACTGTTGCTGTAATGACCGCTGGCAAGGCACTGAACTGCTGCAGCGGCTGGCTGTTAGGATGATGCCACACGCCGTCAGCAGCAGCGGGAGCGCTACTACTGCTGCATGCATGCAGAGAGAGGCCCGTATCCGCGAAGTTTGTTGCTGCTGTCTGTCTCCGCACTTGAAATAGTAGCATTCCTTTTTTCCGTGTTCCTCCAGCATTCTCAGTAGGGCCAGCAGGCGCCGGAGTGGCAGCAGCAGCAGCAGCAGTAGCAGCAGCAGCAGCACCGTCATTCTTCGAGCGCACGTGATCCTCTGCCGCTGCGGCTGCCCTGTCCCTTCCCTAGTTGCCTGTAGCTGCGGATTCAGCAGCAGCAGCAGCTCTACACTGCACCATCATGCAGGTGCTCTTGTAGGCCACCTACACAGCAGACAGCAGCCTCCCGACACGGGGTTGCATCCCGCCTACAGCGGCAGCCTGATCTTATCGGGAGAGAAGGCTCCTGTCCATAAAGGCGTTGCAGTCAGCTTCTTGCTGCCGCTGCATCGATGTCTATAGGCTGAAACGCCGGATACAGCAGTCGGGAGCAGAGGCAGCAGGGCCACACGGCGTGCAGCGTAGCGACACCCCAGCACAGCATAACGTCTTGAACGGCACACACACACAGAACTCGGCGTGCAAAACAGCTGTAGCGAGAGCCACGTACAATGGAAGAAACTCAGCTTTTGTCGGCCTTGGCTTCCCTCTTCTCCCCCACAGATCCCACGACTCAGAGACAGGCGTATGTCACATCCTTTCGAGATAAGGGCACGAGGAGGGGTGATGTCGGCGCTAAGGAGTGTCTGAAGGGCTCCATAGGTTTGGGCACATAAATAGAGAGAGCTGACAACCCTGCACCTTCTGCGCTGAGTTGAAAGCCTGCAGATTCTCATCCATCGTCGCATGCAGTGCTACAAAACAACTTGGTCTTGTACCGCAAAACAGCCGTGGGAAGCGTACAGTGGTGGGGGCCAGAACTGTAAGGGCTGAGGTCTTTTTCTACGTGTATACATGTGTATATATATGTATGTTTACACGTAAATTTATGTGTGCATGTATATGTGCATTTATCTGTATATGTATATATATTTATATGATCTATATATATGTATATATATTTACATGTATATATATGTGTATATGTGTATATGTGTGTGTATATATATGTACATTTATATGTAATCTGTATATATGTATGTATGAGATGTTGGCAGCCTCCGCATGTTTTGCGCTGTGCAGGGACGAGTGGTTAAGAGGGTGGCAGCAGTCTGTGGGAGCTTGGGAGGCTTCTCTGGAGCTTTTGGCCTTAAGGGAACCTCCCCTCAGTGACGATGTAAGCGCTGAGGTGTTGCGGAGAGGCGTGTTCGATACCTCATCGCGCAGTAGTAGTAGTAATCGGCATCATAATGCCTCGTAGCAGCCTTCGCTGCAACTCTTCTTTCCACGCCCGCCCTTCACGTGCTTTGCGCTGCTTCTTGCTCTTAACGTTTGCAGCGTTTTGCGCTTCGAGTGCTTTGCTTTATGCAGGTGGTGTGCTTCGCGGCTCAGACACTGCGGACGAAGTGTTTGTTTGATTTGTATCAGCTGCCTCCAGAGGCTCCTGTTGCTCTCATCTGCAGGATTGCGGCAGCCCTTAAGCAGCACCATGCGAAGTAAGGCTGTCATGCGCAGTCTGTTGTATTGCTCCGTGTTGGAAAGAAGGCTCGCCGTAGCGTGTGGTGTAAGGGCAATCGCAGCCTTCTTCTTGTACACTTAGGTGAAGGGTATTTGTTTCGCGGCAAACGTGCGTTGGTGTGAGCAGCAGAGCTGCTGTCACGCAGCTGAGCTTGGCTCTGGCAGCTGTCTCTTTGTCACAGCAGCAAGACTCCCCCCTGGCGCTGCTGTTGCGAGCGTGTGGCTTGGACACGTTGCAGCCACAGCAGAACTCCGCAGATGCTCGGCTGCTGCTCCTCCTTCTCACCGTACGCCTTCCCGCGCATGCAACTTCTGGTGCATCCTTGGAAGGGATGCTCGCTGCTGTGTTTTGGGGGGTTCTAAAGCGGTCTTCTTCTTGCTTCCGTTGGAGCTGCTGTTTCGTTTGCCTCTCTGTATATGTGTATATATATGTGTATGTGTGTCTGTATGTGTATGTGTGTATGTGTCTGTATGTGTAGGTGTATGTGTATGTGCATGTGTATGTGCATGTCTATCTGTATGTGTATGTGCATGTATGTCTGTATGTGCAGGTGTATGTATGTCTGTATGTAAGTGTGTATGTATGTCTGTATGTAAGTGTGTATGTATGTGTAGATGTATGTGCATGTATATCTGTATGTTTATGTCTATGTGTATGTTTGTATGTATGTGTATGCCTATGTGTATGTTTGTATCTCGGTAGCGGCGCACATGACAGCCGCTGTGGGGGTACGCGCCTTTTAGGTGCTCATGGGTGTTTGTTTGTGTATTTGTTTGTGTGTTTGTTTGTGTGTATTTGTTTGTGTGTTTGTTTGTGTGTGTTCGTGTGTTCGTGTGCTTGTGTGTTTGTTTGTGTTTGTTTGTGTTTGTTTGTGTTTGTTTGTGTGTTTGTTTGTTTGTGTGTGTCTGTTTGTGTGTATTTGTTTGTGTGTATTTGTTTGTGTGTTTGTTTGTGTTTTTGAGTGTGTTTGTGTGTGTATTTGAGTGTGTTTGTGTGTGTATTTGTGTTTGTTTGTGTGTGTATTTGTGTTTGTTTGTGTGTTTGTGTGTATTTGTGTTTGTTTGTTTGTTTGTGTGTTTGTTTGTGTTTTTGTTTGTGTTTTTGTTTGTGTTTGTGTGTGTGTTTGTGTGTGTGTTTGTGTGTTTGTGTGTGTATTTGAGTGTGTTTGTGTTTTTTTGTGTTGGTTTGTGTGTGTGTGTTTGTGTGTTTGTACGTTTATGTGAAGGTGTGTGGCGGTGGCTTTGCTGCGTTTATTGCTGCAGCACTTGGGGGAAGAGGCGAGCAGCAGCGGCAGCGGAGCACCTCGCTGCTGCAATCACTTGGAAACGCTTGCTGGAGCAGCACCGCAAGTAAGGGGCAATCGCCTTTGATAGGCATACACTTGGCAAGCCTAATGCTCTGGTTCGGCAGCGGTTAAGGGGGGGGATTTTAAATATGTCTTCTCGCCTTTTGCGAGTCTGCAGCTGTGCAGTGCTTTGCCGAGGCTCTTTCCACCCAAAATGCTTTCCTCTCCTGGCCATGTGTGTCTGTGTGAATTGTTTCTTTTTACCGCCCCCGTGGTGTGAAGGCTTCCTCTGGCCTCAACCCCCCCCCTCCCGCAGTCTTTCTCTTGCTTTTTCTCTGCGTGTCACCCGTTCTTCAGGTTCTTCAGTTTGCTGTATCCATCCGCAAAAACGGATGCAAAAGTCTGAGCCTCAGTGTGCGTTTTTTCTTGAAGGCACTGTCCCTTTGAATCGCTTATAGCGCTATCAAGGTTTCTTTGCACCAGCTAGCGTTAAAAGCCCCCCTTTACTCGCTAGCTGGCCGTGTGCATCACGGATCGGGAGGTGGCAGCCTTCTCTTCTTTTTTCTCTTTCTCTTTTCTCTTTCTTTTCTCTCCAGCACCAGCACGCGGCACTTGTGACAACGCTTTGCGGCTGCAGTGCCCTGGGCAGCAGCAGCTGCTCTCGCAAAATACTTCTGCCTGCATGCATGCCTGCCTGTGTAGGTGTATGTGTATGTGCAACACGATTCTCCTGCAGGCCTTGCAGTGCACTCGCGCATGGACGCCGCTTCTTCGCCATGCACCTGCAGATAGTCTGCAGGGAGGTTGCGATTATACAGTCATCCTGGAAGACGCCTTTGACGTAGGCAGCTGCGCACGAGAAAGCTCCTCGGTGCTGCTGCTGCTGCTGCTGCTGCTACTGGTGCTGCTGCTACTGCTGGTGCTGCTGCCAAGCGCCTCTTAATGCTTCTTCTTAGGCCGCAGACGGCTTCGGGTTGCTGTCAATTTTGCCGTTGCTGCTCGAGCCGGCTGTCATGCGTCTGTCAGAGGGAGTTGCTTTCGCTGCTGCTGCAGGTGCTCGAATCGACGTCTTCGGATACTGCCGAGACAGCGGCAGCGGCTGCATGCATTGCCCATCTCCTGAAGACTTGGGGCCGCTTCACGGGGGCTGCATCAGCGACAACGGCAGCGGGGGAGGGAGTTTCTCCCTTGCTGCAGATTGCAGTGAAGCATTCAATTGGTCCTTTGCAGCGCATGCTGGCGACATCAGCAGCAGTGACGGCGAACGGAGAGGGAAGGGGAGGTTCGGCAGCGGGAGCAGCCCCTTCTGCAGATCCTGAGACTCTCGCCTATGCAGTGCATGCAGTTGCAGCGACGTGCCGGGTTGCAGTGCCCTTGCTGCTGCGACGAACGCATGTCGATGCTGAGTTGCAGCAGCTGCTAGAGACGCTTGCTGCCGCCGTTGCGCTCCCGCGGACGCTGGGCTTGCTGCATTATCGCCAGCAGTTTCCGCAGCAGCAGCAGCAACAGCAGCACCCCCAAGATGAGGATGATCTGACCAGCGACTATGAGGCGGCTGCCTTTCTCTCTGCGGAAGCCGTGCGGTTCTTCTGCCATTTGCGCTACGACATCGAGAATGCAGAGAGACAGCAGCCGCAGCAAGAAGAGGAGGTGCATCCTCAGAGCAAACAGGCCCTCATCCAGGTGTATAGACACCTGACCGACGAGATTGTCAAGCAAATGCAGCTGCCTTACGCACAGCTGTCGAATGAGGATATTGAAGAGGTCTTTTGGTGAGGAGGGAAACCTCTATGCAGACGCACAGGCAGAACAAATGAACACATACCAGGCACACAAAGCATGCATCCATACACATACATACATACATACACATACATACATATACATACATATATATATATATATATACATATATACATATATATATACATACATGTATATACATACATACATATATATATATATATATATATATATAGACACACACAAGGCAAACGTGCATAGCGAGTTTTGAAGGGGCAACGAGACAGGCAAAGCAGCGCATACCCTGGATGGTCGTTTAGGATGATGGGATTGAATGGCATTGCCACTCGGGGTGTCTCTTCCGTTGTATGCAGCTTTAGAGAGCAGCTTCTTTTGCTTCTGGAAGACGCTGCGGCTCTGCTGGGAGCAGAGGTCTCCTTAGGCGTATGACGACAACTTTTGAAAACGCAGCAAGAAGGGAGAGAGGGAGCTTGCACACAGGCGAATAAGGGGGGTGTTTCAAGGGTTTAGGCCCCTTCTTTACGTGCTTGCCGAATCTGGATGCGCTGGCTGGGTATGTGCTTTCTGTTGCCCTCGTATTTTTGCAGGTGGCAGGCCGCATTCAGCAGCTCTTACAGCAGCATCAGCTGCAGCAACAGCAGCAGACAGCTGCTGCTGCGGGGGAGAGCTTCGAGATGCAGTTGGAGTGTCTCTTGGTCGCACTGAACAACATCTTTTCTTGTAAGTTTTTCGCTGCACAATTTATGGATTTCTGCATCGTGGGCAGTGCTGCTGGGTCGTTTTTCCAAGTAAAAAGCCCTGTTGTGACTTCTTCTGGAAGACGACCAATTTTGAGTGTATGGCCAGCTATCCCTCGGGTTGTATTTCCCTCTGAACGCCGCTAGCTACCCCCGCTGTGGCCTCTTTTTTCGCCTTTTTTCACCTTTTCCCCCACTGCCCTCCTCCTTTTATCCCTCCTGGCTGCTGCTTTCTCTCTCTCTCGATCGCGTGCAGCTGCTCGGCATAATCGCCTATGCCTCTTGTTCGTGTATTGCCGTCCGTATCCTCTCACTTCCACCTTTCCTGTAGTGGTAAAGTCTTGACATTTTTTCTTCCACGCGCTCCACGGATGGTCTCTGCTCGTTGTGGAAAGGCAGCAGCTGCTGTTTTTTCTGGTTTGCACACCGCGGAAGCTACACACAAGGACTCTTGCGCCAGGCTGCGCTGCTGTGTGGGGTTGTGTTTACAGACAGCTCATCGGCTGCTGCAGTAGAGGTGGTATTGCCGTCGGCTGTCGCCGCTGTTCAGTCCGTGCTCACCTCCTCTCCCCCTCTGGTGCGCAGTATGCAGCGCAAATTGCGGCCTCCCTCTTACCACGGACTGGTGGCTTTGTTGAGCGAAGGCAGTCCATCGATTTCGCATCATGTAGACTCTTTTTTTGAGGGGGGGTGAAGGCACAAAAGCAAGCGAGGCGGATACTGCAGGCATGCGTAGGGGCACGTCTGCACTTGCCTTCTAACCTGCTCCACCCACACCAGTCTGACGCACGTCTTTCTCTGTCTTGGCGTCTTTTTGACTGCAGACACGTGCTGGAGTGGCATGCCGTGTGGCAGCAGTCAAGTTCTTGCAAACAGCCCAATCTTCGCTAGACACCGAGTACGTCGTTTCCTTCTCGTAATCCTGCTGCAAGGCGTACTCCCTGTTGCAGGCTCCCGATCCGCATGCTGTTGCATCTGCCGCTCTTCTGCTGTTGTTCTGCTCTTGTTCATTGAATGCATGCAGCCCCGGCTCCCTCCAGGCGGCAGTCGGTCTGCTCGCCAGTCAGGTGTCTGCTGCAGGGGCAGTCGCAGCAGGGGGGGGGGCAGCAGGGGAATCTTTAGAAGCAGCAACAGCGATTTTGCGGCACCGTGCTGCAGCAGCCCTGGAGGATATTTGCAGACATTCAAAGTCTTGTGTGTCGCCTCAAACGATTCAAGATCTCGCTGCGCGTACGATGGTCTTTTAGGAGGGAAAAAGGAGGGATGGGAGGGAAAAAGGGAAGGATTATGGGAGGGAAAAAGGGAAGGATTATGGGAGGGAAGGATGGGGGAGTCTTGTCTCGAAATACTTTTGCTAATCGCTGCCGTAGTCGGGCGCTGTTGCTCTTGCTGTTGTTGCTGCTGTTGCTGCTTGTCCTCCTTTTTTGCCCGACGCAAAAGTCTAACGCAAAGGGGGGAGGTTCGAGGAGGGGTGGGGTGGAGAGCAAGTATTTAGGGTGTTTGTCATATGTGGCTTCCGTTGCTGCTGCAGTTGCGGACAGGCTGTCTGCGGATCCATCTGGCGAAAAGGTGTGGTGCTAGGGAGGTGTGGGGGGGCTACGGGGGGGTAGGGGAAATAATACGATTCTAGCTGCTGCCGCTGGTGGCATTTTTTCCAGTATTTTCCTTCTGTTATTGCCGTCGCAGATAGGCACGCTGCGTTAGAAGCGTCTGAGCAGGGCTTAAGAAGTTGAAAACGGCGTAGAGAGTTCTTCTCATCATGGGGGGAATGCGAGTGGCTGTGAGCTGTCAGGCGTATTGGCTGGTGCTGGAAGCAGTCTGCTGCTTGGTGGCGCGAGAGGAAGAAGATACAAGAATGTTGTCGGTAAGTATTCATTTTCTCGTTCGCTCATCCTTGCACAGCTCAGCTCATTTTTAAAGACGTGCGTGCATGTACTCCGCTGCCTCCTCGAGCAACGGATGATCTTTACAGTCTGTGCTAAATGTGTGTGTTTCTATCTCTCTCTCTGTGTGTGTGCGGATTTTTTTTGTCAATTTCTGTGTGTCTAGGGGTGTATATATTTGTCTATCTGTATGTATTTTTCTTTGTGTATTTCTACACGTCTGTATGTATTTTTATCTGTGTATTTCTACATGTCTGCATGTATTTTTCTCTGTGTATATGTCTGTATGTATTTTAATCTGTGTACTTCTGTCTCTGTATGGGTGTTTATCTATCTGTATATCTTTCTTTCTCTCTCTGTCTGTGTGTGTGGATTTTTTTCTCTGTGCATTCCTGTGTGTCTGTATGGGTGTGTGTGTATTTCTATCTGTCTGTATGAGTGTGTGTATTTCTATATGTCTGTATGTATTTTTCTCTGTGTATTTCTCTCTGTCTGTATGTATTTTTCTTTGTGTACTCGTATCTGTCTGTATGTATTTTTCTCTGTGTATTTCTCTCTGTCTGTATGGGTGTTTTTCTATCTGTATATCTTTCTTTCTCTCTGTTTCTCTTTCTGTGTGTGTGGATTTTTCCTGTGCATTTTGGATGTGTGTGTGTTTGTATTTCTATCTGTCGTTGTCAGTGTCTATTTGTCTGTCTGTTGCAGATGATGGAGGGTCTCTGCCGCCCCTGCATTACCGCAGTGGAGGAGGTTTTGACTTCGGGTAGCGAAGCGCGTCAAGATCTTTGCACGCGTTTGGATTCGTTAGCGATCGTCTTGAGGTCAGTTATGTGTTTGTGACTGGTGGGGTTGCTCGGGAGGGCTGCGCGGCTGTAGAACTGCATGCGGGTGGTGTCGTGGCACTCTGCAAAAAGGGCATGTCGTCTTTCTTCCCTCCTCTTCCTCCCCTGCCGTCCTGCAGGAAGGCAGCCGCCACGCGCTTTCGTCGAACGCATGTTGGCGTGATTTGAGCCGTGTGCGCTTTGCAGGGATACGGCGCATGGCATTCGAGAAATTCCACAACGGCTAGCTGCCGTCCGCAGCTTTCTGTGCAACACGCTATGGCCGCTGCTGCAGCGGCTGCTGCTCCAGCAGCAGCGCAATGCCACGGTTGTTGAGAGAGCGCTGCGCTGCATGAAGCATGCAGTCCGCACAGCGGGAGAAGCCTTTAGGCCTCACATTCTCCCCTTCTTGCAAGTCCTCCAAACCAATGCGGAGGTGTGTATGTGCGTATCCGTATGCATGGATTGCAGATGCACAGTTTCTGCGTGGGAAGCTCCGCAGTCTCTCGGCGCGCTGCTGGCTGCTTGCTGTTGCAATGAGTCTGTGTGTGTGATCGCGCACCCATCCTTGGCATCCATACATGCATTTGATCTCTTTTGAAGTTCTCCTTTGGCGGCATTAAGGAGAAGAACGTGCTGCTGAATCCTATTCATCCCGACAGTCCAGTCTTCTATTTTTTTGGCCGCAGGTGTGCGTACACTCGACGTACTTGTACGCAACCGAGTGGGCAGCCGTGTCGTTTGCATCGGAGGGACCGGAGGTGCAGCGCGCATTGTGTCTCCTCACGGAACGCCTTGCAGCTGCTGGCTTCGAACATATTAAGAATCACGTCAGTCGGTGGTGTAAAGCTGCTGAGAGGAGGCCTCAAACGCATGCATGCACGCACATGCATGCATGCACGCACATGTTGCCTGCCCTGAGAGACCTTCTCCCGGTGGATTTGGGGCTTCGCTGACGCTTTTTCCCATGATCCATATAAATATATATATCTTTCTCTATATATGTGTAAATGTATATTGATGCCTCTCGCTCTCTGCGTGCCTCATGCTGCTTGCCTCCGCATCACAGGGAGATTTGGAAGAAAGCAGCGACATGGTAGAAGACTGTTTCGGCATGCTGAGCAGGCTTCTCAGACGGTGCCCCCAGCTTGCTGCCGTGTCTCCTAGCGTCCTCAAGCAGGTTTGTTGCTGCGCGTGTTTTTTTCAAATTGTTGCCGCTGTTCAGCTTTTGCGGAACGTAGTTGTGCTTTGTAACGGGGCGCTTGCGAGGGGTAGCAGTGCTGAAATCACGCAGTTGTGTGTGTGTGCGCTTCTTTGAGGCTGCTTAGTGTAGGGACAGCTGTCTCGTTCTAGGGTTGTAAATACACACGAGGCACACGCCTCTAGGTGCAAGCGTGCAGCACGCATTCATTTGTGCCTGCATGTTTTTTTCTTGTCTACGCATCCTCCAGGATGCCTAACGTCTCTCCAGATAGGCGAGTCCATGCGCAGGCTGACATGTTCGCATGCCGCGTATCCGTTTGTTGCGTTTTTTCCAGGGCTTAGAGATGTGTAGCACTTGCATGGAGGTGAAGACTCCCGAGGCAGCTAGTTTGGTCTTCGTCTTCATGGAGAATCTCGTGCATGCAGCGAGCAAGTCGCACACTCTAACTGGGGGATTCTGCAGACAGACAATGTGGCCGAGAGGAGGCTGAATCAATGCCGCACGCTGCGACTTGCAGGGGGGCAGCAACCAACGCACACAAACAGCAAAACAAATGGAGGGAAACCCAAGAAGAGATATATATATATAGAGAGAGATAGAGATAGATATAGAGAAAAAAAAGGCTCGCTGCCTTTCCTTTAGGTGGCTGTTTCTTCCCGATATTCTAGCTCCCCCAGTGTGCTCGTGTAACGCCTGTTTGCTGCTGTCTTGCCTTGTCCTCTCTTTATTTGCACAGAAGACGCCTCTCAGCCTCAGCTACAAACAGCAGCCTCCAGCCTTGCAGCCGAGGTAATTCAAAAAACAGCCGTTGGCGACGCTATTATCCGGCGCATCCGGCGCTTGTTTGTGTGTGCTTTATGCTTGCCAGTTTGTCCCGACTTGTGTTTTTCCCGTGCATCTTGTGATTCCGCCCACTCTCTCTCTTTCTTTCTTTCTCGTTTTCTCTCTTTTTTCTTTCTCTCATTTTCTTTGTCTTTCTTTCTCTCTTTTTTATTTCTCTTTTTTTTTCTTTTTTCTTTGTCTTTCTTTCTCTCTCTTGTTCTTATTTTTTTCTTTCTCTCTTTTTCTTTGTCTTCCTCTCTCTGTCTCTCTTTCTCTCTCTTTCTCCCTTTCTTTTTCTTTCTCTTTCTTGCTCTCTCTTCCTCTTCCTCCCTCACTTTTTCTCCTTCTCTTTCTTGCTCTCTCTCTCTCTCTTCCCCCATAGCGACGGCAAGTGCATGTGTACCGGCCTTGCGTCCTTCCTTGGCTTGCTTTGCGCAGTTTCTGCCCTCCCTAGTGCCTAGGGCTTTCCAGCTCCTATCGGCTGCACCGTCTAGGGAAAAGCTTGCGCTTATTGAGGTAACCCTTTTTCTCATCAGTTTGGAGGGAACGGCAAAGAAACCTTCTATCAAGGGCCTTACGCCTGCGCTCGCCTGCTGTCTCTGCTGCCGCCTCTCCACCCTCTCACGCGCCACGAGGGGGGGGGAAAGAAGTACTTGTTAGGGGCCTTCTCTCCCTCATTTTTTCCTGGTTTGCTCTTCTCTGCTCCTGCCCCCCTTCCTCCCACACACACACCCATCCTCCTCTCCTCCCTTTTGCGCAGCTTCTTTGCTGCCTTTTGTGCTCTCCAGTTCCTTTTTGCGCGCGCTTTTGTTGTTGCTGCCCTCAGGCGTTCGTGGAGGTCGTTGTTGAAGAACTTGGTGCGGAAGCTTCTCCCTGGCTAGCAGGTAACTAGAGCCTTCTCTCCTCGGTGGCTTTGGGGTTTTGTACAGCCGCCTTCTTCGCCGATGACTTTTGCCTTCCGCTTCTCTCCGTTCTTCCACTCCTCCTCCTCCCGAGCGCCTCCTCCTTCTCCTCACGTGATTTTCGCAGGGGCCTTTCCCCTCTATGCGCTTTGTTGTTGCTTGCTTCTGCAGAGGGCCTCATGCTGCTGCCACCCGCGTTGTCAGCGAATGCCGCCTCACGAGCAGACTATCTTGTCAGTCCCTCCCTTCCTCTTCCGCTCTCGCTTTCTTTCTCATTCTCGCAGCTCTGCAGCCTTTCTTTGCGCGCCGTTCCTTGCGGCTTCCTGCATTGCATGCGTCTGCTCAGTGCTGCTCGCACTCTCTTCCACGGCAGCCCTCTGCGGGCGACTCTGCTGTCTCTCCTGTCCTGCTTCTGCGGACTGCGCTGTCTTTTCTTCGTGGCCTTCTGGGCTTGTTCCCTGCTGCCTGGCCCTTTGGTTGCGCTCGTGGGGTGTCGCCTTCCACGCTCCTCTGTACCTTCTCTTCTTCACTGGTGCCTGCTAGGCCTTCCCTGTTAGCCTCCCTCCCTTCAGCGGCGGCTGCGGGAGAGGGCCTGCGTGTCTTTTGTGCGGCATCTTTTTGGCACCACATGCTGCAGGAAAGACTGCAACGCGGAGGCTCCTCAGTCGCTTCGACCCTGTCAGAAATACACAGAAGGTATGGTGCTTTTTTGCAGCTTTCCTCGCACAGACGTATATTTTGCGTTGCTTCGTCATATCCGTACAACTGGGGGGCGGGGGGGGGAAGGGCGTCAGTGAAAGGGAAAAACTAACCGGGACGAAGACAGCGCCCGGGGGAAGCGCAGGGAAGGGGAGGAAATGTGCAGGATACACACTGAAAAACAAGAAATGCTCTACAAAGTACTACAGTGAGGGGCAAAAAGACCGTATCGAGGCAACAACACCGAGAGAATTAGCCTAGTTTTGTGGATGCACTTGTCTGAATGCTTTTGCTGGTCGCGCTGTCTTCAGGTGCAAACAAGTCGCCATGCGGCACCGCGCATGAAACAAAATGAACTTGCGCGGACGCATGCATGCACTAGGCCTACGTGTCGAATTCAGTGCATGCGCGAGCCGTTGGCTGCAGTGCCTTTCTACCAACTACGCATGCTTATTTGCACGCCGTATTCGACGAGTTCATGCTTGGATGCATGAGCTCCCGTAGCGCAGCCACACTAGAAGCACATGCAAATGTACAGCAAATAACTGTGTGCACTCAACGCACATAGTTGTACATGCGTATGCACGCATGCACTGTCCAGTGTGACGCATGCATGCATGCGTGCTTTCATGCAGTATGGTGAGCAGCAGGCAGGGAACGGCATTGCATGCATGTGGCATTTTATAGGGTAGGGAACTGAGAAATTGAATCTTTGAAAGCACAAACGGCACAGTTGCCCCGTCGCTTTCCAGGCGCATTAAAATGGATTAATAGTCCCGATCTGGCGAAGAATACGAGTGCAGGAACGCAGCGGAGGGTGGCACTCCAGGAGGAGGTCCCTCTAGATATCTGCAATGGCTCTGCGCAGGCAAATACGGGGTTTTAATTTGTTATATTCCGGTGTTTTTATGCATCTGTTTTCCTTTGTCGCAACCACTTGTCGTCATAGAGCCGAACACTTTTTCTTCTCCAACGCACACGCTTTTTGCCAGGACTTTGGAGGGATGCAGATGACGCATGGTGCATGAATTAACCAAGCTAGTACGCGCATGCTGGCAGGCCGATTTAGCATAAAAGTCGGCTCAGGGTTCCCTTTCTTCGTTTCTCCCTATTATGGCAGGAGTGCATCCATACGCCACACTCCCCAGCAACGATTGTTCAGCAATTGTTCGCTGGCACCTTAGTCACACACCGCTGGATTAGGTCCAAGAATTCCTATTGCTAGGGGCTAATGCCGCAGTCGCGATGTGGCAACATCATCTGCAGCTGTTTTGCGGCTAAATGCTGAACCTAACTCTACTGGTCCCGAAGCCGGCACACATAATCTCGTCTCTTTCCCTTTGCGTTTCTACCTATGACAACGAAAAATCTCCGCTCCTACACGCCCTAGGCATTTCCTACAAGTTTTTGCGCCAAGACACAATGGCACGTTTTATGCACCGCCTGTACGAACACTGTTTGCTGCCAGTGCACAGTCCGAAAGGCGTCCGGGTAGTCAGGACGAAAAAGGCGGGGAAGGGGGACGTTCCTGAACTGCACGCAGGCCTTTACACGCGTTCGGGGCTGCATGCATCGATTTGTGGTGTACTATCAGATCAAGCGAGGGCAACAGATACGAGGCCCTGTTGCACATGGACACTCTCGAGCATCGAACTTGAGGGTCATGCACAGCAGAAGGTTCTCTCTCTCTCAGTCCTCCAGGAGTTGGGTGTTACCGCTCGGCTTGGGAATCGCCCTGCCGCTAAAGTAATAATTGGAATGCAGCAGGGAGCCAAACGTAACAAAGGCCTAAAGTGCACACAGGACGCGCAGACAGAAATGCTCGCATGTTTAAGACTCGGCCCTTCATTCATTAAACACCGTGGCAACGCCATCCATACACATGAAACCCACATGCACAAGGCCGACCGCGAGGCTTCGTGAAACGAACGCATGAGAAAAAAAGGCAATGCTAGACAGTTAAAAGGCGTCATGACATCTCTGCTCTTTCCGTGCAGTTCTGCCTCCCTCGCTACCCACACAGGAGGGAGTGGAAAAAGGTTGCCGAGCATAAACAAGGGCACACGCAGCAGCAGTCGACACACCATGAACAAAATTCGCACAGACAGTGAGTGTGAATAGCAGGCTGCTGCTAGATACACAGTGAGAGGCCGACAAGTACAGGAGGACATTCAAAAGGCAGTGCCTTAGATGAGAAGAGGCTGCAAAGGAGTAGTTTCCCTAGTCATGCGGAATTCGTCCCTGCCTAGGCGAGCACCCCATCACCGCCATTATGCACACAGCAGCGACGCCATGATCAGCAACGCTGAAGCTAATAGCATGTTTAGCAGGATACATAATCAGGGAGCCGTACCATGAGGAAGGCCCAGGCGAACCACAGGTAGTATGCCATCGGTGCTTGGATACAAGTCGCAACCTGGCCACTAGTGTAATAGTCTTCGAGCCCTCCAAGGCGCGGCATCGATGACCGCAGGCATCCCCAGCTCGCGGCAGTTGGCATCCGCTGGAGAGCACACGTTCGTGCTGCACTCCCTGCCTGAGAAGGACGCGCCATGTTCCGTGGCAGCGAAGCCATCGAAAGGGGTCTGAGCCCTCTCGCGCAAAGGAGAAGCCTCTGAGCAATCATTATTAAAGCTACAAATGAAGAGGAAAGAAAATGGTTTAAAATGGCCGACAATCGCAGAAAACGGCGGAATAGCCGCGTGCTGCTGAAGTGTCTTGGCGACACAGCATGTAGTGGGACTTCGGGGAGTCCGAAACAAAGGCGTCCAAAAAAAGGGTCATACACCAAAATTTCAACTCTTTTAATGCTAGATCTCAGCATAGGCAGGTAATCGCAGGAAACCAACAGAACTGCTGCCGCGGCGGCTGCACACGACTCCTGGCAACTGCATGCATGCGTTCCAGTTGTTGTCGGCATCGACAAGGCAGCAGGCGTAGGAGTACAGCGAAGTTATACCCGTGGTCATTTTCGCATTTCTATGGAGCAGCGATGCACCGCAGTAGATGGATAGTTTGATCACTGGTTTGCCGATTGTGCTGCCACTAGCGCTGGGCACCCCCTGCATGGAGCCCAGGTGAAAACGCGTTGAGCGCCTCAGGTATATAGACAGCTCGCGGGGGCAGAATTAATGTGCGATAGCCCTAGCTGTGAAATCCATAGCCTGTAGGGAGCCCTGAAAGCTTATCTAATGGCTTAGCAACGGAACCTTGTGACCCGACCGGGTGAGTGTTACCGCTCCGTGCGCACGAGTTCAAGAGCCATATATGCCAAATTGTAATACCTAATGACATGCAAGTTTTTAAAAAGGGACTAATCTCTCCTGGGCTGGATGGCTGTACTGTACGAGCCGCCAACTTCGCATCTCCCAGTGGATGTTGCTAGTAGTGCATGCTGCTGCAGCTTCTGAAGCCCTAGTCGTTACATACATAAGGAACGAATTCTACACCCTAAATTCTTCGCGCAGTTGCCAAAAGCTAGGCTCTCGCTCAGGGTCTTCACTGCGCCGCAGTACGCAGAGCTGTGCGCAAAACCGTTCAACGCAGACCGTGGAGCCGCATGAGAGCTGAATCATGCCTCTCACAACCACAAGCTTGAGCTTTAGAGAGGGGGATGTTTAGACATTTCACCTGTTTTAAGATGGCCTTGAACAGCGTTTTGCAGTGATCTGCGGCAACCGGTAGGAGGACAAGTCCAAATTTAGAACGCGAAATACCCCAAATAATGGGCAGCTCGCTCGAGAGGTCCCCAGACCAGAACCCATCACCCCGGTCCGTTTCTGTCTCCCCATGCATCTCACCTGGCACTTTGTCAGCAAACGATTCAAGGATCTGCAGCCGCAAAGGAGGCAGGCACGCAGCGAAGCGTTTCAAACAGGCCCCCTTGGTTCAACACTGGCTTGCAGATGTTGAGGACGTATATTTTTTTCCCCGTAGCTCAGAGTGCGTTCAGGGGGGCAGACAGCGTAGCTTGCAAAAGGACAAACTACGCTTAGAGCCACCACCCCACAGGCCTCGATAAGGGGGCCCTTGGGAACCAGCGCAAAAGAGAGGCCCCTCCTCTACACAGCTCGACATAATACGTGTGCACAGATGTCTAGAGAAAATAGGATGATGCGCTGGAACCATTTGCTGCCGTCGACGCATGGAGTGTTTGTGTGTGCAAGTCCAGTAATCTCCTCCCCAGCAGCAAAGATAGCACATCGCCCGCGTCCTCCATGAATGTAAGTAGGGAGACACACCTCCCCAGTTGTCGCCACGAAGGCCTCTGCCCGCTTGCTCTGCAGGAAGGCCAGCAAACTCTCGGCTAGATCCATCTCTTCTCGCTTGATCGGCACGGGCACGGTGTCGCTTGCCTGCAGCGGCACACAGCGAGGGAGCATCCCAGGCAAGAAGCAGAGCAGAGCAGCCAGGAGAAGTTGCACTCCTGCGTTTCGGCAGGAAGCCTGGCCTCCAGGGGAAAGCGAGTCTCCCCACATCCGACACTCCCGTCGTCTGTACATCCAGCATATATGTGTATATGTATACCCCCTGACTCCGATAAAAAGGACGGCGTTGGAAGGCCTCTTGACGTGGCTCTTCTTACCTCGCTTCCGTGTAGCCGTCTGAGGCCTGCAAGGATTGCCGAGCTGCTGTTGGGAGGCATCTGACTCTCGGAAAGACGATTCGACAGTTGAAGCCTTGCAGACAATCTCCAACAGACACCCGAGCGAGGTCGCCCCGCCGTGCCCTTCTTGCCTGTCCACGTTGGAACCTACGGCGGGAATGGCAGAAGCAAAAACTCACACAAGAGAGGGCACATGGAGTCGAAGAAGTGCAGCTGGCTGTGATGTACAGAACACACGAGACGCGCTTCTCCCCCCGCGGACTGCGGGCTTGAAGGCAATGGGGAAGGGGGAAGCAAAAGAATGCTGAGATTGCTTTAGGCAATGGAAAAGGGGGAAGCAAAAGAATGCTGCGATCGCTCTAGGCAACGGAAAAGGGGAAGCAAAAGAATGCTGCGATCGCTCTAGGCAACGAAAAGGGGGAAGCAAAAGAATGCTGCGATCGCTCTAGGGTCTCATCATACACCCCTGCGGTGTTCTCCATACACTCCAAAAAGGCTCACGTCGATTGCATGCGACATTCTCTCCTGTCTTGATCTCCTGAGCTCTTCCATTGCTGCAGACGCTGCAGCAACAGCGACAGCAGCTACACCACACACGAGGCATGGAAGCACTCGCTCCCGCGCCAACCGTCCCACAGAAATAACCCCAGTACACGTACCAACAGCTCTGGATTCTTTTTCGCCACGACCTTCCAGTGGCTGCTCCAGCGCATCGTGATTCAGTGCATGCTGAAGCAACGACAGCACAAACAAAGAGAATACCAGCAGCAGCAGCAGAGGCTCCAGCAGGCACACGCGGCGGAGAATCCTGGCTAGGCGGGAAAGGGCGAGATGAGACATATGTATGCGTTCTGTGTACATGCATGTGTATGTACACTCAAAACAATGCACGCTTTGGTGAAATCTTGTCAGTGAGACGTGTTTTGCAGTACAAACAGAGTGCCAGAAAGAAGAGCAGGAGCTGCAGGGGAAGCAGCAAGTGCAAAAACGGCAGCACAAAAGCACGAATTTGCGATACAAAACTCACCTGTACACCTTGCTGATCAAAAAGCGACTGCAGCAGTATGGTTTCCCCCAGCTCTGCTCCCTTTGTTGACGCCTCTCCCTTCTGGCTGCTACCGCTGCTCCTGTTGCTGTTTCCAGCCAGCTCTTTCAGCTCCTCAACCTCAGCGGCAGCAACAGCATGCATGTAGCTACTTCGAATCCTATGGCTGTACCTGCAGAGAGGCGTCAGCAACAGCTGTGTCAGTCTGGGTGTATGTATGTGTGTGTCTTCAAGCGTGTGCACCTGCCTGTCACCCCTGTTGCTGCAGGGAGTCTCATCATCTTCAGACGCTCAATTATCCCCCCTCCCTATAGAGCTACGCGTTGAGGCATGCGGCTCGGAGGAAAGAATTCAAGCAAGGGGGCTTACGCCGTAACTGCGTCATTGAATGCTTCCTCGTGGAGATCGTGGGGAGGTGGCGGAGGTGCAAAAAGCTCCTGCGGACATGCCCGGCGCATGCATGCATGCATACATATGTATGTATATATATATATATATACATACACAGATACGTATGTACATACATATATACATACATATATATATACATACACACACACATACATATATACATACATATATACATCCATATATACATACATATACACATGCATATATACATACATTCATACACACATACATATATATATACATACATATATACATACATATATACATATATACATACATACATACATACATATATACATACATACACACATACATACATACATACATATATACATACACATACATACAGAGATCTCTCTTGGGTACTTTAACATGAGAAATAAGCAACGAGTCCCCTTCCTCCCTCCCTCTCCTTCCTCCCTCTTCCCTTCCTCTCCCCCCTTTCTCGTGCAAGTCGGTAATCGGCTTCTCAGGTTCGCCCGCAGCAGATCAACGCTTCTGCTTTGTTTTTCTGACCCTTCTTTCGTGGCAGGGAACCTCAAACTAGCGTTTGTCTTTTCTCAAACATCAGGCTAAGGCTCCCAACAGCAGCCCTCAACATGAGCATCTCCGATTACATGGATGTCCTTCCACTTGAAGGTGCTTCTGCGCTTGTTGCTGTCGAGAACTCTCGAGGAAAGAAACATCTTGAAGAGCTGACGCTGGTATATCTTCGCCTCTAGAGTGCCCGCAGTGAGCAAGCGATACACAAACACTGGCCGCGACTGCCCCCAGCGCCACGATCGCTCACGAGCCTGAGACAAACCAACAGAACGTCACAGTAGGGAAGATCAGACACGCAAGAAGGCAGATCATCTGACACACATACCTACACACGTATATACACCTATACACATATATACCTGTACACGTTTACACGGGGTGGACCAAAATACAAATATACCTGTACACTTTAACACATATACGTGTGCACACACGTATCTATACACTTTTACACATATACGTGTACACATACATATCTATGCACTTTTACACATATACGTGTACACATACATATCTATGCACTTTTACACATATACGTATACACGTACATATCTATGCACTTTTACACATATACGTATACACATACATACCTATACACCTCTACAGGCCGTGGCAAGATATTACGGAGGGAAGACGGAAGGGACACATGGAACCGCGAAAAAGTGTGCAGGAGCAAGAGGCGCAACAGCGTACACACACGCGTGCAAGAGGCCATGACAGCCAGCACCAGAAAAAAACGAATGCAGATGTTGATCGCAGAAAAGACAGCGGGAAGACTACGAAAGCGCACAATACAGACAAAAACACCTTGGGAGCAAGGCCGCAAAGAGCCGCTGCCCTCTGAAACGCAGTGCTAACAGATTTAAAATGACTAGAGAGATCTGCATTGCCAAAGCAGGAGAGGAAGAAGAGGGCATATGTGAGCAGACCTGGGCATCAGTCATTGGATTCCAATCCGGTTCAAAGAGAACTACACGATCGGCAGAAGTCAAATTCAGACCAACACCCCCGACGCGTGTTGTCGCAAGCAAAACAGATATTCTCTGCAGAGGGAAACCGCAGACAGAGGGACGGAGACACATGCGTGGCAGACTGGAGGGAGGCAGACAGACAGACAGGCAGTTGTAGAGAAGAAAGGCAGGCACAGAGAGAGGCAGACAGACAGACAGATAACCAGAGAAACAGAGCAACGCGTCTGAAAGGAGGCTTTCCGCAGAGACGCAACGGGAGTCATAAAAACACATACACACAGAGATATATATATCAGATACATTACATCATGACAGAAGCGTACTGATCATGTTTTCAACATGAGCGTGGGTGCAATGCAAAGACTTTGACAGAGAAGCAGGTAGGTGAAGAAGGAAACCAAGAAACATACAAACATTCATCCATGTATACCTCCCTACATACGTAGATACAAACATACAAACATTCATGCATGCATTCCGACCTGCCTAGGCACATATCTACATACATACACACATTCGAACCTGCATACCTTCCTGCATGTATAGAAACATATATACATTCATACATGTATAGCTTCCTATATATCTAGAGCCATACATACATATACATATATATAGATATATATAAATTTAATACCTACATACATAGATAGAAGCATACATAATCAGACATACAGAGCCGCTTTACCGGGTTTGTTTGGAAAAGATTAATGATTCGATGGCGCTTCGCAATGGGAGTGCTGCCATCAAGTCTTAGGAACTGTAGGCGTTCTTTGCGTTGCTTCTCAAGAGGCCTCTTTGATCCTTCTGCAAACTTGCCCCCACCCCCTTTCCCTACGTTGCTTGTGTCGGTTGAAGCCGGAGCAGAAGAGGAGACGTTTCCTCCTTCGCTAGAAGCTGCTGCGCTGTCTGCACGGTCTAGGGCGATGCGTGAGAGAGCAGCAGCAATTAAATCAAGCGTCTGCAGCGTCTGTGCGAAAACAAGAGCCTTATGGCCTTCCACTGCCCATGTCTTCACCATTGCCAGCAGTACTCGCAGCTTCCCCGATCTGCATTTCCCACACCCCACACCACGCCATCGAGCCGCGGATGCCACACTCCTCCTTCATACTGCAGACAGATCCCAATGCGTGCATGCAGCAGATGCTAGAGAGAGAGCAGCCTGCATGTTTCTTCTTCCATACCTGCTTGGGGAGCCTAGATCACTGGGTAACGCATTCGGTGCCCACAAGGGGGGCACTGTGCCTTCTTCCTGCTGCTCGTGCTGCTTTTCTTGCTGCTGCTGCAGCAGCTCTTGCATGCGTTTCCGCTTTCGCGGCAGGCCAGTAGGACGTAGCAGCTGCTGCTGCTCTCGATGCTGCTGCTTCTCCTGTAGCAGCACCAAGTCGGGGTGATTGCACACCTTCCGCAACACCGCAAGGGCAGCAAACGCCTTGTGCCGCCTCTGCATGCGTCGCGAATGACGCCCCTCATGAGAATGATGATGCTGCTGCTGTGAAAAACCCCCCAACGAATCCAAAATATCTTTGTAGATCCGATATTGCACGGGAGTCAGCGCGCAAAAGAGAACCTAAACCGCCAAACGCATATAGATATACATGCATATACAATACATATATGTATACATATATATATATATACAATATATATATATGTACATATACAATGTGCATGTACATATATAGAATACATATATATGCAATATATATAGATATACACATACAATATGCGTATGCATATATATACAATACATATACACATATATACGCCCATATATGTATATAAAAGAGGTAACCCTCATTTGAGATCGCACGTCCCTTGAAGTGGACGTCTCGGTACAGAAATGCATAGCTGTATCAAGCGCGTTCCTGCAACCCACTCAACTATCCCCGTGAATTCCACCAGTTTGTGAAATCGGATCGAAGTTGTGCAGACAGCGAGGATTCTGTCCCCCCCTCCCCCTCCCTCAGAGCGCTCTGTACCTCTTCGCGTTTAGCCGGGAGGTTGAGGGTGTGGAGGCAGTCCGCTTTTTTCCTGCGAAGAAGGAGAGACGCGACGAGATGCTGCAGCAGCCGTGAGCACTGAGCTGCGCGTGTAGAAGCTGCAGTCTCGACACCGTAAAGAGATCCCTGCGTTCGCAGAGGCAAGCAAGCGTGGCAGAAGCTGTCAGCAGAGCTGCCGAGGATGAGAATAAGCACGGAGTGACACGCAAGACACGCCTCAGACAGCCGGGAAGAAAGGGAGGTGGGGAATAAAGAGAGATAGGGAAGAAAGGGAAGGAAAAGGCAGAAAAAAGGATGAAGTTCAAGAGGAGAGCCACGCCTGTGCGGCTGGACTGTATGTATGCATGTGTGTGTGTGTGTGCGTGTGTGTGTGTTTGTCTTGCCGCTCGAATAGGATCTGCCAGCTCCTTCTGAAAGACGGGGAGAGTGGCGAGCCTGCCTGGAGCTATGAAATCTACAAGGGACCAAAATTCGTCCAAATTGTTTTGAACGGGAGTTGCGGAGAGCAAGTAGCGGTGTGGTGTCTGGAACTGTTTTCGCAAGCAGAGTCGCAAGGGAGAGGAGGCTCAAGGGTGAACGTCCTTCCTCTCAGGTGCATGGCACGCGGCAAGTAGCATGCAGAATGAAAAATACAAGAGGCGAGAGCACCAGTAAAAAAGGCAGTAGCAGGGGAGGCGACAGGAGACGGGCAAATCATGGATGGATGCAAGGATGCATAACTGTTGCAAAAACGCACGCCTTCATTCAATAGTAGTCAAAAACCCAAAACAAATACGGGTGCAGGGGTGCAGTGTATGTGCACTGCATGTTCACTATGTGTCAATACGAGTAAATATATAGATATATATATGTGTGGGTGGACTTATATGTATATATATATATAAATATATGTATGGGTGGATTTATATGTATATATATAAATATATGTAGAATGCGTGTCGATGTATATGTGCGTGGATGTATATATGTATATATACATATATGTACTATGTGTTGATGATGTCTGTGTGCGGATGTATATTATGTGTCGGTGTCTGTATGTATGTATATATTTATGTGTAAATAAATGTGTGTATACATATATATACATATTTATGTGTAGATGTGTGTGTGGATGACTATGTGTATGTACATGCATGTATGTGTACGTATTTCCATATCTATAGAGATAGGTGCATGGGAGTTGAGACTAGAACGAGACGACAGGGCGTGTTGACGAACCCTTTTAACTGCAAGGGTGATTTCGGCATGCGGATTTTTGATTTTTTGGCCTTCGTCTAGAACCAGCATCTTCCACGTGAAGCTCTGCAACAAGCTCTGCGGGAGAAAGAAGAAGGCGCAGAGGCACAGCAGGAGAGTAAAAAGTGAAGACAGCACCATGTGCAATGCGGAAAACGGCAGCAGCAGCAGAAAAGGTAGTATGAGCAGAAAAGGTAGTATGAGCAGAGAAGGTAGTATGAGCAGCAGCAGCAAAAAGTGTGCGAGGAGTACATGGTGACGTCGGAGGGTTTCGTAAGTTGTCAGCAAAACGCCGTTGGAGTGGCTGGCTGCAGTTGCTGCAGCCTTAAGGCTTTTTAGTTCCTGACTCATACGCATGCAATACAGACACACGTAAGCGACCTCATCTCTGAGCAGCACACGCGCTCCACAACCAGCTCAAAAAGAAGCTGTGGCACGCTCGCGGGTGTCTCCTGCCAGAATTTACCTTATCGTGGAAAACACAGACCCTTACAGGGGGGCACCAGACATGAAGCTCTCGAAGCCACTGCCGCAACACAGTTGCAGGGCTAACCAAGAGAACTCCTCCTTCCCCCGCAGCATCCGTGCAGCTGGGATCGGTGGAAGGAGGGGTGTTGCCGCTGCTAGCACGGCTGCTGTCGCTGTTGAGGAGCTGTTGACGTCGCTCTTGGAAGGGCCAGACGGACTGCACAAACAACACGGCGGAGCGCCTGGCACTGCCAGCAGCTGCGCTTTACTTCTGCCCTCCAAAGCGGCTGCACAGACACAAGACTAAACCCCCGCGAAAAAGCGCAGCAGCGGCTTGCTCGCTTGCTCGCGTTTCCGCAGGAGGAGTAAATTCACCTCACACATCCACGCGAGAAGAGCAGCAGCAGCAGCAGTCGAGCTAGCCGCGTCATGTCACTCGCGTGGACGTGTTGTGCCTTTTCAGCTACACAGCGAACTTCCCCAGCCACCCCCCAAGCCTCCCCCCACCAGGCAACTAACAAAGGAGAAAAAGACACACACGAGCCTCTCGCTGCCTCAGAGCGAAGCACTCTTCTCGCTTCAGTGCAAGTTGAGAACTTGCTCGCTTCTATGCAGTGCACATATGCAGTGCAAACGACAAACAGCGCACCTGCAGAATGCCAGAACAATGCAGTGTGGCAATAAATGCCGCCATTTGCACTGTCTTGCCCAAACCCATATCATCCCCAAGTAGACCTCCACGTTGCTTTTCAAAAAGCTGCAACAGCCACAAGAGACCTTCCTGTTGGTGCGCTAACAGATTCTCGTGAACAGCCTTCGGCACTCTGAAGCCTCCAGGAAGAGAAACGCAAGCTCCCCCTTCCTGCGTTTGCTGCATCGTCGTTTCCTGTGCTTGCTCCCGCAAGCGGCGAGCAAACTGCTGGGTGTCTGTGTCGTCCGATTCGCCACAGTCCGCTAAGTGCTGCCCTTTCCGCTGCTGCTCCGAGGCAACGCCATCTCCCTCGCTCCATTTCTCGCTATCTGTTTCGCTATCTCCCTCGCAATCTTCCTCGCTGTCTTTCTCGCTGTCTTTCTCGCTGCTGCCTTCAACGTGATCCCTCCTCTCTGACGTCGCTGCTAATTCTGAGTGCTCTCTCGAAGCAGTGCCTCTTGGCCGCCTGCTTCTCGCCACAGTCCCCCAAGAGCTGTCGCTACAGCTGAGGCATTCTTCTTCCGCAGAAGCAACCGGGTAAGAAGCGTCTTCCGCTGCTCCTCCATCTGCACCCTTGTCTCGTCCAAGAGTCGCGTTCGACAGCCCGTCTGAATCTTCTGGCTGCCGTTTCGCTGCTGATCCCCCCTCGCCACGTGGCACTAGCTGCTCTCCTGCACTCCCTGCTGCCGCTTTCGTCCGAAGGCACTTCTCGACGGCCTCGAGAACACTCTGCAGCAACAGCATGCACACGAAAGGGCAGACGCGCGCCACGGCAGTCGTAGAGCAGTGATATCGCTTGCGCAGCCAGCGTGCGAGGCACACCGTGTCGCCAAGACGCAAGCAGCGTGCAGGATACCTTTTCAAAAGCGGACGCCGAGACGGCTGTCGCGCCGAGGGCCTCCCAGGCAGCAGCCGCTGAGTCTGCTGCGTCTTCGTCGCGAGGCTCGTCAGGAAAGGAGCAAGCTCCAAAGTCTAAGGGGTTCAGGGGGGGCCCCCCTTCCTCAAGCGGGGGGCACTCTGAGAGTCTCTCCCCTGGAGAGGCCCCTATGAAACTCAGGCCGTTCAGCCCAGCGAGGGCCCCTCCGTGAAACTTCCCCTCAGACTTCTCGAGAAGGTCAGTCGCTTCTGCAGATGCAGCCTCGGCCGAAGAACCAGTCCCTCCCTGCTGGTGCTGGTGCTGCAAGCCTCCCCGCCCTTCTGTCGCCTCCAGTGACATACTGAGACGGATGAAAAGTGCTTTTTGCTCGGCTGGTGAGGCTTGCAGGCTTCTGATGAGGAGCTACAGCGCGCGAGGCGAAGGGGCCCCCCTCCCCCCTCCCTCGCCGGGAAGGACAGAGCAGCACGCTGCTTCTGCAGGCCTGCCAGCGATTTCGTGAATATTTCCCAAGATTCTAGTTCGGCTGTGTTAATTAAAAGCGCATTTTGAGCATCGGTACGCGCATTTACTCAGAAAAGGCACTACGGGGGTACCTCGCCAGGGTTCTGCTGTGCTCGCTGGCCTTCCGAGGAGAGGGGCCCCTCCGCAGGCTCTTCCATTGCCATCCCGCATCTCGCCATGAACAAAATACCTCCCGCTTCGCCATGTGTGTACAGTGTGCGCTTTAATTTTGCATAAACTGCTCATTTTCATACCCAGACTCCAATTCCAAAAAACCCAGAGAGGCGCCTCATGAACCCCTGTAGCAAACCGTCGCTATGGTTGACAGGGAAATGGGTAAAGGCGTCAACTGGAGGCTTTTAGGAACGAGCCGCGGTTGCATGCGGTAACGCGTGTGTGTATCTACATGTGTGCGCATAATTTGTGTGTCTAGGTGTACACGTGTTCAACTACTGCACGCACAGAACATTGCGTCTTGTACCACGCTAACAGTACTCTGCAGTAAACAAGGGGTACAGACAGAAAAACCAACCAGCCGACTCCTGACTGAAGCTTGGTACATCTAAGCACTGCAGTAAAATGTCGTCAGGTGTCACTTAGCCCTATGCATCTTCCCTCCCCCGTTTAAAGGCACATGTCCTCGTGGTCTGTACCAGTCCTTCGAAACCAACTGCCTACAAGACAACGAAAAGGCGCCCTTCTAACGCCACTCGCCAGGCAGGCAAAAAACGAAAATAGAGCGAAAGAGAAATGCGCAGTGTGCAGCTGCCCAAAAATAGAAACAAAAGGAAGTAAATGTACATGCATGAGCCAACAACAAAGCGGGAGAAAAAAAAATCAGGACTGTAGCGCCGCGATGGCTGACTGTCGTTGGAGCCTTGGTGAGCCACATGTTGACAGGCCTGCCCACAACAGGTGTCTGGTTCCGATTAAACAGATGGTGTTTCAACTCTTCGATTTTCTTTGGCAATAGCCTGGATAGGAAATCTCTGACAGTGAAAGCAGACGGTGGCGCACCTCCTGTTGGGGTGGAAGAAGGTGGCCTGCAAGCCAATGTGAACACAGGAGCTCCTCAGTCATCAAAAGACATTAAGTGTCGGCCTAGAACCTGCTTGTGGATAGCCGATGAGTGTTTGCCGACCAGAAAAGCATGACGGCCCTAAGGATGGGCAAGTATTCACGCCGGTTGCCAGCTGAGTGATCTAAGCAGCACGTTTATTGGACAGAGAAGCACTTAAAGTGGCTCTACTCATATTGAGGAAGGTGCCTGGGTACACAAATTACTACAGCTCAAGCTTCCAGATACGCCCTGACTCATCGGTTTACGCCAAGACCAGCTGAACAGCAAGCTTTGGGAAAATTGAGAACACTAAAATAGGAATATCAAAAAATGTAGCTCATCGAAAAGTGTGAAATTTTGTTTTGCAAACGTCACAAAGTTGATGATGAGCTGTTCATAAAAAGTTAATTTAGGGTCTACCTGAAATGTCTCATCAGTAGCTCTCAACGTGAGCAGCGGCTCAGCGATTAAAGCAACCGGCCGGTGGAGCTCCGGCAGAGTGAGAACTGATTGTGGTCTGAGGGGCGAAAGGCCTCAACGCCTGCCTCTCTAGCTAAGGGAGAGCCAAGACGGGATCAAAAACTATGGATGCTGGAGCTCTGCTAACTGACCCTCGAATGTAGTCGCAGGTTAATGAAGAAACAAAGCCAGAGGGAACTTGCGCTCCTAGCAGCCCCAGAGAGCCCCTCAATAAGGCACCTGCTTCTATTACGAAAAATAGCGTCCACCTTTCACCGAACTGTTTCCGCACGCAAAAAGCCCAAAACAATTAGCAACAGGACTGCTTCCCCACTGGAAGCAGGCTGCTTAGAGGGCAGGGACGGCGCATCGAAGGACGTGGGAAGCCGCTTTCGCGGGCTCCAGCGCAGTGAGGCGGGCTACAGAGGATAGAGTCGCAGTCGAGGATACACCGGGAACAGCTTTGCGCTTATACAAGCTCAAACCAATGACCAAGAATTGATACCCCGTCTTGAAGCTGGATGTGTAGTGGACATGTTTTCTGAGGACGGAGTAGAAGAGCAATTTACCTGTTTACTCGTAAGCGCAATCCCCAAGACTCAGGTGTGCTGACACAAGGCAAAACGGATTAAAAATCGCAAGGCTATGGCACTTAAGTGCTACTTCCAAGCGGATTTTGGTACCCTCAGCATGGTCGTTGATTTCAATGCTTGCTTCGTGCATCACCACGCTACCTTAGGAATTACCATAGGAGAGCCAGGGGACGGCGTGCAATCGGCCACTGCTATGCGCTGTGGAGGTTGGTGGGCTGCGAAGCGGTGGGAGCGCACAACTGGATTATTCACTGCTGCTTCTTGTGACCTGCAATGCATCCCGGTTTGCGGACAGTGCACGCTCCTGCCAAAATTTCCTTCTATTGCAGCCAAAAAGTTCTCATAGGCCCTGCCGTTCTCAAAGCAGCCCGATCCCTGTAAAGCTCTGGGCTTATTTTCTCACGGATTTATTGCTGGACATCCGATGGTCTAAAGTCAGGCCCCCACCTGCACCGTGGTCACCAGACTCAGCAAATATACCCATTTCATCCCTCACTGCAGCTCTGTCACGGCTGAAACCTTTTCCTGACCCCATTTCTGAACGCTTTACAGATAGAATAGGTGCACTTCCACAGACAGGCATCTCAAAATCATTCTTGCGTCCTGGTGTTCCTTTGTGACCCACCTGCAAATGGATCATGACATGATCACTATGAACCAGCTCAAGGCAGATGGACACACAGAGGGCACCAATCCGAACGGATAGAATAGAAGCGAGGAATGTGCGTTTATGCGCTGGACGCTACGGCAAACTGAGTGTGAAACTTGGAGTGCTAAGGGCGTGCAGCTTAGCTTGTCCTAGCGGCCTCTCTTCTCTCACGCTGATACCCCTAAAGAACAGAAGCAGGGGAAGGAGAGAACTCTTCTGAAGCCCTCTTAAGAGCTTTCTATTAAGGTTGCATTAAGTCCAGTTCTAAGCGCCTTTCTTACGGAGACACCTTTTACAAAAAGCTTTTTGCGCGCAGGCAAACAACATTTATGCATATCCTGTTATGCTATCTCTAATCTTCCATGAATATGGAATACGAACAACCAAGCCAAGTGGTGAAGCTTCTGATAATTCTTAATTCTAAATGATCAGTGCAGTATAATGTGACCGCTACAACAGCTATAGCACACGCACCGTATGCAGGTTGGTGCATGGAAGACATATCTCTTGGCCCAACGGGCTGCAGCCTGTCCGGCGCTGATGGCGCAGCTCCCCACAGAGTAGCCACAACCCCCAAGAGGGAACTCCACCAAGGAACAAGCCCCAATCTTGGTGTATCAAATGCTAACTGAAGAGCAAAGAAGGGCTAAAGAGCAGTAGTGTAGCGGGCAAAGCTACGAGTGGGCACTATCTACATTCACTTTTAGTTAGGAACTGCTCAAGATTTCACTACATGGTTTGTCCGGCCGTGATTGGTATTTTATGCAAAGCAACTTTAATTCGACTTAGCAAGAGCAGCAGTGTTTTACCCATGTGCTGTGTGCTATGTACAGCTGCGCGTGAACACGGAGCTTTTAGATGGGCCAGCAACGCCCATGTACCCTAGTTCTGGAGTGCTTAATCCCCTCACGCCAGAAAGACTAGCAATGATTAGGGACGCGATAGGGAAAAGCTCTTGCGCAGGGGCATTCTCAAGCTTGTTGTTATGCTTTTTATTGGGTCTGGGGTTTAAAGGACTGCTTACAGAGACCCTCTACCAGGAGTTACAAACGAGTCCTCACCATTCTTTTACAAGGAAAGCGCCTCTACAGGGCATTTATCTACTCCAGCGACTAAACCGCTACGACATCGCAGTCTTCGGGTGTACTGGAGTTACGCGGAAGGCAGCACTGCTGCTTCTACTAAATTCTGAGCTCGATTGCAGCTTCGCCTCTAACTGCGGTTGATGCTGTTGCAGATGCTTTCGGATGGCAGTTCCAGGTGCTGCTCTGGGAGCTACGGGACCTGCACAATACTTTCTCTGATTTTGCGATACACATACTTCGACGCATTTCCAGTCCGTGTGCCGTGTTTTGTCTGCGACACAACCCCTCGGATGTTCATGCCTAGCATATCAATACGTGAGTGATTATGACCTTTGAGTGTACAAATCGCCCATAAAGTCCTATTCACCAGATCTAGGCCTTTGCTTATGGGCCTTCGTGCCTTTTGGGTCTCACAGACACACTGACTTTAGCATGGAAGGAAGCGGTAGGAACGCACAGCTTCACATGCCAGAAGAGGTCTAGAGGGGACCAGGTGAGTAAGCCTGACCAAATTGTGGCTAGAATCGACAATAATATTGGTTCTGAGGACCATAAATCGAACAGAAGGTCAAACAAGGCATTTGCTCTAGCTTCACCGGGTGTCGGACACAGAGGTAACTAGACAGCTGACGACGCACCGCATCGTGATCACTCGGAAGTCCCCGAGTTTTATCTCTCCTCAATGACATTTTAACTCCTTCAGTTTTTGGATATTAAAGTCTGTATAAGGTGGGCATATGGAAAGAAATAATGCTCAGAGGGGCGTGGACATTACGAGCTCGCTGCCAGCACCTCCGTGAACCTGTGGGCAACCAAATTCATGGAATACCACGTAATGGTTCTTTATATGCACTTACAGCGCCCCAGATCACCTTCTGTAAATTGTTTGTATAAATTTTCGAGCTGTATTTCCTTGTACTAGGGCACTTTGCCAGCAAACACTCAGTGGCAGCGGTCACGACACGGCAAGCAGAGCGCTCGGCTGAGCAGCCGCCACCTGCAGGGACTCGGTGAGCTGCTTCGTGTAGGACAGCTGAAATGTAGCTGGATCGGCATACTTTTCTCTGAGTTGTGATGTTTTACCAGCGTGTATTGTCTTTTTTCCTCTCGAGACACGCAGACTGATGGGCTTTTGCTGCAGTCAACCAACAGCGAAGCTCGACTACCACCGTCTTTGGACACAGCCGGTTCCCTCCGTTCCTCTGCTTCTTTTGCAATAAGCCCCCACCATACCTTACAGTAGGGTACAACTGTTTCTAAGGAGCAACTCGTTCAAATCTAGTTTTGTCTGTTGTAGGTACAGCCAACACATCGCCAGTTCCTCCTGCAGCTGAGGTGTATCGACACTCGGAACAGCAGCGGCAGCAGCATTATCGGCAGAAGCAACAACGCTCCTCGCAGCACAAAATTTCAGCTAGCTACCCATTTTTGAATCATTTTTGATCCTTCAAAGACTTTATTCTGCTGCCTCCACAAGTGTGTCTGCCTCTCGGACACACTGGCGTCTCCGACACGGGCGTCGTTACAGCAAGCAACGAACGGCAATCGACTTCCAAGGAGGCGCCCGCATTTTTCTTTGATGGTTCAGAAGCGCAACGCTCGCAAGAAGGCACGGTCTGTTGCTCCTTCCACCGGTGCACCCAGCAGCAAATCAAAACCTCTAAAGGCTAGTACCGAGAAGATGAGTGCTCAAGAGAAGGCACTGCAGCAGAAGCAGCAGCAACAGGCAAAGGCCGAAGCTGTTGATGCGTCCCCGATGAAGCACCAACAGCTGCAAGAACAGGCCGCTACAAGAGAAACAACTCCGGATGAAAAAGATGAACAGGTACTCCAGGAAGAGCAGCAGGTGCGACAGGTGCAGATGACGCAGAGCAAACTGCATGAGCAGCAGCAGCAACGGCAAGAAGCAGAGTGGCAGCGGCGTTCGGATGGAAAACAACAGCAACAGCGGGAACTCCAGGGGCAACAGCCACATGAGCAACGTCAACGTGCCTCAGAAAAGAGTCCTGTTCACTGGAAGCAAGATGTAGTAGACAAGCTCAGGCTACCAGGTAAAGGTCAAAAGGGAATGTGCTAGCGCTCCTGCCACTTTGGAGTGCAGTTGCGGGTGTCTTTTTCAATGAACGGGCTTAAGCGGAATGCATTTCTGCACTATAGATATATAAATTGCCTCTCTCTCTGCCCTTAGCCAGCGCACACTTGTGGGACCTGCACAAGAAAGTGCACGCGCATCTAGGTCTGTAGGTACATCAAGCAACATATTTTCTATCCTCGATATAAAGATATCAACGAATTCTAGTGGTGCTGCTGCAATGCCTTGCCGTGTATTTGCAGGTCCTGTACTTACCCGGGACCAGTTTCTCCGAGCTTTCGTGGATGGCTGCTCTGGCAGCACTGTCCAGTTGTGCAATGATGTTTTTGAGCAGCTGAAGAGTAGAGGCTTGGGGGGCCAGCCAGACACTATCGCAATGCCTACGCTGTTGCAGTTGCTGCAGCAATTCCACGAGCCTGATATCCGAATCCTCAGGGAAACGACACAAAGGCTTTCGATGAACTTTAAGAGTAAGCAAAAGCACTCAATCTAAGGCCTGATTTCTTGGTTTCCCCATAATGCCTTGTGGCTGCTACCTCTCGTTCTCCGATCGCTAGGCCTCTCTAGTTCTGCCTTCAGGGTGCCCTCACATCTCGAAGCGTGTCACCCTGTGCTCCTTTCCTTCCCTGGCATTCCTCCCTTTTTTCGCTATACTTTTCTTCTATTCTGTGAGGAACGGAGGCTTCTTTGGCTGCGCCTGCCTCGCTTCGCTCTGCTGGTTTGAGCTTCTATTGGGATTGGTTGCCGGGGTAGGAGAGGCCGTTTACAGATAATCTCTACACGCCCTCCTACAGGGCGCAGCCGTTCACGCAGTAATGGTCACTCCAACTTACTCTATGTGCATTTCTAGTCCCCGCTTGAATGGTACATGCGTGCGTGTTCAGCCTTAGACGAAACGCTTCAGCGATTACAGGGTCGCTCGTCTGCACACGAGTTCGCCGGCAAGTGGCTACTCAGGTGCGTGGCCCCAAATACGCGAGAAATTCAGCATCTTCAACGATCCATTGTTTCTGCTCCTCTTCTTTTCGTTCCTAAGACTTTATTTGGCAGCCTCGCAATGCTATACATCGAGCACTTCTTTCGTCCGTTTTTCTTTCTGCCCCTCCTTCTGGCTGTATGTATGTATGCCTGCTTGCCCCCTCCCTGCTCTTCCGGCGTCAGTGCGTAGGATGTCTCCGTCTTTATGCCCTTGATATACAGACGCTAGCGCTTGCCATATCACCCCCTTGCAGTCTAGCCTTAGTTTTTGAGCTTGCAGTTCTTACTGGGGAAACGGGCTAGCTAGTGCACAGCTCTAGAAATGTCTTTCTCCCTTATTTCCTTTCAAACGGATCACAAGAATCACCAGTTTACTCTGTGCAGAACCCGGAGCAAGGAGTTGTTCCGAGTTTCTCTCTGTTCCCCTGCATCCTTCTCCGATTGTATGCAGATATCTTCAGCGCCTGATGGAAGGCTGCACGTCAGAAGCAGAGCTTCTGCTGAACCGCAGATCCCCACAATATGCCGTGCAGACCTTTAACCATCAGCTCAAGGAGGCGCAGCCATACTGGGAGAGGGCTGTAGCTGTTGAGCACAAGCTTGCCTTGGAACAAGCGCGCGTGGTCAGTGGGTGTATATGTGTGTGCGTATGTGGACGCATGCGGCCTACGAACGGTGCACTCTGTGCCCGGTGCCTCGGGGCATGCAAGCTGCATCGCGTTTGTTGGTTGAAGTGCTCTCTTAGTTGGGCCGGTTGTCTCGGGTGTCTACCTCTCTAGCTTTGTATTTTCAACCTCGTTGTGTGGCTTCCGTCTGCATCTCTGCAATTTCTGGGGTTTTCTCTGCCTCTTTCAGCTGTGCTGTGCTGCTGCATGCCTCTATTCTATCATTACGTTGCACAGTAACGCAGGATGCCCACAGCAACTTCCCTGTCTTTCCGCTGTCATATTCATGCGACACCCGCCTCTCCTGTCATGCGCACGCTATGCGTTGCAGCTGGTAAGCAAGTGCCTCCAGAACATGCAGCTGGAACTAGAGTCGGATATCGAAGAGCTGCGGCGCCTTCAGCTGGCAGCAGAAAAGGCAGCGGCAGACCGCAAAGCCTCAGCAGCTGCCGCTGAGCGCCTGCAAAACATCACGCAAGATGAAGCAGACCGACTGGGACTTAATGCGGCTTCTAACGGCGTCGTAAATGTGCGCTATGTCTATGAAGATGGTACGGAAGTCACCAACCCAGCGCATCTCCCCGAAGGTGCACGGGTGGCGGAAGCAACAGCTACTGCAAATCTTCAGGCTACGGCTGCTGCAGCAAGCGCGGCAGCACGCGCAGCAGAGCAGCAGGCGCTCGCCGCTGCAGACAGCATGGCACAGGTCTCCAGACTTCAAGGGGCTTACGAGGCCACAGCAACAGAACAGAACACAAGGCAGAGCAGTATTCAGCAGCTGCAAGATTTCTACAAACAACAAACACTTCAACTCCAAATGCAACACGAACGCAATAGGCAAAATGGCAAAGCCCAAATGCCGGAGCAACAGCAACCGACGGAACAGCAAAAGCAGCAGATACAGCAGCAGAACCAGCAGATGCAGCAACAGCAGAGGCTGCAACATCAGCAGATGCAACAACAACAGATGCAACAACAGCAGAGGCTGCAACATCAGCAGATGCAACAACAACAGATGCAGCAACAGCACCCGCAACGGCACCAAAGTTTCGAATCTGTTGCTTCACTGCCGCGATTTCCCCAAGTATCTACAGCTCCAATGACAGCCGCACTACCCACGTGGCTAGCCGGAAACAAGGAAGCAATGCAACACTCAACGCTTTCTGCCACCAACTCTAACGTCGGTAAAAGCAACCTGCCAGGGAGCCGCATGGTCTCCATGCAGCCGCCAGTGCCTCATACCAACGGGCCCACCCCAGTGCGACCTGAAGTGGGCACATGGAAACGGACTATTAGCACCACAGAAAAGACGGAAATATACATGAGACGAGGCAGAAGCAAACAGCCTGGTAGCTCATCAGATGCTGAACAGGAGCAAAAGCAGCAGCAACAACCGCAGCGTAGCCTCAGCATTAGCAACCCTTTAAGAAGCGCTGGAAAGCTGCTAGAGGCACTGGGACTATGGCAATCCAGCGACGACGAACAGCAGCAGCAACAGCAGGCTGAGCAGCAGCAACAGCAGCAACAACAGCAGCAACAACAGCAGCAACAGCAGCAACAACAACAGCAGCAGCAGATGCAACAGCAGATGCACCAGCAATTGCAGCAGCAACAACAGATGCAACAACAGATGCAACAACAGATGCAACAACAGATGCAACAACAGATGCAACAGCACCAACCGCCAAGAACGATGATGACTTCTTCTCTGCCACCCGTATCGTCTGCAGTTCCCTTCGGTAGTATGCCGCCTCATATTGGCGGAGATGTCGATATGACGCGTGATATGTCGTTGCAGATGGAGCAGCAAGTTCAGCAAATGCAGCAACAGATACAACAGCAGCTGCATCAGCAGTTCCTACACCAAGTCAGAGCTATGCAAGGCGCCTCCGCGTCGTCCCCCATGGATATACCCTTCCCCATTGCCCAAGAACAGCAGCAGCATGCGATGCAGAAGCAAATGCAACAGCAGATTCAGCAACAGGCCGTAAAGCGCATTCCTGTTCGATCGCTCGCAGAGGTGCCAAACGTGCAGCTGGGGGCATCACATGTAGTGGGGGGCCTGCAGCAAATCGAAGCCCTAACCCCTGGCCAAATTGAGAAGTATGCGGAGCACTATGGCATCTATCCAACGCCGGAGGCGGCAGCGGCTGCATTAGGGGGCGTTCCGCTGCAGGGAGTCGGAGCAATGAAGACACACGACAACGGGGGAGCACATTTGATTCAGGTGCAACAACAGCAGCAACAGGCCCATGGACATCAGTTCAGCGGAACTATAGAGCAGGTCAATTCCATGAAGCAAAGACAGCTTATGCGGATGCAAACGCAGCGGCAGAACGCTTAGCCTGCTGCCCCTTGCAGCACAGACGTGCACCATCTGCTCCTCGGCAGAGAGCACCCCCTCTGGCTGGTCCTCATCTCGCCGCCACTGGTGCACATCCTAAGTAAGGAGCAATTTCTGAATAGTGACACCTTCTACGAATAAAAGGATCTCCACAATGCCGTCTACAGCAATTTCAGATCGTCGCACTGGCAGTTGCAATAGCAGCACTGGGCGAAGGATTGCCACTGTTTCTGGCGCTACCGGCCCAATGCCTTCAATAATTTAATGGATGGCATGCATCATATGCATGCGCGTACAGTCATTACTTCCACGCATTACTATGTTTTCGTGGCTTCCTGATGAACAGTGTCAGCTGTCGGTCAGTTGCCTCGGAGCCGCCTACACATTCCAATCGTGCTAGCTTCCCTTGTTTTAGGACTAATCGAAGTTTTACGAGGAACATTTGATGCTTCGCTGAATAATACTGGGTAGCTGTATTTCTTGTCGGACACCCGAAGCAGCAGCCAGCCGTGTTTCAAGCAAACAGCACCAGCAGTATACAAAACGGCACCCTAGAAGCGTAACGAGGTGTTCGTCTCATATGGAAGGGCCTTCCAGCATCTGAAAAAAACTGGTATTCCCCCCCTCAAATTTGTTCCTCATGCTGCTGTTTGGCAGCACATCATCCTGTGCCTCTGTGGCTGCAGGAGAAGTAAGCAGGCCCCTCACCGCGTTAAGAAGATGGGGGCACATATGCGGCATATGTTACAGACTAGTATGTTTCGAGCAGATTGTTCATGAACTGCTCATTGACGAAGTGCCAGTTGATGACACTCCAGAAGTTTTCGAAATATTTCGCTCTGTCGTGTTGGGTATCAAGGTAGTACGCGTGTTCCCACACGTCACAGCAGAGGAGGGGAGAACAACGGGGAGCGATGGAAAGCGGGCACTGCGCATCATGACCCTCCAGAAACTCCAGTTTGTCGTTCGACGTGTTGTACACTAGCCACACCCAACCTTCACACAGGCCGAAACAGCGAACAGATCAAAACCGCATAGGAGAATGTACAAGAATGCATAGGTATGTGTGCATTAAGCAAATAATCGACAAATTAGTGGGTACCAGGAAACAGACGAGCCCAAACAGCCAACGCACTGACGCTCAAGCAGACGGCGCTGGAGAGAGAGATGTCGATGCAGAGATAGTCATCTGTAGATACCGTGTTTCACGGAGCAACCTTGCACTACAGTGCAGTTAATGCACAGACCACCGACGGAGAAATAAAGTGTACAGGCGATAACACACAAGAGCGGAAGGAAGGCAGTAGATTCCGTCAGGACGGCGGCAATGAAGTAAAAGGTGGACCCTTCAACGGAGGCATTAGATAAAATAAATATTTTAAAGTATAGAGACCCTTAGTTGAAGTAAGTCGCTAGCCAGCTGCCCACTGTGTTTCGCCTACAGGGGTGCCGTGTGAGCTAACTGTACCTAGCTACTGCCTTTTGCTCTGCGCTACTTGATGTCCAGAATGCCATCAGCTATACAGCCCCGGTATACGCTTAAGTGTGCATACACCTGGATGTTGCCGTATGGGTTTATTCATACCTGATCCAAAGTGTCCCAAAACTTTCTCCTTAAACTCATTTTTGAAGTTCTCGAGCGACCCAAAGTCCCTTTCAATTCGTTTCAGCGTTGGACCTAACGGAGAGCTTGTGTCTTCGTCACGAGGGCCTAAGCAATTGAAGTAGAAACTGTGATTCCAGACTTGAGCTGCCTGTAGGCCCATCCGACGTGATAGCAGCACGCAAGAAGACTGACTAACAAGCTCAAGAGCAAGGGCGTGAGTCTCAGCAAACACGAAAGAACTGCACCAATGCAGCTGTACAGACAGGGACGACAGCATCAGCACCGTGCCTGATTATAGATAGGCCCCTTCTCGGTTTTGATGATGCTCTCAATCTTCATATGCGCGGGATTTTCGCTGTCTTTCACCAGCGCGTTGAGCTTGTTTACGTATGCCTGATGGTGCTTCCCTGAAAGCACACCAAAAGAATAGAAACGCACGTTAGACCCTCTGCAGCGCGCAGCATGGCTGCTTTAGAGTGCTCAGACAATCCCTCTGACAATCGATATGCGTGCCGCTGGCCGTAGGCCTGTAGCGCACCACTGGTATGAAAGGGGAACCTGAAAAGCAGACAGAGTGCTAGGGATACAGCGGATACAAAAGCACCTTACCATAGTGGTGTTCGAGGGTGCGTTTAGAGATGTGCGGTTCCAGGGCATCGAGCTTGTATGGCAAAGCCGGCAAAGAGAACCTCTCGCTCAGGCGAAGGGCTGTCCTAAAGAGCGCCTGAAGAAAACAATATCAAAAGGGAAGAAAGAATCACAGGGTACTCATGAACTAAGCAGAACACAAAATCAATAACGCAACATCGGGTTGGAAGCGTAAAGAGCGAGGATTTCCCAGGTGTTCGAGGCAGCATGGGCAGCGAAAAGTCAGAGGGGGAGTAGAACTGCACTGATATAGGCTCGAACTCGGCTTAAAATGTTGTTTTCAATAATTTTAACGGAGAAAAGGGCAGGAAGAATGACGAAGGTGGCCTGGCGGCTGCATAGTAAACCGGAATACACACCATGTTGAATCACCGCTCAACAAGAAGTTTGCAGAACTGGAGCTCTAGGATTTAGTTTTCTTTCTTCAGATAAGAAAGTATATTTGGGAAATATTGGGGAATCCCACGGCTATAGGCGCAGCCAGGCAGCTCGTGGCTTAGAGGGCTGAGAGAAAGACAGCATGGCAGTGGTTGGTAGACTAGCACTTGGACTACTCTATCCCCTTTCCAACAACCCCCGCAAAATATAAATTCCCGAAATTCTTATGCTTTATTTTGCTGCAGCAAGTACTGCACTAGTAAGGCATAAATACCCCGGCATGCATATTGTTCGCCCAGCCTGCCAAGGCATGGGCTACAAGACACTGCGGGCAGCATAGCTCTGTGCTATGCCTTCAGGAAAAGAGCGCCCCTCACTATCGAGTCTGTAGCATTTAATAGTGTTGTGAGATACCTAAGAGGCTGCAGGATCGTTTTCTGTGAGCACCAGTACCCTTCACGAAAACGCGCCCTAGCGACTGCCTAATTTAGGATTTTGCGAATAGATGCAGCACATATATCTTGCTTGAAGCGCTTAAGACGGGGCAGTCCTCTCGTATTATTCCCACCTGTGTGACTGCTTCCTGGCATATGGAGTACTTTCCTTGCGTGCCTAAGAACTGGATGTGTAACGGGGATTCGCCCCCACGCCGTGGAAGATGGAAAGAGGGCTACACCTCTTTGTATCACTATTCAGTTCTTTTGCAGACCCCCTTTCTGGTATTTTGTGATCTTTAGGTAGGGCATTGGGGCTTCTCACCGAGGTATTCGCTGGTGCCATCAAATCGGGTTGCCAGCCGCAGGCTTCCTTCCTAGCTGATGTATGGACTTCTACAATAAAGAGTCCTTTCTTGAGTCAGAGCTCCACAACCAATTCAGGTGGTGAATCAGCTACCACACCTGACTTTCAACCTGCGGTAGCCCAGGTATACCAATACATTTTACGGGTGATCCATGGGAGCCCAAACGATGGTGGCAAGGGGAGGGAATCTTGTTTTTGTACTGTGTATTAGTAAGGGCTTCCTGTAGTATTAAGAAAGATGGATCAGACAAGTAGAGGCTAGACGTAAAAGGTTTGTGCATTCTACCAACGTGGGTGCGTATGCCCCATATGCACTGAGGAGGATTCGTTGCAAGGCATTACCTAGCGACGTAATCAAATTGTAATTTAGCATATAGATGTTCCTATTGCAGCTAACTCCAAGAACAACGCTATCGATACAAACTCCATGAGGACTGTGTTGCTGAGTGATCTCCACAACCCCCATAGTTGTTCTCAGGGCCCAGGCAAGTGACGAGCACATCACAAAATTTTTGTAGCACTTCTGCAGCAGGGAGTAAGGGCCACAGGTGCTGAGAGTCTGCCTGCGGCTAAGATTCCCTGAACCCTTCTTGTAGCACGCCCACGTGTTCCTTTTTTGGACCGAAAAGTGGAAGCAGCATAGTTTGATCTCATAATTCCTCAACAGAAGCAGCTCTCATGGGCTAGGCATTGCTCATATAAACTGAAGGCTGATGGTACATGCCCCAACGTCCGTTGCACTTAGGTCTAAGCACCAAGTGCGCAATGTGCGACGGACACAGAAACCGACGAGGACAGTCAATGGCACTCACCACAAGCCAGATTGGGTTCTATTCTTTCTGCAATCTCTGTACTTTTCGTCAGTCGTGTTTTTATAGTGTGCTATATTCACTCTTTCTTTGCAGCTGCCTGCTGCTCTCTGCTGAGCGTCCCACTGCATGTAGCCTTGCCCGTTCAAAGGAGCAGCGCTGGAGGTTGCCATTTCAAAGTACCACAAGGGTTTGCGTAATCTGCCTCTGGCAAGGCGTGGCCAGCCACATCCATGCGTAGCCCATCACTGTGTCTGTATGTATGTAAAAATATGTGCATAGGTATGTATGTATGTGTGAATGCGAAGTAAGGGGCCGTGCATTTCCTCAGCAAAGACGAAATAAGCTAAGTTGAGGTGGTTCTTTGTAGTCTCCGTTTCTTCGTCATATTTTGTGCAAACCTTGTTGCCTGCCCCACCTTCCCTGCCTAATTGTCAATCGTAAACCCCTGTGCAAGGAGATTCGTGGGTACCCAGTTGTCATACGCCGTTAGAGAAGGCAGCCGAAAGAGTACTGGAGTTGTGGGTGGTATCACGGAGCGCTGTGGCTGTAGCGCATACTTGAGATAACCACGTAGCCCAAGCGTGCGCCAAAATCGCAGCCCCAATCGACGCGATGGTTGCAATACCAAGTTAAGTAAGGTACATTTCGAGTTTGCAGGGCACTGTAAAAATGCTAAAGTGAAATTTCATTTGGCTGCGCTACGAGGGTGGAATGCGCATACTGGGGGAAAACATCCGAACGCCTCCCGACACATGCGTACGTATGTATATTATGCATGTGAACAAGCCTGCAGTGCAGCCGCAGAAGAGCTTCCCTATGAATAGGACAAAAAGACACCGAGAAAGGATGGGAAAACTCCACTGCCCGCGCAAGAAGAGCAGCAGCAGTGCTCGCTGCTACTGCTGTTGTTGCTGCCGCTGCGAAGGCCGGGCACCCCGCGTGGCGTGTTATCTCAACGTGCACTGCTCTGCTTGTAGATATTATTCCCATGACTGCAACACTACGCATTTGAGCTGTAGGTGCTTGCCTGCAGCAGCAGCGGCGCTCGTTTTCGCTGCCCTTGCAAGCATGCCTTCTAGGCATCCAGTGCAACAACATTACAGATGAGGAGAGAAGGAGGCATCGTTGCGTGCATTTCTCTGGCGCTCCTCCGTGTTTCGACAGCAGTGTCCGTGTGGCTGCTGCCGGCAATAATGGTGCACTGGCGTGGAGAGGAATAGGGGGGCCGAAATGTGGCAGCACGTTTCGACGGATTTTATGAGATTCTACAGATCGTTGCAATCGCAAACGATCCAATACAGTACTCTCCTATGTGCGTGTCAGGCATTTTAGGCCTCCGCCAGCAGGGGCACCCATCTGCAGTCGTGCTGCAGCAAGCCTCTAGGCAATAGCTCAACACGCGTACCTATCCACCTATCGACTCACCCTTCATTCAAGGATTTAGAGAAGGGCAGCTCATCGGTAAGTGATGATTGAAGGATTGAGGTGGCCAGTGTCTCCGAACTGCCGCGCGGAAACGTAGCCTCTTCTGTCTATGCTAAGCCACGTGATGCCGCAGTTGAAGGTTGCCAAGCGCAGCCATGCGGATGCAGGCAACTGTAGGGCCCTGCGACACACAGGAACACCAAAGCAGGAAGGCGCGCCACATGTGAGGAACAAGTTTCGCGCGACTCAGCGGATGAACCTGCGAAAGCGCTGCGCCACGAAGGCCACTACTGCCTCCTGTAAAGGGAGACATATGCCACAGCAGCGACTGGAAGGATCCCACACACAGGTTGCAGAGAGCTGCATCCAAAGAATGTTATCAGCAGGTGGAATCCCTAAGCATTAGAAAGATGCATAAGAGATGCATGAGAGAGAGCCGCTCAAGCGGAGAGAACCCTTTTTAGTAAGTCCACAAGTACACCTTGAACACGGGAGCGAGAGGGGCATGGGTGGGGTGGTTGCCTAACCGGCAGAAAAAATAGCGAATAACATTTCCGTGGCACACAATAATGCTGTATTCCTCTGTTGGGAGGGGCTTGCTGTTTGCGGGAGTGCTGCTATTGGCAGTGGATTTGCTGTTAGCGGTAGCAGTCGCAGCCGCCTCTGGCTGCTGCTGCTGCTGCTGGCGACGGAGCAGTAACTGCTGCTGCTGCTGCTGTTGGAGATCCGGCCCGGTGCCTCTGTAGAAGTACCGCCTAAATGCTTCTTCGATGCGCTTGCTATCCCTGAAGACACAGAAGAGCGAGCAGTTCGCGCGTGCGCGGGGGGAGTGCGTGTGTATGGCCAGCAAAAACAAGAGGCCATCCCCCCCTCCCTGCGAAGGAGGCCGCCTCGAAAGCGTGAAAAAACGCATCCAGTAGCCAACCGCGCGGCACCAACAAGCACAACCAACAGCACCAGACACGCGAAAAAGCATCAGAAACGACAGAGACAGGATGAGAGACGAAATACTGACGCTTCCACAGTGGCAGGCGCTGGGTGAAACACAGTCGAAGGGGGTATAGGCATAGCAGGAACGCCTTCTGCCAAAAGGGGGTCTTGAACGGTTGTTATTCCTGGTGTTGTGTCCCCCAATTTAGAAGCAATAATCTCTGCCGTTTCTCGAGCTCTCCTCATGTTGCTGTGATAGATGGCGGAAACCCTCTTATCCTAAGAGACACACTTACGAATATACGTGTACATCCATGCATACAAATATATATATATATATATATATATAGAAATAGAGAGAGAAGTAGAAAGAGAGAAATAGAGGGAGAAATAGAAATAGAGAATAGAGAGAGAATAGAGAAAGAGAAATAGAGAAAGAGAAACAGGGAGAAAAATATATATATATATATATATATAGAGAGAGAGAGAGAGAGAAACGGCCGGAGCGAGCCAGAATGCGGCAGCGCCAAAGGTGCGCGTGCTTTGTACTACTGGCAAAGAGATGGCGTGTGGACAGACACCCTTAGGGTATTATGGTGCGTGTGCAAAGACGTCGATACGGAGATGCTCCGTGACAGCAGAGGAAGATGGAGGCAAGAGAGAGCGAGAGACTCATACAATCCAAAGGCACTCATGGTAACGGTAAGCCGTGTTCTAGAAGCCAGGGTTCGATGCCCATATGTTTTCAGTAGTCTGATGATCTAAAATACGCAGCATTTCTTGCCCCCCTTACTGCCTACTGCGGAACGCGTAGTAAGCTAACAAACTATCATAGTTTGTGTTTCTCGTTCTGTCAAGCTGCGTTGTGTGTAGCTGATTACTAAGTGCGCGCTCACGGCGATCTGCCAAAACACTCCCGTTCCTTGCCTCCGTCTCCCCCTTTGCAGCTGCAGGCGCAGCTAAAGCCCTGTGTGCCCCTCTTACTAGTAGCTAGTCAGGCAGCTAGAAGCTAGCCAGCCAGCTAGAAATCAGCCAGTCAATGCAAGCATGCGTACCTTGAGTACTGCCTTGAGCCGTTCGCCAGTGACTTCTGCTTGGAGGCGCCCTACTGACGTTAGTCCGAGGGCTTCGTCATCTGTGGCATCGACGCTGTCAAACTGAGCTGCAAAGGAAACACCACCTCACGCACGCTTGCTGGGGGTGAAGTTGAGGCTCCTGCTGGAGCGAGCGATGTGCGCTCAGTGGAGAGCTGTTGCAGCCGAGTTTGTGGCCCTCTGCTGCAGACGCTGCTGCTGCTGCCTCTGCCTGCGCACGCTGAAGAGACGCTTTGCCAAGTGACGAAAAGACGCACCGTGGCGCACAAGAATAATATGCCGCGTGTAGGGATTTTGTTGTGGCTCCTGCTCTGGTGAGCCTTTTGCGAACCTCCACGCATCCCACTCATAATTCCAGCTTCCCGGCTGCTGCCTGCCGGTCATGCGGCCAGCGAAAAATCTGTGCGCAGACAAGAAGCGAAGGGTGGAGAGACTGCACAAAATCTGGGAAGCACGAGACTGTTTGGAGACACACAGAGAGGGCAGGCAGCGCGCAGCGCACGAGTGACTGGACAGCGGGACGCCTTGACTATGATGCATGCGGATTTGGCTGCGATGCAATTATACGCCGGGAAAACACGCGCATACACCTTCCAGCCGCGTCACGCGTGGATCAAGGGGACGCAGAACGGGAAGGCAGGGGTTAAGGCGTCCAGAGGATCTGCTGGAAAGGCAAAGAGGCACTTCCAGCGGCCTCAAACGCGCGTGCAAGGCTGCCCTTCTCCCTACCCGGCGAAGCTCCCAGAGAGCACCACTGCAGCCAGAAGAGGCAAATGGACGCCCCAAGGGTTGCCTCCGTCCACGGCCTCGTTATCTCCATTCAAATCCTCATGATCTGAAGCACGTCCTTCATCGTCATCAGAGTTTTCTGTTGCATGGCACGCCGATCTCTCTGGCTCCGGATCGCTCGGCGGTACCGCTATTTTCTCTGCCGTTTCTGCTGCTGCCCTGTGGCTCGTCGTAGTGGAGTGCCTCTGCGGCAGTCGTCGACACCACAGGGGGACTGTGGAGCAGCCATCCTTCGCGAGGCTTGCGTAGGATGGACCTCTGAACACCTGCGAAGCTTCCTGCGAAGGGCCCCATGTGCACAATTTGCGAATGTGACGGCCCTCCAGTGCCCTACCGACGGCGGGCCGTAGCAAACGCATTCCTTTTGGCAGAGTCCGCGCTGCTGCACCCTGATCGACGAGGAACCGGCTGGCGCTGCACGAGGCAGGGGACGGGGTTGCTGGGATTCAGAGAAATCCAGGCATAGGATGCGTGCAACAAGAAGAATGGGACACCGAGGAGGAAAAAGGCGAAAGAGGGAGAAGAAAAAGAATGCAGTTGAGTCGGGCCGGGCGCAACAGCGGGTAAGCCAGGCGAAAAAGCGGAACGGAAAAGGCGTTATGAGAAGATTTCCCTGACGCATTAAATTACTAGGGTTCACGAGTCATTCCTGTCATAGGGTTGCTTCGAGACTTGTTGTCGGCGGTTGTGTGGCGCAATGCCGAAGACAGCCCCATGCGCGCAGAGGCGTGGACATCTCCCAATACACCCCAAAACCGACCGGGAAAGAGCGGGGATACGGCGTACAGGTAGAAGATCCTTGTTACTTGCATCATGCGGTAAATGGTACTGTGAAAAGCACGCCTTCCTGTCATTTCTTGACAGCATGTTGCTCATCAAGAGCCCCTGCGCCTTGCGACTGTTTGCCGCCGCTGCGCTGCCGACGCTGGACACGTGTACACGCACATCCGAGCACTGGAATACCGGCGTTCCCAGGAGTATTACGACCAACTGTGCACTCCTGCTTCCACAAATGGACACAGGGGGCCCTTCGAGATTGCGAAGATTTTCGAGAAGATCCCTTGAAAGCAGCCTTTACAAACCAGCGACCTCCTCTCCTGGCACGCAACAGTCCGTGCAGCGGATGTCTGATTCCGACCATTAGCGTCACGGCAGAAGCACCCAACAGCCCGAAACAGCAGCAACAACGCAGAAGCCTCAGCGCAGGAGTGCCGCAGGACCGAACTTTGCATTCCGAACGCTTGCGTGTTTCGCATGCTTCGCGATTCTTCTCGTGGAGAAAGCGCAAGCGCAGAGCGGACGAGGGCGCACAGGGCCAGAAAGCCCCTAGGAGTACAGAATTGGGGCCTGAGGAGTCAGCGGCCTCGCGAATTCGCAACATGGCGGGGGCACGAGCGATCCTGCCTCCCAACAGAAGCGGCAGTCTCTCCCTGCGTGTCTGCGCACGCTTCTCGTGCGACGCGAGCACAGCAGCAGCGGCGAGGGCAAGAGAACAACCTTTTTCAACAGCGCACCCCGGTGCAGGTGTCAAATGGCATTCCCAGAAAGTCCTCTCCGCAGCGAATCCTGATGGTGGCAGTATCCGTGCATCCCGCGAAGGAAGAAGGTTCCCGGCAGCAGCAGCACAGGAGGGAGGGTTGGCGGGAAAGCAGGCAGCAAGTACGTCTCAAAAAGAGTCGGAGGGAGGTCACTTGCTGCGTGAGGAGGCTTTGCGCATGCTGCAGCGGACTGCAGAAGTGGAACCTCACGATCTCTCTTCGTGGGTAAGGAGCGTGCACCTGCTCTTTGGCTTGAAGGAGTAAGCCTTTCGTGCTCGATTTTGCACATTTGTGCGCGAACGCTTTGAGGTTCCTTCAGATGGCTGGCTGGCCCGAAGAGTTGGCCACCACTGTGCCTCTACGCGCTGCGTGGCGGGTGTGCCTCTTGTGCGTTTTTTGCGACGCCATCGCGTTTTTAATGCCATTTCACCCCGCCTTCTCCATGCGAGAAACCTTTTAAGCCCCCCTCTCAGCTCCCCGTCCCCTCCCTTGCCTTTCCCCCCGCTTGCTTCCCCCCTCCACTTAGGGGGATACATTGATAGACAGATACATATATATATATATATGTATATGTACATGTATACATGCTTCCTCTCGCTGGCCTGCGCTGCTGCTGCCTCCTGCTCTGTGCTGTGCACACGGCTTGCTTCGTCTCCCGCGTGTAGCATTCTGTATTGTGGTATTGTGGCGGCATAGTCCGACGTTTCAGCTTCCTAAGCACTTGGCTGTGTGTGCCTTTTTCCCTACCTTCAATCGCCGACCTTCCTCTCCCCCCCTCCCACCCGTCTGCGGCGAGCAGGGCAGCAACAACCACAGCACCCCTCCCTTCCCCCCTGCCTTGCCTTCATGAGCACCTTGCTGTCACTAAGCCTCCTTCTGCGTCCTTCAGATACGAGAGGCTTCGCGCTGCAGCTCCTGAAATGCTGCGCCTCGTCCGCTTCCTCCGGCCTGCAGAAGCGGCAATGCTAGCACACCACGCTTCACACTTCTTCGCTGCCCGCAAAAAGAGGGACAGAGAGGACAGACGCGAGAGAAGTCTTGCAGTGGGTGTAGCGGGCAAAGGGCTGCCTCATCATGCACAGCAAAGGCGTGTGCCACAGCCGTCTCCAAGTCGAGAAGACGCGACGGCGGAAAGGTCCTTCCAGAACGCATGGTGGAACGCTTTCTGCAAAGCAGCGCTTGGAATTCTGCAGGATGCAGACGGCCGGGAGACGGCCGTCATTCTCGCCGCCATTGCTGCCTCACAGGTGTGCATTGTGTACAGTGTGTGCATTGTGTACAGTGTGTGCATTGTGTACAGTGTACAGTGCGTACAGTGTGTACAGTGTATGCAGTGTACAGTGTGCATTGTGTACAGCGTGTACAGTGTGTGCATTGTACAGTGTACATTGTGTACAGTGTGTACAGTGTGTGCATTGTACAGTGTGCAGTGCGTACAGTGTGTACAGTGTATGCAGTGTACAGTGTGTACAGTGTGTGCATTGTACAGTGTACATTGTGTGTACAGTGTACATTGTGTACATTGTGTACAGTGTGTGCATTGTACAGTGTGCATTGTGTACAGTGTGAGCATTGTACTGTGTACAGTGCGTACAGTGTGTACAGTGTATGCAGTGTACAGTGTGTGCATTGTACAGTGTACATTGTGTGTACAGTGTACATTGTGTACAGTGTGTGCATTGTACAGTGTGCATTGTGTACAGTGTGAGCATTGTACAGTGTACATTGTGTGTACAGTGTGTACAGTGTACAGTGTGTGCATTGTACAGTGCACAGTGTATGCAGTGTACAGTGTACAGTGTGTGCATTGTACAGTGCACAGTGTATGCAGTGTACAGTGTACAGTGTGTGCATTGTACAGTGCGCATTGTGTACAGTGTGTGCATTGTACAGTGTGTACAATGTGTGCATTGTACAGTGTGTACAGTGTGTGCATTGTACAGTGTGCATTGTGTGTACAGTGTATGCATTGTACAGTGTACATTGTGTACAGTGTGTACAGTGTGCATTGTGTACAGTGTACAGTGTGTACAACGCTCGGGACAGAGGCGGCTTCGTGCTAGGCGGAGACAGCGATATGCAGAGAGACGTGGATAATACAGAAGCAACACGTTTTTGAGCCGCACAGGGGCCGCTGGTGAGAGCTCAGCAGCAGCCAGAGGACGTGAAATTTCCCCTCGTAATATGCCATTTGCGTTTCATTCTGCTGCAGACGTCGCAAACCGAGTTGGTATCGCTGCTGCTTGCAGAAGCGGAGGCCTGGGCAGCCGAAAATTCCCCTCGAAATAATGCGCTCATCCGTAAGCGGCTGCACTTGCTGCTACTGCTCTTGGTGTTGCCACTACTATTGCTTGTTGCACATGCTACACGTGCTGCACATGCTACACTTGCTGCACATGCTACACTTGCTGCACATGCTGCTACTCTTTCACGCACTGCTGGTATTGCTGCTCCTGCTGATATTGCTGCTCCTGCTGATATTGCTGCTCCTGCTGGTATTGCTGCACTTGCTGGTATTGCTGCTCCTGCTGGTATTGCTGCACTTGCTGCTCTTGCTTTTGCCAGTAGGGCTGTTGCATCTGCACTTGCTGCTGCTGGTGCTACCGCCAGTGCATTCCATTTGACTGGTTTTCCTCCGGGCCTTTTCAGTCACATCACATGCATGCATGCATGCATGTGATGTGACGGTGAGGGGGGGAGTGTGTTTGTCCATCCGTGAAGTGTGGCGGTTTGTCTGCGTGGGGGGTTGCTGCTGCAGTTCATTCTTTAGGTCGCATCGGCTCGACGGGCTGCTGCGAGGCAGCGACGGCTGCCATCTGCAAGTCTCTTCGGGAGAAGCAGGAGCAGCTGAACGCCATCGACTGCTGCATGAGCAGTACGTCTCCCCCGTCATAGGAGGCTGTAGGCCTCCAGAGCTGCCATTATGGCGTGCGGCTGGATACGGAGACGCTATCGACAGAGGCGGAAGCCTAAAAAAAAGGATTCGTTGCTGGGAGTGCAAAGAATCAGGATCTAGCGTCGAGAGAGCTTGGAAGTCAGCGTTTGTCTGCATGCGTACAGTTCACGGTGCGGCACGCCTTGGCCTCAAAGATCCGGCGTTCTACGAGGATCTTCTTACCAGGGCAGAGGCGTTGTTGCCGCAGATGAATGAGCACAACCTCTCCATGATAGGTGCGCTAATGGCGCAGATCCTAGCCGTATTTTGCAGAGCTTTCGAGACTTGCAGCCGCAGGCCGTTCGTGCGTGCTGCTCTCCTCCTGTTGGTGAGACCTCCTGCCTCCCAGCTTCGCAGTGTATGCGTCTTCGGGGCATTGCATGCGTTGCGGCGCTTCTTTGCTGCAGTTTGGGGAATGGGGGAGGTTGGCGTCCGACAGCTCCGCTTCCTCGCTTCTGCTGCCGAGCATCTCTTGCGAATATGTGACGCGTAAGGCTCATGGTCTCATCCGCGGCATCCTTCCTCCTTTCTTCGCGTTTTCCGGAGCTTTTTAAACCCCCTCTCTGTGACTTTTTGGAGCTGCTGCTGGAGGCGCTGTTGCGCCTGTACGCACGGTCTCCGTTGCTTGCCTTGCCTATTATCTGCCTCGCGAACTGTCGAAATACGCCTTAGCACCCCGCCTCTCCGTCTGCGAAAGGCTGCCTCGTGCCCCTGCAGCGCAGCTTGCATGCGGTCCAAGGACGCTGCTGTGTGCAGGCGGGGAGTCGCTCCCCATTATGCGGCTCCGATACTTTGGGGCTTTAGCCGCCTGTCTTTTGCATCGCCATCGGTCCTGCGCTTTGTCGATGGCGCGCTGCGCAAAGTTGACCGCATGCAAGCGCTCGACGTGTGCATCACGTGCACCGGTATGCGAACCGCAAATGGCAGATCCTCGAACCTCGGCGCTGCTGTGGATTGCAGACGGGGAAAGACGAAGGGAAGTAGTGAGGAAGAGGGAGGGGGAGAGCGAGGGAGGAAGCGCGACCGCAGCAGCTGCGCTCCTCCGCGTGGCTCGTGCTTGCGTTCTCCCCTGCAAGAGAGTCTCTTTGCTGTGGGGTGGCTGCTGCTGCCGCAGCAACTGCGAAATTGGGGCTGTCTGTACACACGCAGCCGCAGCTGCAGCCTCTGCTGCGCTACGCTGGACAGCTTCTCCAGCAGGGAACTCTCAGGGAGCCGAAGCACCTAACAAACTTGGCGGTTGTAAGGAGGAGGGCATCTGGGAAAGCGATCCTGCATGCAACGTGGCTCGCACTGCTGCTGCTGCCACTCCCACTCTTCCTTTCCCCCTTCTCCCTTTCTGCTGTGTGTCTCTCTTAGCTCGCGTCCGTGTGAGTAAAGGCTTCCGCACACCTTTGTATTGAGGCAGTTTTATAGAAACAACAGCTTGCCCTACTTCCTTGGCCGCTCAGACGCAGTCAAGAGGCTTGTCCTCCTCCTTTCGCGCGTTCTTCCTCTTGCTGTCTTTGCGGTAGGGGTCGTATACCGCCGTGTCTCCTCGCAGCGATGCCGCGCTGTTTTTGCGCCTCCTGCTGCTGTGCAGGCAGGGAGCACGCTGGATAGCAGCCTCTCAGTCTCGGCGTTCTGGACGCCTCTAGGGAGACTCTTGGCAGCGGGGTAGGAGGCACTGGGAAGGGAACGGGGGCACCCCAGGCTGCCGTCTGCTCCAGATGCCAAGTGTCTACGCCTTCGCCCAGGCACTTGAGACTGAGCCACGCACAGCGAGGCTCACGCGAACGCAGTGGTGCACACGCGCTGCTGCCTTCCTGTGTGTACTGCTGCAGCGCCTCACGACTCGTCCCTAGAGACGCAGCGAACGTCGCTCTCTGTTTCCAACGGCTGCATCACCGGCAGCGCAGTCGGCAGCAAGGCCTATCTCTGCGCGCCGAATCGGTTTGGATTGCGGAGTTCTTCAAAAGGCTGAATGACGTGAGGAAGCCTGCGTTCAAAACTCTTTCTATGAGGCCCCAACCAAGAGCAAGGCGCCGTGCGTGTGTCTCGCACAGACCAAGGGCGAAAAGGCGGCGCGATGCCACGCTGAAAAAGACTTAAAAAAAAGCAAATGCCTGTCTCCTGCATGCACATACACGCACACTGGCCGCCTTTGGAGTCCGCCATTCTGCAATCCCACTTGGGAGACGCTAGCAGCTCTTGTTGGCTGGCGCTGGTTTCTGCGCCGTCTTTGCCTGCTCTCTGTATTGCAAAGGTTCATGATGCGTCTCTCAGTCGTGGCTGCTGTCTCTCTGGGTGTCTGGGTGTGTGCTCCGTCTGCGCAACAGGCAGTCACTGAGGGCCTGTGGGATTCGGCTGCACTGCGCGATGCTGCAAACGCCGCATTCGCCGCTGCCTCCGTTGATGCCGCTGCCGCCACATCGGCAAACCGCTTCGATGCAGAGACACCAACAGAAGCAGCATCTTTGAACTCCCCAGCAGCAGCCTTGACTCCCCTTCTGAAACTTGCGCTGGCTCTCTTCTACCGGGAGGTCTGTCTTCGCCCCGACTCCTGGGTGTCACCTCCCTTTATGGTCGACTCTGCCTCCTTCGCTGCTGCTCTGTGTGCTGCGTGGCCGCACGCTTCGCTTCTCTCTCTGTAGCCTCCCCATGCTCCACTTCGCCGGGGGGGTGTTTGGGGGGGTCGTCAAATCTGCTTTCGGTGATTCCAGTTGCTCCCACCTCCTCCGCACGGTCGCTACGCCTTCTTGCGTGTGCTCTATGCGCCGCCCTCTATCTCCCTTCCCTTCCTTGGCAGAGGGGGCTCTGGCCTAACTGTATGTGGCGTATTGCTTCATGTACGGCGTGGACGTGTGCGTCTGCCTTGCGGCGTGGCTTGCTGCGAGAAGCAGCTAGCTATACATGTCTCGGTGCTCGCTAGCGCCTCGACGTCCTACGGCCTGCGAGAGCGGATGTGGTGCTCATGATTTGTCGTTGGTGCTTTTGCAGCAGAAGGAAGGAGGCACCGCTTCTCCGCAGGATGTAACACGCCTCCTTGGCGGCCTTGCTCTTTCAACTCCACCGGCAGTCCCTTGTACGGCAGCAGCAGTTGCGGCAGCCGCAGACATAGCTGAGAGCGCAGCAGCGAACAAGCATTTGTATTCAAGAAAGCAGCAGCACGCAGTTGCGGAGGCTCTCATGAAGGTGAGATGTCCGTACACCTCACAGGGGACGGAGGATACTGAAAGGAGCCCCATTAGTGCAGCTGCGGTCGGGGCTTCGCGCTTTGCAATTGTTGCGTGTGCCGATGGTCTTAATGAACTTTTCGTTGCAGCTTGGTCTACAGCCGGACGGCCTGCGCGACTGGCTGGAGAGCTTTTCTCCCAAGTGCCGACGCAGAGAGGCGCAAGAGCTGGTGGCCGCAGACGGAGAGGCTGAGGTGTATGTACAGCTGGATGAGGAAAATCCCATACTAAAGGAGACTGGCACCAGACACACCGACACTGACGTCGCGCACTGATAGCAATTTTGCGTCCATCCCGCCACCTACTGTTTCGCTTTGCAGCCAAATAGATTAAGCGTGCAGCGAGGCCAACGGGCGCGCTCCGTACGAAGGCCTGTCGAAGGTCTCGTCAGGTACATTACTAGCACGTGCGCCAACTGTTGTGTTTGGCACGCGAGTAAAACGTAGTTTCAAAGCAAAGGTGTACATGCTGGTGCATGGTATAGCGGTATGCTCATGTGTTGTGTTACAAGTGGCGGTAGCACGTATCTCCGCACAGGAGCTCCCAAATACTGACGCAGCAGTTTGGCTCTAAGTCCATCATGAGTGTAACCTAGGGATATGCCAACTATTCCTGTGAGAGATATTGGCAAGGTCAGACGGCAGAGGCGCCGCTTGGCTAGTGTTTGAGATAGGGGATCACCGCACAATCGCTCGATCATCCCTCCCCGGGTGCACCCTCCCAGACGTTGCTAGGCACACACGCGGGAAAGACCTCGATAATAGTACTTTGTTGCGTCTTTCATCTTTCAGTATACAACGCAAGGGCCCCCTAGCTGGGAGATTCAGGAGAGCAGCATAGCGGTACCCTGAGGGCTGCGCAAAACAGAGCTCTACCCGACACAGAAAACCAGATACCCAGTCCACTCGCGCATGCGGTATTCTTTCTGCATTCGCGGGTTGCAGTGGAGGGCGCGCGCTGAGAGGGTGACTGCGAGTGGGCACCCGCAGGCAGGCATCCACACCCTCGCGCTTGGTCTCATCATGCTCCGGTGTACAGACACACGCAGGTCCGGAAACTGGGTGTCCGTACACACCACCAGCTTAGCCAAACACGGAATGCAACATGGTTCTGGATAGATTTCTGTGCGCTTTCCATGAAGCATACCTGTTGGTTTGCTTCCAAAGGTAATAAAAATCCACGACTTCTTTGGTTGTTTTCGTCTCGATGAGTCGTTGCAACATATTGAAGTCCTTGCCGTATTTGCAGATGCCGGCTTCAAACAGAGCCACCTCCTTAGGACCCCAGAGGTCCAGCACGTTGCGATGTCTCAGGGGAGATGTCAGAAGCTCTATGGGGGTCAAACGAATGCACGGCCCCCGACCACGACGTTGCTGTTGCTGATTCGACTCCTGCTGCTGCTGGTCCTTGCTGCTGCTGCGGTAGCCGGAGCCGCCCCCCCCCCCCGCTGCGGCTGTAGCGCCCCGCTCCCTTTGCGTATTGTTGCACACAATAAGGCGATGGATAACGGCACCGACTTGACTCTCGTTGCCCCCATCCCCCAAGGCATCGCCTTCTGGAGGGGCCCCCAATGCCGCCATCTGGGCACCGCCCCCCCCCCGAATCACCTCGATGTCGCCTACCACTCTGCTGCCCACGCTGCCGGAACCCCCACTGCTGCTGTTGCTGCTGCCGCCTCCCGTGCGACCCCCCCAAAAACCGAAATACAACTGCTCACACAACTGCAAATAACGCTCCACCCCCCGAATGCGCCGCTGAGACACCAGAAATCGCTGCCTCACTGCAGCATCCTGCGCCACCCCCGAGGTCGTCACTCCAGATCTCCGCGAAACGGAAGCGCAAGGACCGCCTCCAGCAGGAACGCCAGAACCACCCCCTCCCAGCCCTGCTTGCGAGGGGGTTACCGCGGCATAGGCTGCGTCGTCGCAAGTATATACAAGTTGAGACAAGCCTCCGGGAGAGCCACTCATCAGAGATCCCCCCCCCGGATAGCCCCCTTCGCACGAGGGAGAGACACCCCCCCCCCCTAAAGCAACCCCACGTGGCTCTGGACGCTGTCGTAAACGGGCAGAAAAGCGGCCTCCCGATTCCCCTGCAGCTGAAGCAGCTGCAACTGAAGCAGCTGCAACTGAAGCAGCTGCAGCTGCTGCTTCAGACTCCTCCTTTTTTGCTGTCGAAGCCACCGCAGCAGCGACCCCTTCCTCTGCAGGGCCCCCCTCCACAATAAACACGTAGCCCACAGCCCGCCGCTTACGTCCACTCTGAGGAACGGCCATTTCTCCTTGCTTGTGCTGCTGCTGCTGCTGCTGCTGCTGCTGGGAGTCAAATGGCGAGGGGGGGGGGGCAGCCGCGTCTAAGGGGTCACCCTCTTCTGGCACTCCGTTGTCATCTCTGCCTCGCCAACAAGTCCGTCCCCTGGAGCCCCCTGCCCGTCGAGGCCGCTTCTTAGATCCTTCCTGCATCATCAGCATCAGCTGTTGCTGCTGCTGTTGCTGCTGCTGATCTGCGGGGGAAGGCGACACTGGGAGAGATGAGGCAGTGACACTGGGCGTTCTAGATGCCGCTGCCTCTCCCGCGGCTGCTGCTGCTGATAAGGCGCCCGACTTCTTTTCGGGAGTCGAATTGCCCCCCGAGCTGCCAGCACCTATAGAGGCCTCAAGAAGCTCCTCTCTGGATTTGCTGCTGCTGTTGCTGCTGCTGTTGCTGCCCTCGTCACTGCGCCTCAGCTTTGGCCTACTCGGAGTGCCGCCAGCAGCTGCTGTCGTAGCCTCTGCTGTCTCATCTTCACCCTGTCTCCTCAAATGACGGCGTCCTCGACCCCCACTATTAGCCAAGGAACCGCGGCTTCCAGGAGAATCAAAGGCGAGACGCCCTCCTCCTGCTGCTCGTTCTGCTGCTGCTCGTTCTGCTGCTGCTCGTTCTGCTGCTGCAGCTGCTGCTGCATTTGCCGTATCGATTGCCCGCAACGCTGCAGCAGCGCCGCTGGGGAGGCCGTCATCGGAAGGACCCTCCGAAGATTCCCTCTGACCCCTATCCGTATCATGTTGCTGACTGGATTCTTGAAGAGTCTCCCGAAGATGAGACGGGGTAGCAGGCAGCTCCTGCTCTTCTTCCTCCTGTGCCTGAAATTCTTGTTGCTGGACGTGAGGAGGATGCCACAACTGCTGAGCACCTGAGAGGTCTGCTGCAGTCGCATCAGCGACCTGCTGCTTTTGTGGCTGCACATGTTGCTCGCTCTGCTGCACATGTTGCTCGTTCTGCTGCACATGCTGCTCGTTCTGCTGCTGCTGCTGCTGCGCCTCCTCCTCTTCCTCCTCCTGCCGCTGCAACTGCTGCTGGTGCTGTTGCTGAGCCAGAGCTTCGTGTGCCTCCGTTAGGCACGCAAGAAGGGAAACCCCCTGTGGTGACGAAAGCGAGTCTGGGGCCGTGCTGTTGGTGGTGTCGTTGGCGTTGTTGTTGCTGCTGCTGCTCGCAGCAGCAGCAGCAGCAACAGATTCCGGCTGCTCCATTTCAAGAAGGCGCTGGGGCCTACCCAGGCCTTCTGCTGGTGCAGCTGCTGCTGCGCCTGTTGGGGCAAATCCCCCGCTGCCACAGCTACGCCACTGCCCCTGCTCCTACGCGTTACGAGCAGCACAGCTCCCGTGTATTTGAGCCTCCAGCGGTCCGCTGCTGCGCAGTATACGGCGCCAGGGAGTGCCACAGAATAGGAGGGATGCAGACAGATAGACCCCCTTCTTTCCCCCCTCCGGACAGTAGCTGCAGCAAGAGGCCTGGGGCTGGCTCTCACTCGCGGGTTTCCCCTGGGTAATAATCCCTTGATAAGGTCAAACGAACGGTACTCAAAATTTACATGTGCGAATATTCAAAATGATGTATGTATGTACTTTGGGAATGCAGATAGCAGAAAGTGCCACTGGGCACTACACATGCCCCCCTGCTGCAGGGGGGCATGCGGATACCACTGTGATGAGGAGTCTCCCTTTCTGTATTATGCTGCGTAATTTTAACCTAGCGGCATCCATTGTGCAGTGTTTAGCTGACCACTGTCTCTCGGGAGGCGCTGTCATGGATGATGCAGCAGAGATGTGTCTAGGAGAATCAACGCGCCGCTATGTCCCCCACGCGAAGGCCTGTGTAACAGGCTAACCGACAGTCTAACACTTTCTATTGCAGTAGGTGCAGTTAGCTGAATATAGAAAGAATTGACTGCCTTGCTTGGTTGTTTGCGTACTTCACATGCTGCACGAGACTTTTACCTCGAAACAAGAAGATACAGCGACGCTGTGTGGGGGTGTGGTACGTGCCCTGTTTAACTAGCCGTGAATGCTCGGAGTGCTAAGAGGGTGCAGTTACATACATCCTAGCTTACCCCTTGTCCTCGTGGGACTTCTGAGAGCTGGGAGAAGGTAAAGCAAGAAATCCTTTGAAAGACAACGAATAATTTTCTATTGAGCTTAATTAAATCTCAAGTGAAGTGTCACCAAGTGGAGTTCTTAGATGAAACGCAGAGGCTAGCTTGCCGTGGAACTCCCACAAGACTGCGACAGCTTGAGTCAGCATTAGATTTACTGCAGTTTGCTCGCTGGCGTTGCAATATCTTAGCATCGCTGCAGTGATGTGTCGAGTGCCTGGTCATCAGCCGCACAGCAGAATACCTCAAATACGACAGAACCCAAAAACTAAATATTGCGGATAGGAGACTCTAAAAATGTCAAAGCTTTTCCCTAACAAGCTCGAGGGACAGTTTTAGACGTGAATCCATGTATGTAGGCGAATGGTTCCATCTAGAGGGGACCGAGGGAGTAAGAAGGGCGGAAGGCCGTTACGCCGATCGCGAGACCCTTGTTTGTTTCTCAAGCGGAATCACCCAGCCAACCACAGTTTCGCTTCCCTGCTGAACGAGTGGGACTATCAGTGAGTAAGCGCTTTAAAGACTGGGGTTCCAAGGACAACAGGGAACCCCTCATATCTCCTACATCACTCTTATGAATTTATTTGCTGGTGCATTTGGGCATTGCGTTTGGCCGGCAAGTCCTATTCGCACAGGGGACCACGAACTCTTGTTTTCCTGGGTTTGAAAACAGCCCTTTCAGCTTTCTCATGCTACATAAATCTCTTTCACTATGCACACTGATGACATGTTTCCGTCCTGCTAAATTTATAAGCATATGGGCTGGTCCGTACAACGTTGAGGATGCAGCGCGCTTCGACGTCAGAGCCTGCATGCACCGTGTGAGCTCAGGGCCAGGCGTGAAATAGCCTCATAGGATCGAGACACCAGAACGTGTCCACACACATTTTTCTGGTTGGTTGGTTGACCAGTCTCGGTTTAGTCATCCGTGTTCTTGTGCGCCAAGTCTCCCCTACGTGGGGTTCACAGCATCACTTTCTTCACCAATATCAAGCTCGCCTCTGCTAGCCTCTGAAGTTGAAGGGCTGGTTACTTCAGCTTCTGAATCTGTAAGTTCAGCCGGTATTGACTCGTCCTCGTTTACTACAGTGGCGACGGCGTGCTGAAACAGAGCAGATTCCAGTTGCCCGAGCTCAGCAGCTTCGCTCTGCACTTCCGCTCTCTGCTCCTCTTCGAGTTTTTGTTTGTACGCTTCAATCATTCGCTTGTACTCGCGCATTTGCTCGCGTGCTGCGACTAAATCTTTTTGGCGCTGCAGGTTCATGACTTCTCGATAGGCAGCCATAGATGTGCCCCAACGCCCCCAAATTTCGAGGGCCGCTAAAAGCAGAAGAATGCATGCTACAGCTATTATTAGGAAAATACCACCAACAGGGCGCATGAGGTCATTCTCTGTAGAATCGGGGTCTTCGACAACTGGCTGGTCCGGAGGCTCCGGGAAGCTAACCGGACTCACATCACAGCCCTCAGCAGTCTTGCACGAGCGCGTTTCGAATAGATTAGAGGGGCATGCCTTGCCTCCTGCTGCAGCGGCACGGAGAATATGCCAAACACGCATCTGCCGACACCCTATACACTCCGACCAGCGAGAAGCAGAAGGATAGCAGTCTTCGTCTCTTAAAAGGCTTGCGCCGAAAACAACGTTACACAGTCCGTCTGTGCCAAGCAGAAGCAGGCACACAGTGGAAAGACACTGAAGCCCCAATAAAACGAGATCATTTACATCGGGCCCACTGTGCGAGACACCTGTGCAGTAGCAGAGGTAATATACTCGCTTCGCGAGGTGTTCGGGAAGATGGACCAACATCAAGCCCTTGCCCCACAAAAGGCTGCACTGCGCCTGCTACACGGTAGTTGCTGTTACTATAGATCAAACAGTTTTAGCAATATGGACGAAAAGAAAGGTAGTTCTCAAAAGTTCTTTGAGCTTTCTCCGACCCGTGCATGGTTCATGTTGGAAGAACTCGCAAGGGACGCCACCTTCTTTTTCTGTTTGGTAAACGTGGAGAAACCTGCACAGATAGCAAACTCTACTATGTCAATCTCCTAATTCCAAGTTTATTGGCCGGGCTCTGTTCTAGTCACCGGCGTATTTTATGCTAGGGGGTCACAGAAAGAATATCATGCACGCAGCTTGCCTCTTTCGTCTACAATCGGCTTGGCATGCAGTCCACTCGCTCCAAGCTCCTTGGCAGTCGAGACTGCTATGCGAACGGAGTCTCTGCACCGTTGGCACACTGCAGCTAGTATTACCCAGGAAACCCCCTTTTGGGCATAGCTCTAAAGGCATGCCGAAGATTTGGAACTCCGCGATTCTAAATGGTTGGGCCGCCCTAATAGTAATATACTTTGCCCGGTAGAGACGCAAATCCATTGCTTCCCATACACTCTGTGCAGCTGGAGATGGAGGTGCGCTTGTTTCCCATGTGTGTATTTCCTCATCACTATCGTCTAAAACAGACAGTGAGAACTCGAAGGAGGCTGTTTTTGCAGATCCGGAATTTGCCTGCCCCGCCGTAGAGGCGAATGCTATACGCAGATGCCACAGATCTACAGGAGCTTCCAACTCGATTTTGGCTGAAGCAACTCCATCCGCACCAAGGTGTACCGGAGCCGATGTGTCCAGCAAGTTATCCTGCCAAAAACGTAGCTCGTTTGAAGCCGCTGGATCATCCTCTCCTGTGTGGATGCTTGTACGGGGGTGGTAAGGCCTTTGGACCTCTTCATAAGTCGACCTAAAAGTGTATGAGCTAACCGAAGTGGTCCCATGTTGGTCATCCCCTTCCCTTTTAGCCGAACCATCGACAAGTAAAGATTCCACACCATCCCCGTTTCCTGAATCATTAACTGTAAGGCTGTGAATTGCCACACGGCTGCAAGGAGCTTCAAAACAATGCCTCGCCAGTTCAGTTCCGGCTTGAAAGGCGCATGCAGCGCCACCACGAGCAGCAGTTCTCACTTGGTAAGCATGCAGCGATACGCAAAACTCCGAGCAGGTCGCTGAGGACAACGAAGGGTACCACCTGGGTCGCACGAGCATCACATACGTACTGCGATGACCCATGAAAAAGCGCGTTCGGAGAGAAGAACAACAGATACTTAGCAGGAAACGCCCATGGTGTGGTGTGTCAGCACAATTGGCTTCTGTGTAATGTGACAGGCGGACTCTCCAAGGCAGTCCCCATCGGCATAGAACCCGGTGGCCCTTTGTACTGAACCAATCTTCCCCGGAAGCTCTGCAGGAACGTAATAATAACTCTCATCCACGGAAAACCTTTTGGTACTTAACAGGTTAATCCATAAAACGGAGTCTGGTCCTTTTTGGAGAGATGCCACTGTCCTCGATGGCAGGAGAGATTCATGCAAAACACGCCGAATTTCTATTTGAAAGTCTGCTCTGAGCGACCCATCCCTAAACCGTTCCTCCATATGCAGGATGTGGTTCACTGCATCGTGGTGTAGCAGCAGCACGGAAGCGCTACCAGCAGGAGAACAGTGGAATGAACGGAATGTGTCTGCATTGAACACTTGCAAGGTAACTTCATTGTATGAACGGGTTCCAGAAATGGGCACTTGCATATACAACAGTTGCCCACGCCGCGCCGAGGAATACTCCGGTAGAGGCTCGTTACTCCACCAAGGTAATGGAGCCGTTTCCCAAGCATTTGTAGTAACGCGCTGGGGAGACCGTGACGACTCTCGCTGCTGATCTGCTCGACCTACCGGCTCTTCGAGAGCCAGGAACACTGCCCACTGATCGTAGAACAGCGGCGCAACACAGAAGCCCTTGATCGCCGCCAAGCTTACAAACTTGCTTGCCGGTAGTTGAAATCCTCCCCCGGCAACAAATCTGTTCTCGTTGCCTATCGGATTGCTGTAGAAATAGGTCATGTCGTTGGCAATAGGATGCTCGGCAAATATGGCATCGGGGATTTTCGTGTTCGCCACCTGTGGTGTCTTAAGGCTTGAGATAAACTCAGTTCCCTTGTTTTCTTGTGCGTTTGCCAGCGAGTCGTAATAGAACAGGACCTCCTGAAGCCTTTGGCGACTCTCGTCCGCAGTGGTATACTCAGCACCCCGTACAATGTAGTAGCTCCTCATGGCTTCGGGTGGATTGAAGTTTTCGTGATAGGCGCCTGCACGGGAGAGCCATAAATTGTTGGGGTACTGCACTGACACCTGGGTCATTTTTGCAAATTGCCTGATTTGAAGAGTGTTACTGAGGGAGCCGATGGCATAATGTTTATGGACACGGCTGCCATCTTTCCCTGGCCCCAGGAACACAAAAGAGTCTCCATAAGTGTGTGGCTTCAGGTTGGGACACTCATCAGACAGTTGGTCGTCTTCAATTGAAGTAAAGTAACTCAAAGGCACACCGTCTTCTCCTCCATTGTGAAGGCATAGGGGGCATTCACGGCTCAGGGTGACAGATGAAGAGCCAACAACGTGCTCAAACTGTGACAAAATCTTGGGGTTTCGCACGTCGTAGAAGACAATCTCGCATGGCATGTTGGAGTTTGCAATGCAACACTTCAGGTATACGCAGATGCTGGGTAGCATGCGAGTGAATGCAACAAAATATGCAATATAGCCTTGCTCGTCTACTCGATAGCCAAAGAATCGAGGCTCTTGTTGATCACCGGCGTTTAAAGTAAGCTCTGATCCTTCTTGCTCCCCATCAGATCGCATTTCTACCCGCCTGGCGACACACATTTTTTGTCGTCGCTGAAGAAGGAGAGGTGTTTCACCAGGCTCCGCAGTAATGAACTGATTGCCATGAAACTTCCATCCCCGCAGCATCGCATCTGTATATGGACAATGATGGTAAACAATATGTATTGAACCAGAATCTGATGCATCAATCAGTAAAGGCTCAGAGTACGGCTCTCCTGATTCCATATACATGCCGTACGGCTCATATGAGGCTCCATAGTCGCTGGCTAGACTATGATTGCCAGCAAAGACAACCTCAAGCAGCTCCACTTTAGGCAGGGCCTCCGCAGGCAACGCAAAGCCGCTTGGTATAGAAGTCAGCACATCCACAAGTTGCCAAAGACTTGCACCTTCTCCGCATTCATAACTTCCTTGCACTGTGCTGATAAAGCATATGCCCTGCTCCTGCTGGCCCCTTCTCTGGGAGCGCTGACACCTTGTTGACCATACGCTTTCGCGATTATGACGAACGCAAGTTAACGCTAACAGAACAAAGAATGCGTGGCTAACATGAAAAAGGCTTTTAAACCACATTCTCCGCCGTGCTTGATAGGGCTCTAAGCTTCCAAGCATTTTGCTTTTTCGGGTGATCTCGTACCTTTTCCAAGCCTGTTCGCATCCATGGAAATGCCGCTGAAATTTTTAACAGTACAGCCACAAAGCAGTATACGGAAGAGCCAAGCCATTCAATAGGAAAGCGGGGTAGAGTGCTCCTTCGGCAAGAGTCGATATACGCGAAACAATTCCCACACACGTCACTCTGAATGGATGGACACAGCTGACAGGCTCCAGAATTTCCCACAAGAAGGATGGCCAAAAACCCGCTTAGAGTTTTTGTAACTCTGCTATCGTTACTGCCAAAAGAAGCGGCTAAGGTGAGACACGCGAGTGGCGGAACAGGCTCCCTGTCGCCCATCATGAGCACCATACGGCTTTCTGATTGAGCAGTTAGCTTGATATGCATTTAAAAAATATTAATTTATCTTTCTGGTCGTCTGGTATTTCCCATGTAGGCAGCGACTTCATATTACAAGAAGGGCTGACACTTCAATTGTAAGGCTGCGGAGTGCACATCCTCATGCGCCTGAATGATTCTGGCCGACCTATATACAATAATATAGGCTTATTCACGTCATGGATTCACAGGACCCATTTTCTGTTTGCAAAATCCTAATTTGAGCTTGGTAGGATAGAGGACGGCGTCTTGCGCACACGTTTTGGCTCCCGTTGGCCGTAGACTGCTGATTCAGTTTGTGTTGCTAGTTTATTTGCCAATATTTACCAATTTTTCGCAAACGCAAGAAGTGCAAACTACAAAAGGCCGCTTAAATATCCATCCATTCAACATACCAACAATCCCGGCTACAGAATCTGCTGCACTGTCACGATTACTTGTGCACAGTGAAATGTAAGGAGTCGTGGATCAGTGATCTGTATTTTTTTCAGCGGTGGGGTGAAGCAAAAAGAAATCAACTGTGGGAGCGCTTCCAGTAGTACCCTTCGTCGTTTAGCAGCGCCCCCACCAGCGCCGAATGCGGCTTGTCTCAGGCATACAAATTAGAGGCGAGCTTCATTCCAAATCTCCATTTTAATGAAATCCATTGTATGCATTTGAGAAGCTCGCACTGTTTTTTTAGTTACGATATTGCTGTGGGGGATTTAGTAGTGAACATGCCTTTTTACCTTGGATGTGCCGGTGCTACCAGAACAAGTATACCCCACCTGTATGTGTACAATCGTCTGATTTAAGGTCTATAGTAAAACATCAACAAGGGATTTAGCATAAGAAGCCTGAGTTTTGATTAGGAATCATAGTTCTTCCAGGGTATGCTCAAGCGGACCACGGGGCTGCCCATCAGATTCATGCATGCGTGCGCGTACCATCAGGGTGGCCTCCATTCACTTGTGCATAGATGTTACGGCAAAAGATTCGTATTTTAATCCACATATTGGATACTCTATTTGCCACAGATGATGAGGAGGGAGAAGAATCTCTCGAGATACAGGGTATAGAGCCTTAACTCTCGTTTCTGCTTCTGGCTTAGTGTAGTAGTGCGATTGCGGCAATCGTGCCAACGTTACTCTAGAAAAGAAATCGCCGAACCCTTGAACATTGTGACCGTAACACTGTAAAATTCAAAACGTCGAGTTATTGTTCCAGCTACAGCCAGCTCATAAACACAACACTGGGGTTTTGCGAGAGCTGTAAGTTTCTGAGCCTACTATTCGAGGAAAAGAGGGAATAATTGCGTCGAGTTACTGAGGCACCAATTTTTCTTCCCCGATGAGCTTGTAGATTATGTGTTGCATATAGAGGCACGCATCTAGCAGGTGCATCGCGAAAAAGCAATCCTGTGGCTCTGCCCCCGAAGCCTAGCCATGCCAAATAGAAATTCGAGTGGCCAATTTTAAAAACACCTTCCTCTTCTCAGCCTTCGACCAAGTGGGTTTGTAAATGAGAGAGGAGAAGGCAACTGGTGAGCAAGCTACTGCACCCTGTGGGAACTCAAGCAATTTTAGAGTTTATAGTAAGGCAAGCTGTACTTGACCATTTTCTACTACAATAGGTATATTAAACTAAGAGTAAAAACAACAATTGACTAATTTGTTTGTTTGTTTGCATAGTTCATGTGCTGCAGTAGACTTTCATCTCAACACAACAAGATACAACAAGATTGTGTGAAGGTGTGCTATATGCCATGTGTAACTAGCCGTGAAAGCTCCGAGTTCTCAAGGGGTGCAGCTACACGCAGCCTGCCTATCTGCTCTTCCTTCTTATAAGCGCTTAAGGGAAGCGGACAGAGAAAGCAGGAATTCTTCTGTAAAACACTCACTTCCCCTTAATTGAGCGTGTCTTGACTCTGGAGTTGTTCTCCTACAGAGACCTTTGATTGGGCATAACAGTTAGTGACACCCCCTAAATTTAATGCAACTGCTCTCCAGATATATGAATTAGTGTGTGACAGTGAATTTCCAGGTCGACCTACAGCACTTGTAGGGTTTTGCTTAAGTTTTTCTGTATTGAATAATTTTATGTTCATTGGCAAAATGGTGAATAGAAAAGCCTCTAGCAAATGAATTTGACGGTGGCACACTGCCTGTTTAGACGGCAGAGGCTGGTTCGCAAGCTTACTTAGATGCACAACCTCCACAGTTGGTAGGAAGGCATGAATTGTCCGCCGGCAAAATGCTTGTGAAAGCGTCGATGATTGTCTTCTGGCAAGAAAAGTATGATGGGCGTAAAGACGGGCAGATGAACAGACATCAGGCACTTGAAGATGCGCCTTGCTTCGCACCCTTCAGATGAAGAGCAACGAGTGCTCCGTGCTGCACGTATATTGGACGGAGAACGAACTTAATGGTGATTCTATTCATGTAGAGTAGGTCATCTGCCTACAGGAATTACTAAAGTTTTGCGCCTTTAAGCAAATTTCGACCCACCGGTTGATGCCGAAATCAGCTTGACAACAGGCTTTGGGGAAATTCAGAAAGCGTAAGCAGGAGAATCTATCAGTCGTCGATGTATCGAGGAATATGAAACTTTGGTTTGCAAATGCGAAAAAGTTGACAAAAAGCTACTTTTTAGTGGCTTACCTCCGATCTACCCGAGATGCCACCTCATGTGGTCGCAAGTAAGCATCGATGCAGCGATAAAACAACTGACCGATGGAGCTTCTGCAAGAGATGGACTGGTTGAGGTTCGTACTAAAAATGGGTACAACTCCTGCGTCGTTATCTAAATTGGAAGCATCACATAAAAGTTATGTATGGCGGGGCTCTGCCAACTGGCCCAAGCGTGCGGCCTAAGGTGGACGAAAAACGGCAGCCAGAGGGAACCTGCGCTCGTAAACAGCCCCAGACAGCCCCCAAGACACTTGCTTCCTTCTTTATTTTTCGGTTAAATGACTAAGAATTGCAAGCGAGTACAAGAAATCAAAGCACGACCGACGGGACCAGGCCCAGTGGAAACACGCGTCTTTGCGAGGAAAGGAGGCGCATCATGAAACGGGAAAGTCTCCCATGAAGGGTGCACTGAAGTGAGGGAAGCTGAAGAGGATAGAATTGCACTGGAAGATCCACCATGGGTCATTTTGAGCTGCTACTGGGCTTATCTGTATGGTGAAAAAATTGCTAGCGTTACTTGACCCGAGATTATGAATTGTACTTATTGTCCCAGGGGACGCCGCAGAAGTGCAATCTGCCTATCCTCCTGTTAGCGCATTTCTAGAGACTCTGGTTTGCTCAAGGGCGGCAGACCGCATACATTGACAAGAGTACGGCATTCAAACACTATGTCAAAGCAGAATCGGGTTCAATCAGCATGGTTCATGACTTTTACAGTGGATTCGTGCACCACCACGTAATCCAAGGTATGTCATGGGTGGCTCGGTAGAAGGCGCACTTCCGACCACAGCTGCGCGCTCTAGAGGTCAGCGTGCAAGCGGGCGCTAGAAACGAGCAACTGCTGCTCTCCTGAACGACGCAAATTTTACCTATGATGAGCGTGGTGGACCTAGTGCCTCGACAAGATGAGACAGAGTCTCCTCATGGTCTGTCTTGCGTTGCAGTAAGGGAAGAGGCTTCTGAGCATGCATCCTGTTTCAAAGGATCCGCAACGGGTTTCTTTATTAGATAATTCGACTGAATGTTTGGCAGGGGAACAGCAGAAATTGGTAAATACCAAGGAGGAGTTCACGGAGGTGCTGTATAATGGCGAGCTGCCATCAGGCTGGTCACCTAATCGTCGTCCAGCACAGTATTAAGCTAATTCCTGAGTCAGCCCTAGGCTATGTCCCGCGGCATAGAAACGCCCCCAGCAAAGCGTTTAGCGGCATGCTGATTATTTGGTGGAGAAAAGCAAGGCGCAGAAATCGATCAGCACTTTTTGGTGTAACCGTGTGATGGTGCCGCAAAGGGCAAGAGGGTGGTGCGTGTACATTAAACCCACGAAAAGGATCACTGTGAAGCAGAAGTTCCCCATACATTATTGCCGAATTACTTTATAATCTCCACCAGTCAGCAGTCTACTCGACATGTGACTTCACAGATGGTTTCTTACAAATCCCCATTCGCCCGGAGGACAGGCAGAAAGCGGGGTTCCAAGCTCGCTCTCGCAGCCTCGAGTATACCTGCGCCCCATTTGGACTCATTAATGCCCCGGTTGAAGTGCAGCAACAAGTCAAATTGCATTTATTTGGACGTATTAAGATGGCGTGGGTGGGGATCTACGTAACGAAGTCTTAGTATTCGGCCCGAGCCGTTTGAGAGCACGTAGAGGACATACAGCGTGCGCGTCAACTGTTGCGGGAAAAGCGGTGTATCTGAATGCAAACAAATGTATATTTTATATGAAAACCAGATGGGTTTCTGGGACTCCGCGTGTCGGATTCAGGAGTTGAGCCAAATTCAACAAATTTTGGAGCCGTCATGCGTAGCCTAAACCATTGTCCCCCCAACATGCTGAGAATCCTTGTAAGCTTGTAACTTATTTTCGCAATTTCAGTTCTGGATCGTTTCAGATCTCTGCTTCCCTGGCTAATATAATTGATAATGGCTAGTCTATGAACTGGAAAGTGGAGGTTATGCAGCAGCAAGGGCTCTTGTTAGCCGCCTTACAACTCCCCCAGTACTTGCGCTGCCTGATAATAAATTCCATTTCTTCTTAACAACCGATCTAAATGACGCCGCGGCGGGTACTCTTCGCTAACAACATATTTCGAGCTCTTCATAACATTAAGTATAGTCTGGTATTCTCATTGACATAACGAAAACGAGCAGCTGTGGACAATACGGGAGGTGGAACTCCATGTGGTGTAGGACAGCGTAAAACATACCCGAACCATGTACACTGGCGTCGCTGCACTGTCCAAACCGACACCAGTCTTTGATGTAACCTACGGAAAATCTTAGAGCACTGATAATCCTAGAATTGTTCGCTGGCTTTGGCCCATTCTTCAATGCGGCTTTTTAATAAAGTGTGAATATTGTGTCACCTATAGGATCAACTTGTTCTCTCAGGACGTCCCGATCAGTTCACTTTAGGGCAATGCAGCTCCCTTGTCTCTGACGATTCATAACTTCTATCAACTTTGTGTCAATCCTGAGCTTCTGAGACCCATGCATCAACTAATATCCGCAAAATCCAGAATTTCACCAGACAAAGCATGACCACGTTGAGGAAGGCCTACTGTGTTTCATTATTATCTCTGATTCCATCGCTTGTACCCTGCCACTTCTCTCTGCAGTGCCGTTTAACGCAAAGTACATGATCATGGTTTTGGGGTACATGATACGATTCATACTAGAGAACACTCACAGTCCTTGTGGTGGTCCTTGATGCATTCTATAACAGAAGAGCTTGCACGATCCTGCTCAGATTGTCAGCAGCTGAAGCCGCGTGATTCTCTGTTTATGATGCAATAGTGCATTCGTCTTAGCGTTTCACTCCCACATCTGAAATATGCTGATAATCGTCTTCGATCCGGGCCTAGACCTGGTGCTCGGCAGTTGGCAGGCACCCTTAGGTGCAGACGGATTCAGAGGGCGAGCTGATGGCTAGTGCAAGAGGGTGCATGGGCAAAGCTCAGGACAGACAAGTACGCAATTACTGTTAGCAGCGGTTACGTGTGTGGTTTGACCTTGGAGATCTGGCCTTGGTGGATCAACAGGCATCATTGTGAGGTGCACCGGAAAGTGACCAGACGAAGAGGTGCGCGGCCAGATGGATGTAATCATTTGAGATTCTCGCACTAATCGATGCTCTTTCTTGCTCTGTCAATTGCCCACAAAGCTAGAGGTAATACAGAGCCAAAAACACTTACTTCCACAGGAAGTTTCGAATTCCCCCCATTTATTCGCACCCCACACCGCGCAGGCAGGTGACCTGTGTGAAGGTGGAGAATTCATAGGGAGCCGTAGAAGTGCTGTATTCTAGGATTATTGAGCGCCGAGGACATACCAAAATGTAGCTCCTAGTAAAATGGGGTGAGATCGCAAACCTTAGTGACTTACGGAGGAACAATTGTCGGCTTCGTTGCCTGCGGGATAATTCGTAGCTCTGTTTGCCCGAGTAGCTAGTGGCCACGAACAATATTTCTGGCTGTTTTTGGTAATTGTCCTGTTCCAGTGCATGTTCTCTGCCGGATTTACCTACCTTCAACTATTATTACTGCTTAAAAGGTTGAGTTTCTCATTGAATGTTTTGTCAAAGCAGATTTTTGCACAGGCACTTTTAATGTTTTTGTTCCTTGATCCAGTGCATGCGTCAAATAGGGTTTTGGAGTGGAGTATGCTGCACGCACCGTCTGAATTTGCATGCAATACTACTTGATCAGGCGCGGACACACTGCTAAACTAGAATGCATTAAGATTCCAGCGATTCGACGACAGCAAGCCACTGCGGCGTCACGTTCGTATTGCTTGAATCCCTCGTTCGTTGTCAGCTAGTGTGTATCTTACGTTTTGTCGAATTCACTCTAGCCATCGACACACACTTTGCTTGTCTTATTTGTACCGTTTTCCACGATTCTGCCCGCATGAAGAGTAGCGGTAGGGAGGGGACTATATCGCCATCCTGCACGCACTAGCGATGGACAGGTATGCAATACGAGGGCGTGCGCTTTGCAAAGAAGGGGTGAAGGCGTAGCGAGCTAAGCCACACTGAAATAGTTTCTACTATGCCAGTGATACTTGATATTTGATTAAGAATCACAAAGCAATTGAAGCATTAGTGTTTCGGCCAGTATATCATATTTATTAAATAGTGCTGTTAGCTCGATACGAGACGATACGACGCTGCGGGAATGTGCGCCAGATGCTAGGTGCGATTAGCTGCGAATGCTCAGAGTGCCTGCATGGTGCAACAACACGCACAGTACTTCTCACTCTCCGCTACGATCGTTTTCGCACACGGGTGAGGGACGGAAAAGATATGAAAGACGACCTCGTAAAGCATTCAGGGGAACTGCTACGAACTTTTGAATTGAGTCACTAGGCAAACCTATCCTTAAGGAGAACTTTGATAAGGGGATACGGTAGTTGCAGAGAAAAATGCTACAGCAGTGCATTCACAACCAATAAATGAGCCGTATGGAAGATGCATCAAGTCGTGCTACCCAGTTCGATGCTCCATCTATGGCCTGTTTGGGAGATACTCAGAGTCAAATCCCCTACAAAAAGTTAGAAGAAAGTTATGCGGTGTCCTTCCAAAAAAGCTCCCCCTCTTCCTGCTCACTCCCTTCATTATCCCGGTATGAGAAGAAAGGGTATGCTGTGACGCGTACTATGCACGCCAGCTAAACTTCAAACCTTCACATATAGTGGCAGTAGAAACAAAGGCACAGGCACAAAAAGTTGATCCATACCAAGTGCCGCTAACCACACGTTGCAGCATGTATGGATACGAGCAGCCAAAGCAGTTAGTCGATTGGCTCCAAACTGTAAGAAATCATAACCACTGTAGTAAAAACTGCTAAAAATTAACCCTCCCCATAAAGGTCTTCGCAGGCAGACATTCAACTCCACACTCAGTATAAACCGAATACAACGAAACTGAGTGTTTTCGTTGGAGCTCTCTACCTTCCCCTGCCTGTGTCCCTCGGATTATTTCAAGTTAGAGGAGAGGGGCAGCTACAATTCGCGTGCTGCACCCTTTAAGCACTGCAAGCATTCAGAACTACTTGCACTTGGCATCCAGCACACACACGCATCTTCGTCTTTCTCATTTCCTGCAGAACACTGCTTGCTCAACATACAAAGACTAACAGACAGTTTAACTAGTCAATGCTTTCTAGGTTTTGCTTAATTATAACAACTGCAGCAGAGAGCGTCTAAATATACCTTAGCTCGTCAAACTTTAGGAAACTCTTGTCTGTGCATCTCTACAAACAAAGCTGTTCAGTGTCCACCCACGGATAGCGAAATAGAAGTGATACAGATGCCACGAACACAAAATGGGTGCCAAGCAGAACTTGCAATTGGAGTCTCTACTTCAGGTGGAGAGACAAAAGATAGTGGCTCCTCCCCTTAGGGGCCGTCAAGCACAAAACGCAAGAAGTATTTTGGGAGGCCAACATATTTTGCAGCTGCTGTATGAGGTAGAGCTTTGATACGAACACGAGAATCATATTGTTTAACCCAATAGGACAATAATAGAGTAGCTTCTGAATGCAGCAGCTACCATGTGAATACGCGTTACCGCTTGTGTGCTTTATACTCCCAGGGCGCCCATTTGCCAAGACGCAGAAGTAGCAACGATAGCTCGGGTTACATTTTCGCGTAATTCTTTTCGTTTGGTGATAGCATTAAGGGAATCCCTGCTGTGATTGATGAAGGAGCTTCTGCAGCACGCCAACAGGCGAGGGCGGTGCTGCTCCTGGGGCAGCTGCATCGTGCGGCTGCCGCAATGCTCTCAGTCACCGTTTCCCCCATATTCGTCTTGACTGTACTCTAGTGCCTGAAAATATGTACGTGCGTGCGTACGCTTCCACCCCATAGAGGATCGCTACCGCCAGAGCAAAGTGCTGGCTTCTGCGCCAGCTGCTGCCGCCGCTGCTGCCGCCATGGCCGCAGTAGCCGCCGCACCGGATGTCTCGGCTACCTAATAGCTTCAGCTTCCTCGCAGTTCATTGTTGTGCCATTTAACGTCTTTGCTGCCACATAGGGAGCAGCAGCAGCAGCCGACCCGATCCCTAGGGAGCCCACCAAGCGCTCCGCTCGCTTAGCAGCTGCCGGAGCTGCCGCGGGGTTGCTCCCTGAGGCACCGTGCATGTATGATCCAACAGCTTGTTTGGTGGCACAGTCGTCCGTCTTGGAAGTGGAGGAGAGTGTGGGCGAACTCGAAACACTCAAGCCTTCCCGGGGGGAGCCTGAGGACCTCAGCAGCGTCGGGAGGGCTGCCGGCCAGCATCTGCAGGAACAAACGCGTTCGTATTCTTCTGTGACAACTAAGGGCAGTTTGTCTTAAAGCTGGAGTAACTCTTTCTTTCCTGGCAGGTTTTTTGCTGCGTCTTTTCTTCACAGCCGCAACTACGCCCATCGCGCATGTCCCCCTGACGTGGTGCAGCTGTTGCGTTAAGGGCGTCGATAGTATCGACCATCCGTGGTGGCACTAGGTGTTGCTCGCCTGCAGTCTTTGCAGCTTGGGGTGCAGCGCTTGGTAGGGGGTCATCCATCTGCCATCCCCAGGAAGCCTACCCGGCGCCCGACTTTTTTCGGCAGCCGGGCAGTTGAGAGAGAAGCCGGCTGCCCGGTTGCCTCCCTATTGCGGAGAAAATCATAGCTCCGCAGTCGCCCTCTTCCCCCACCCGAAGCAGCTGAGGAGGTCTTTGAAGGCCGTCACTGGCAGCTGCTGGCTCGGCTTGAACCGGCTGGGAGGCTGCCAGTTTAGTCAGGAGCAACCTGAAGAGTGACACTTGCTTTACAGTAAGATGAACGATTAGCGCCCACCCTTCACTGTCTTTTTCTGCGACCACCTTCTAGGATCTAGTTTTACAAGCACACTCTTCTTCGCTGCAAGGGAGGCAAGGGACCGTGGAGTGTCGGGTGGGAGAGAATGTGATAGAGCTCATGCAATTCATGACCTACACACAGGGGAATACGTAGGCATACACCATGCGGGGATTCCAATACTACCACCAGAAAGGGACGCATCTTTTCTGGTCAATTTGTTCAAGTAACGCTTTGCATGTGGGCGCAGTTGTCGGAGCCCTGCAACGGAATATCCCAGCACTCAGAGGAGCGTCGCTGCCTGTTAGGCGGTCCTCGTGAATATTGCTGATAATGGATGTCCGCGTGGGGGGAAAATTTCGTTTGGGGAGGAAGATTGGTAGCGGCTCCTTCGGAGACATCTACTTGGGTGAGTATTTTGTTGAACATGACTTCTCTTTCATAGGTAGTATTTTCAGGACTTGCTCTATGCTTTGGAATATGTAGCAGCGTGCGACGCAATGCATACCACACACTGAATTGGCGTTATGCAGGTACAAATGTTACGAATGGAGATGAAGTTGCTATTAAACTAGAGAGCGTGCGGTCGAAGCATCCGCAGCTAATGTATGAAAGCAAGCTTTATAAAATTCTCTTGGGGGGCATCGGCATCCCAACTCTTTACTGGTATGGAATCGAGGGTGATTACAATGTGATGATTATCGAGCTCTTGGGCCCGTCTCTCGAGGACCTCTTCAGTATTTGCAACAGGAAGCTCTCACTAAAAACTGTTTTGATGCTTGCCGATCAAATGGTAGGTAACTTGGCAGACTTAGCGTCTCTTGGTTTTCAAACGGCAGTGATGTCGTTAAGTAAACTATTTCTGTTCAATTTTGATCAGATGTATTTTTGCTTGTGGCAATTCGCAGCTGAACCGTATCGAGTTTGTCCACAGCAGGCATTTCATCCATCGTGATATTAAGCCCGACAATTTCTTGATCGGTAGAGGCAAGAAGATGTCCATTGTTTTCGCTATTGACTTCGGGCTTGCAAAGAAGTACAGGGACCCGAAGACACAATCACATATTCCTTATCGGGAAGGCAAAAACCTGACAGGTCAGCTGTGTGTGGGTGAATCCATGTGCCCACGCCTTCACTTGAATCACTGTTACAGCTGAAGGACTGTAAATATCCAAACATACTCTCTATGACATTGCGTTGCAGGTACCGCGAGATATGCCTCAGTTAACACTCATCTGGGAATTGAACAAAGCAGGCGCGATGACCTAGAAGCTCTCGGCTATGTCCTCATGTACTTTAATAGAGGCTCACTCCCATGGCAGGGGCTCAAGGCCACTACCAAGAAGGACAAATATGATAAGATTATGGAGAAGAAGATGTCGACTCCCATTGAAGTCCTGTGCAAGCACTTTCCATGTACGAACAGGCTGAATAGGATCTTTGCTATAATTGCACCATTCGTATTGTTTAGATCATTTAGGGTGTTGGTACGGATGAGCAGACGTTGCGAGAGCTGGGCCCCCTGAGCCTTAAGAACTGAATATTTGTGATTACGTGCGCCACAGTTGAGTTTATCACATACTTGAACTACTGCCGGTCCCTGAGGTTCGAAGATCGGCCGGATTACTCATATTTACGGCGGCTGTTCAAGGATCTTTTCTTCCGCGAAGGGTATCAGTATGACTTCATCTTCGACTGGACATTCGTGAGCCCAGCACGCGTATCCTGCGTATTCAGTTAATAGTATTGCAGTGTAATCTGTCCCCCGGCAGTCCACTGGAACTCTGTGGCGTTGGGATGCATGCGAGTTTGCTTGTTGTTCTACAGCTACACGCTGAGAGAGAACGAGAGCTTAGACGACGCACAATGGTGAACCAGGGTGTTGGGGCTGGGAATCCTTGGGTCGATGAAGACTGGAGGCGAGATGCGTCGGGCAGAGATCCGCTTGGTCGGTTGCCTCAGCTCGAACGTTAGTCTTTTTCCCGCTGTGAGGCCCCCCACCCCGCACCCCCACCCCCGAGTACTCGCTCGTTCAGTGGCAGTGCCACCGCAGTGCAAACGGATTCTGTGGCTATAGGACATCGTGGCCGGTAACTGTGGTCAAGTGCCCTTGAAACGACAGCCTTTGCAGGAACAGCACAGTGAGCTGCAATGTTATACGTAGTGTGAGAATTATCGGCGCCTTTCTACATCACGCGTGAGGCGGAACGTTCTGGGCGCAGAACTACACTAGGATTGCTCACTGCGCGAGGTTGTGAATCAGTCAGTATCTCTGGGGAAAGTGTTGACAATATGCCAGAATCGATGGTGTTGAGGCATGCAGGCGCATTGGAGGCTGCGCCAGTGGTGCCAGCCTACAGGAAAGGCGTCAAATTTACTTTTTTTGTTGCTGGGGATCTCGTTTAGCAACAACATGGGCCTAGATGTTACTGATAGCCCTGAATTACGGACGGGATGATTGCGGAAAATGCACTGATGGGTTGAAAGTGAAAACTGACTTGCAGGACACGCCATACTGTCTTCCGACGATGGCCGAGTGATGACATTCGTGATTTTCTTATATGGAGTGAATGTCACTTACGGCTTGCCGTGTCAATGGCATGTCTGCATCTGGCCCCAGCTCTTGAGGTTGTGATGCAGCGCATGGCCCTGATGGGTTGTAGCGGTAACGGCACTTCTGTTTATCGCTCTTAAGCTGCATATCTTTCTTACACCAAGCAAGGCATGAGAAGCTCCATTGTTTCTTCTGGGGTATAGTCATGTTCTTAAAGTCGGCCACTCCACCACATGGCCCATGGTAGTCTTAGGGGGGGAGAGCTGAGGTTTTAGCCCTTCTATTGTAGTGTAGGTCGCACCTCTTGTACTCGAACATTTATGGGCGGATTCTGATGAGGGCTTAGAGATAGTTTTTAGGTCGTAATTATTTGGCGGGTAGCCTACTAGGCACTGGGGTCCAGTTCTGTGGGCATTGCACCCCAAAATCCCTTCTGCACATCTTGCACGGCCAGTCAGCTTGGCACCGTCTGGCCCATGAGGATCGTGCTAGTTCTCCAGCACTGGGGCGAGTAAGTTTGCTTCGGTTTATGCGGTAAATATATTCTTACACGTAGGAAGGGATGAACAAGTCGCCCGAGCAGGGACCTGAAGAGTGCCTATGGGCTGAAGTGTTGCACGAACCCGAAGCTGTTTTCTACCTTCATATTCAGTCGTTGGCGCGCACGCTGGTGCGCCGTCGCCTGTGGCCGTGCTGACAAACATGATGTGAAAGAGCACATCCTGTATCTTCTTGCCTCTAGGGTGTCCGATAAGAAGATAATTCTGTGAATGGTGCTGCAAAACAAATATGCAAATTTATTACTCAAAGGACGCACCGCAGGACACCTGGTTTCTCAATTAGTTGAGGCCAGACCCCACTCATTGATGAGATATGCTCGAGCTTACGGTTGGGTGTAATCTTTTTCACAAATAGCCGGTATATCTCGTCTAATAAATTCCCCTGTGTGACAAAATTAGCTGTGCAACTGAGCAGCTCCAGTATGGACTCGTCTCACGCCGATATGTTGGCTTTGGAATATCCTTCAAGCCTTCAACGAGCTGTTATAGTAATTGCAGTCATGCTACTTTTGTTTACAACAGGAAAGATATAATTACTGCTCCAGCAATATTGTTGTCAGGGGTAGACGCTTCTTCGGCGTTCATCGAGTCAATACTTGCATTGATGATGCTGGCTGAGAGGCAAGTCGAAACGTGTTGCAAGTGTGGTTTCCGCCAAAACCGCCTACCTGATTCTTTCCCTATTACTTCCAAATCATCATTAGAAAATTCTGTCGAAGTATTGTGCTGAAGCAAGAGTTGTTCCCCTCCAATAACTCAGCTAACGAAACATGCTTACATTTCTGCATTCACTCGCTGCCCAAAGAAGACAAAAGCAACATTGGAAAAGAAGGAATATCTGCCGATGTGCCAAGCTCTGCATATTTACGTATTAAAATATGAGCTTTTAATCTCAACAAAACAAGAAAAATGTGCCGATGTGACTTACATCCAAGTGATTGCAGCTCTGCGTACACCGTTTGCCGTAAGTGGCAGCTGCCCGGACAGGCACATTACTCATGATGCATTGTCTACTCAGCTAAGGGAAGAAAGAAGCTCTCACCCTTTGATTTTCATGAAATATTTACGCTGTTTCATTCGAAAGGCCATTACAAACCTATCCCGAATATTTTTATCCAATGTAATTACCTGCCATTCACTTCAACATCGCCAGCATGTAGAACTCTGCATACAATATAGAACAGTAAATATAGCAATGTTGCGGAAAAGTCACATGAGACTATCGTAAGGTGCTTCGGTGACAAGATCCACATCATTTAACCGACTGCCTCGCCTTCCAGTTCACGCCACAAGATAATACCCATGATATAGGTGTGGCCTACATATTGTATGAGGTCATTACCTTCAGCTGCCTAGCTTATTTTTCAATCAGCTCATTCTTGCTAGATGATGGATTATGATTCTTTTTTAAAAGCGGCTTCTCTGCTGAGGCTTTCAACCCACTTGCTGGGTTCAAGAGAAATTGTGCAATGAATAGCATGCATCGCATGCAAAGCGTAGGTTCCTCAGATTATGAAACCCGTAACCGTGGCCTGTGTGCTGGTGGCCCCATCTTCTACATCGAAATGTCCTACGGGGAAGTGAGCCACCCAGCTCTGAATTCTGCATGAATAACTGGAGTTTAGATGCTGGTTAAACTTTATTAGTCAGACTTGGGACCATTCCATCGGCGAAAATGCTTAATCCCTTCAGCTTAGTGGAAAACGGCCCTAACTGGCCCCGCATTTATCCAGTTTTCATAGACATTTGGCCTAGAGGAAGGCTGTCTTTCCGCAACAGCGAATAGTGGTAGCATTACATGCAAGTCTAGTCATTAGGGTTCTGAAAATGAGACTATAACGACTAAACAAAGGGTTAAGCCATATCCACCAGAAAAAAATAGTAAGCGCACGTTTTCCGTTACCATTCAATAATTCTGCGTATTTCTTGCCCAATAAACGTATGCCGAAACTATACATCTTGGCTCTTTTAGAGGCTCCTCTAGAAGGGACTAATTCATTAGCGTACATGAATAAAGCTGCAGGAAGAATATCAAGAATGACAACATTGTTTTCCAAACGGAGATAGCTTTAGAACTGGAGTTGGAGGGCCCCATACACCCAAACTCGACCACAGGATATACGTGCGTAGAAGAGCGAAAATACTACGGGAGATTTACGATTTGGTCACAGTATGGCTGAGGCAGTCCATACCTTGATTTTGCAAGCCACGAATGAATCTTTTGGTTTTGGCCTAGAAACCAATGTGAATTACACGGGACAAGCGAGTGCTATTCTGCTGTCTTGTATATGTAATGATTAGCATCTGCTGACACCAAATAAGCTAAAAATTTAGATCCACTGAGCACCTTGAAACCACTTGTGTGCGTGCGGATAAGGGGAATAGTGTGCATTACTCTTTGGAATAGCACCTTATTTTGTTGGCCACTGATTCCACGGATGAACTGGAGAAATTCTAGGTAGGGGTTTCATGTAGAAAGCATAGGTGTATGCAAAAAACACAGACAGAGTAAGGGTTATTTTGCGTACATGTATTTTAGCTTGCGCTTTGCTGGGGAGGGCGTTCTACATCGAGCGCTCCTGGGCTCATGATACACAAGCGGGCAAAGAGTAAAGTCGTGTAGCTACTGCCAGTTTCCCAGTGAAATTTGTTGGCACTGCAACGCTGTCACAATGCTACCATGTGTGACCCCCACTAATTGGTCGCTTGGAGAGACGACAACGGCGTCTACTAGGTGCAGTGTTGAGTAACTGCCTCAACCACGCAAACTTTGTATTCGCAAGTCACCCGCCACGACGTATCGGCTGCAGCAGAGGAGTCGGCCAAAGCAAAGATGCAGAGCTGATACACGAGCTGGTGCACACGCGTCTGTGAAAGGAACAATTTGCCTGTGGAGCGAAACAACACGCAAGAGCTCATGCTTGTTTTCAAAAGTGAATGAAGGACGATAGTGTATTCGTAAAACTTCACAGCATCCATACTCGCTCTAGCAGTCCGAAAGCTCTGACAATGACAAGTCACCCTTGACAGTTGTACGGAGCCTTCTCTGTGTGGCAACTGATATCATTTATTCAAATACAGTGGCTGTACGTGGCTAGGTACTGTACATGCTTTTTGTTGACAGAATTGACAGATCTCTGCAAAGTCATTGAAAATGTCCCGTACCATAATAGTGGCAGAATGCTAGTTGCTTGAAAGACATTTAACCCTTGATTCAAGCGTAGCCATTGAACTCGCTGCTCAACTCATTGGGGAATTAGGGAGAGAACCTTTAAAAAGCAAGGCCGTGGTAGAAATTGCAGCTTTGTGCAAGCCCAATAATTCTAGCTGCTCAAAAAAGTGCAGTTCGATTAGCCTATAGCCCAATTTATTGTAGTCGGCCAATCTACTATGCAAGCTAAGGGGTCACCTAATGAAGGCGAATTTTAGCACCCTTGTCTAACCTGGACTGTAGGAGCCACTAGTCGTTTTTGCAAGCTCACGTATTGGGTATTATTACAAAGCACCGAGCCAACAGCCTGCAGCGCTGCGATTTTCTTTCAGCATCTCGATGCATTGTACAAATGAGCATATGACATTGACACCATCTCCTTAAGGTCGTTTTTTGTTGGTAGCAATGTGAGTAGATTCAGCTTTGTTGCGCCTTGAGGTCCGGGCACGGCAGCCCTTCCTGTTTGCTTCCTCTATCTATTTATCATTAAGACAGTAAATGCACCTACCTTTCTCACAGCGCCTGGGGTCAGGCTTTACTGCATCAAAAGATGGTATACAACACTTGAGGAACACACTCTCGTGCAACTGTAGGTTGAGAACCCGCAGCTCAGCAGGTTCCCCTTTGTTTGCTGCCATTTCATTTTCCCCGAAATAACGGGGGAGTTGAAAGGAGAGAATTTGTGGAGAGGCGGGCTATGGTGGAAACATATTGTGGTGGTCACACACTTGGCAAATCCTGGATGTTGTGTTACTTAATGAGATATATTGAAGTAAATTAGCAACCAAAGCTAAAAATAAAGCTGCTTGAGGAGAGGACTGCGGTAATACCAACTTTGGATTTTGGGCGCGCTGCGCGAGATACCGCAAGCTAGCGAATAGTATACCTTAAGGTACTGAGTCCCTGTTCTTCATGCCATTGCGGCAGTTCTTTCTAAATCCGATGAGCAAAGAATATGTATGTGACGATACTGTGGCTGCAGGTGTTACCGCACCCTTGACTCTGGCTGTCTCCGTCACCTTGCACTGCATCTCCTCTTTGTGCACATAGTTGCATGGTAAACCACCCTCGGTCAGAAACCTCGTGGGTTGGGGGAAATGGTAAATGTAGTTTCACGAAATAGGGCACGGTTTCGCAGTTTTGGCAGATATGGTGCCCGGGTACGCATGTTCGGCTATCTGGAGGAATTCTCCGCAAAGAGTGGTGTGTAGGCCAAACGTATCACAAACATCAGTAAGGTTCGCTACTTTTAGAAGTACATCTGCTTATACAACAAAAAGACTGAGCTCTTCAGCACGTTGATAGGACTGCAGACTCCTCCAAAATGCCCAGGATGGTTGTGGACTCACGCTGGTACTCTGCATTGTGGGCAAAAAGGTCGCTTGCAGCTCTGCTGATTGAAGGAAAACAGCGTTATATGTGGATCAGGATCGAAAGAGATTTCGGTCGTAGGTATCCGAATTTACATGTGCGTTTACGGCAAGCAAGCATACACTTTACAAGACTCATCAATGCGCTCACTCGCACCTACAGCAATAGATTGCACTGCCTAAATATCTATTCAAAAGGCGCGGACAGTGGAACTATGATGGCTAAATACTTTAGGTTTGTTGGGAAGCCCTGTCAGGACAATGAGCTGCTAGTTCTAATTATATCAAGTGGTAATATTCGATGATTTAAGATCTAATTAAATGCTAAGAGCATTTTAACCCTATTTTGTGCAAGGATAGCGTAAAAGTGGCGTGCATCTCAAAAGCAAACTGGAGCTCCCTGATGACAAAGCAAGAAAGTCATGGTACAGGCAGATGATTCAAGTACTAGTGATCCGGGTAATTAAGTATAGCGAGAGCCGAAACGGGGCTATCAGACATAGAACACTTCTTCACATGCATCAAGGTATCGATTTGATGTTCAAGACTTGCAGATAGCCGGCTAAGCCGCCACAGTTATCAGCACAGATATATGCGCATAGTAGGCATTTTGAGCAGAAGGGTGGATTGTAAGCTTTTCTACCTAGCATAAGGTGCGTGAAATGCGGTATCGCAAACTGCCATCGTCTCCTGAAAGATAATATTTGCCCTCTGATTTACAACTGTGGACCACCGACGGTCATCGAGAAGCTCATCCAGCTCTTCACATGTTAATACTGGGATAAGGTACAATTTACTGAGTTCTCTTACTAAACCTCCCAATTTTGGATTATTCAGATCCTGATGTTGCACCACGACAGCTGCCACGTCCTTCCTGATATAAACCCCGCACATGCACGAGAAGCATAATAAACAAAAAATGCCCCCGGTTTGCAGGCGTCTGTAGTCTGTGACACTTACCTCATATCTAACATTCCGTGTATCTGGATCTCAGAATATTTACTGTCTTTTGAGACAGTTGCTTTGGCTCTCCTCCCTGTTGCCACGGCCTATAGCAGATGATAACCACAATGTCGAAGGTTTGTTTACATGACACTACGCTAGCTCTGTTTCAGCAAGTATAGCCTCGTTACATGTTGTGTTAAGCAGACTAACGTGTATCCTAGTGGCTTCGTGAGACGAAACTGTCTCTAAAACATGCCACAAATGATCGAGTGTTCCCACTCGACGGATGTTGGGACCAAGGTTCTCCTTGCTAGTTGCCACAGTTGTCCTGGCGCTGTTTCACATGTACACGCAGGGTGACATGGTTTAAAAACCATGGATGAAGGTTCGGAAAACCAGCGTGATTAGGGGGATTTCTGTGTATGAAATGACTCCAATTTAAACAGTTAGGCTCGCCTACTCAGTTTGCTGAACGGCAGCTTTTCAGTTGCCAGCAGTGGCTTCAGCGATGAATAGCGCTCACCGGAGTGAATCTTTCAAGAGAAGATATGCACTTCCAAAGAGAGAAACTCGAGAATCCGAGAAGGGATTGCATACCATGTTCAGCACTCCATACCTGACAACTTCGCATGAAGTACGGCAATTTGTCATCCGATGCCCGTGGGCCTTGTTTATACAAACGTGTGCTTTTGTAGACGTACTTTGGCCGATCTTTTGGCAAAACTGAAGGATCATCATAGAGCTTGTTGAATAGTATCCCCTCCCATTCTCGCCGACTGTTCAAGTAGTGTGCACCTCTAATATTTGTCTCGAAAGCAGTTCTGAGCAAAAGGATTGAGCATCTGCATGAAAGAGTCTGACAAAGCTATGAGCGTTCGCATCGTTCAACAGGCACTTCATCTTCGTTTGCAGATTGACTTTGCCGATCTGCTCCGACAGCTTAGACACAGCGGCTTTCTTTCATCTTACCTGTAAAAAGGATCCTTGAGAAGGAAAGGGAAAAGTTCTTGTATGTCAACACGAATCGTTAGGGGCACTTTCTTCGCCATATATACTTCAATTGCGGAAAAGTCTGCCTCAGGAATATCGAAGACACCCCAACCCCTCTTGAGTCTAGCCTTTGCGGCAGTGCTTTCAACCTCAGCAATCCTTGCTACGTGTTCCATCACCTGCTGCTGAATAGGAGTTAAGCTCTGAAACTCCAACGCCCATACTGGGAGTTCGTGCCAGATGCGACGGGAATATGATCTGCTCAATCGTCTTGACCCGTAACATCTACTTCTGTTTGAGCTTGTGCATGTTGCCCCTACGCTTTCTTGGGAGCTCGTTCGTGTGCTGAGCATCGCAGGTGAGCATTTCACTTTTGTCGAATTTAGTATCTCAGTTCTGCTCTGCAAGCTGCGGATTGAATTGCTGCTCAGGTGATTATTTGTTTCCCCCAAGTGTTTGGAACAGCCTTTGCCGCTATTTGGTGGATCCTGCTGCGGTCTAACCCCATTCTCAAGGAACGCCATTTCCATCTATGACTGTGAGAATCTAATGTTCAAAATTACAGTCGATGACGAAGCAACAAGTGGTAGAGAGGTGTGACTCGGCATGTCTTTTACCAAATCCCATCTATCTGCTCAGTCCGCAGGCAAAGCGCAAAGCAGCAGCCGATGGTCCAAACGTACTGGCTTCCACATGCACTCAAGCCCGTTGTTGTACTGAAAATATAAATACCATTCTTACCCTTTAAAATAGGGGGTAGCATACAGTTTAGGCTATGCCAAGAGATTGTAGATACTAACGGATACACACAGCGCTTTTCCATCCCTTTGCAGGGCTCAAGTGGTTTTCAGGTACACGTTCGAGTGAAACAGTTTACTGGTTGGTTTATGCGGCTTAAAACGATTGAATTGAACCTCTTTCCTCTTTTCTAGCGTCGTTTGCAACGAAAGCATTTTCGGTAATTTTGGGGTGGTGGCTTCCCAGGGGCCATAACATTCGCAAACGCGTAGTAGCTATTGAAACAAGGTCCCTCAATAGCTCCTTCACAGACTAGTAATGTTTTTTGCATAGTATGAAGTGAGAGAGCTTAATTAAATACTGCATTGAAGGCTAACTGCCTCTGGCTTGTAAAAGAGAATACGGGCGGTGACCTTACCGGTTCTGCAGTGCCCATGGGGACTTCTGATGCTCACTAGTGGTACCTGCACATCACTTATTAAAAGGGCGCCCTAAGCAAAAGCTATTCCTATACTATTAAAGCTCTGATGGACACTAAAGCGCCGGAAAATAATCTGAATGAATCCGAGGCATGCAGGACTTGTTTAGGACTGACGGTTGCTGGCGCTTCCCCGGCGTGTGCCAATGCGAGCACTACACATGTCCTGCCAGGAACCGAAGCCACGGAATAAGGTAAAGCTACTGATTACATACTAAGACCTATATGAGAGGCATTTCACTTGCTTCGCAATGCACACAGCGCAGCAGTAACTCGAGGACACCAGTGTTGGTGTACCGATGCATGATTGGCAGCAAACTTCTAGTCCCAACGTTCCATAGTTTGAGAATTATCTCTTACAGGCTACTTTATCAAGAGCACCTGACAAAAAAGTAGGTCTCCTTTCTTAGGCTGCAATGTTTCATTGTAACTGCATCTCAGATGGATTAATAATGACGAATTTTGATGTGAACAACTGCCAAGTTCATAGAAATGTTCAGTACCATTTAAATATACGTGAACCGCCTTGTGCAGAACTGGAAGGGCAAGCCTAGCCAACGGATTTGGTGGGGAAAATGCACTATCAGAGCGAGAAATCGGGGTATCATGATGCAAGTTAGGCACAGTCCAGCAAGCCTAGAGTGGCCCTGTACTTCGAAGATGCATCTAAAATAGGTGAAAAGCAAACATGTAGGACCTTTGTTAATGTCTGCACATGAGCCACGAAGGCAGTCAGCTAGAATACGTTTCGGGTGCTAGCTGAGTCGAGATATTAGTACAGTTGCAAAAGCCTCGAGGGTATCATCTGACCCTAGAAGGTCCACCGATTTACGATCTTTCGGTTGCTGTAGGCTCGGCAGTAGCACGTTTACCTTGCCCAAAAATGTACATCAGGCGACGATCCTGAAAGACAATCCTCATACCAGGATCTTGTTGTCTTCAGGCATATTTTCTTGCCCGCTCCAGAGGGTTGACTTTTGGAATGAAAGGGGGACTTCTGAAATGGTGGCCTGATGGCTAGATTTTCTACATGGTGTGCACCGCCTTCAGCCGTTCCGACCTGAAATCATGCCCATTTCAAATAGTATAGACCGGCTAAAATTTAAATGAATAGTAATAACATTAGGGCCATCGGAGTTTGATATGTCTGCTTACACACCACGCCTATTTCAAACTTTCCAACAGGTGACTGGTTTAGGAAAGTATTTATTACTTACTAACAGTCTTACTAATTGTGCGAACTTCCTTCGTTTCCGCAAAGCGCTTCATGTTAAAAATATATTTATGCTCTCCGAAACCTGGAACAGATACAGGTGGCAAGTAGACGGTTCATCGCTAAGTCAATACATTCCGGAGTTTCGCGGTATGGCAGCCTCATACAAATTTTTAGCTCTTTGCTAGCCCATAAAGAATTTTATTCATTGGTGTTACATTGAAGAAGCCTAAATAAGAAGGTCTGTTTTAAACATATTTTGATATTCTACCAATATTCTAGTTCAAGTGTCCCAGACTGTGTACCTCGGTTAGAATGATACCATTAATTTATTATTTTCCAACTCGTGTAGAGTATTACCGTTTCCCGCTCTGCCGCCTAGTAAGCCTTTCAAGGGAGTCTGCCGAAGTTTCTGAATTTATTTACGTGCACAGGGATTTTCAAGCCGAGCAAGCAGCCAGTGATGAGCTTGTATCTAATTTAAACCAGCGGGGTATTTCACTGACACAGTAGGTTTGGCCTTCAACGTGATATAGCGATTCTTCGAATGCAGGCAATGTACCTTGAAAAGTCTTACTCTTCGAGGCATGGGGCATCCTTTTTCCCTAAATATGTTTCAGAAACCCATTTTATGGCTGTGCATGCCGAACTGCGTGAAACATAGCTCAAGAACATGCGAGAAACTCCCAACTAATGCTCCTATACAGGTCCTTAAATCGAACCCATGCTTATTGTAACGCCTCATCCAGGACTCCCTTGGACGAACAGAAATTCAGTGTTTTCCTAAAGAACTCTTTTCTTCCTCTGCGTGAATCACATACTTTTTGACACAAGCGGAGAGGGACCGCTACGGTGCACGTAGTTGCATCCTCGGAGTATTCCCAGCCTTCATGCCTAGCTGAACAAAGCATATAGCGCACACGTACAAAGCGTTCCGTCTGCTTGAATCGCGCTAACTGTATAGTGAGCGCAATGAATAAATCACGCAAGCAAACAAACCAGTCTATCAGTTCTTTTAAGTGAAAAACTCTAGTGTACTAAAAGGTGTCCAACTGCATCTTAGCTCACTGCATCTCCCAATATCAAACACGTATTCTCGTCTTCTAAAGCTGATGTCGAGACCAACTGGGTGCACGACAGCGGCAGACTTCCAGCCCTCTTGCCGCTCACTGGCAGGCATGAACGCGAAAATGTGCAACCGAGGAAATAAAATGTGTGCGTCAACCTCTGAAGTTTGATCTTTAGAAACATCGCATACACATTAGCAAACAACAAACGAGGGACCAAACCACCACGACCGCGGCGACGCTGTAGCTTGCCGTCGTCACGTTGAAATCTGTTAGCCTCCTGCCAAGGGAAGCAGATAAAAGATAAAATGTGTGGGAGAAATCCAGCTTCCACTAGTTTGGTAATGCCTCCACCTCACATTTGACCGCTATCTGCATGCAAACCAGCTGGTGCACCCACCATTGTGGACTTGACAAGCCCAAAGCAGTCAAAGGCGAAAATGTAGTGAAGACAAGTTTAAGAATGCCTGATCGCAAACCTGAGTTTAGAAAGCACCTGAAAGATAGGAAGCGCTACGATTTAAGCAATAGTCATAGATGAAGATGGCTATTTCAGGCAGAGTATACGCGGGGGAGCAACAGTTTTGAAGAATCGCAAGCAATATTGCCATGGCGACTAAACAGCAAGTTCTTTCGCAGAAAACAATATCCAAAACTGCTCCTCGGTCAGCCACTTCAGTTTGCGTCTCCATCTCATTCCACTAGTGGCTCCCGCATAGTAGGCGCTTGGCGCTCAATAGTGCTGGACTTCAGCATATCTACGACTCCATGTGAAACCTCCACCTCCACATAGTTCCCTAGCGTGCGTAGCACGGTCAATGAAGAAATTGAATAATTTCGAAACTCCTTTACCTGTGACACGTTGGGATGGTTAGGAAATCGACATACTAAGAAAAGGCGATGAATTGCAAGTGGTTCAAGGTTCCTGGTTGCATATTAATTGACTTGATATACTTCTGGTGCAACTAGTACAGCTTGCTGATCCAGCAGCATCAGACCTCCAGGCTTAAAAAGAACAGCCTACCTCCACTGGTCTTACTGCTGGCTTATAATTCCTTAGCTCTGTGCACACCTTGAAAAGCTCTAGCCACCGATTTTTTGAATCCCGCCTACTGCAGTATCTTTGGTTCTGGGTCCACACATATCCAATTATGTGACTTGCTTTTCTTCCCTATCCTCTGCTCTCCCGGAACCCTGATGTACACCGAGGAGCTTCAATCTAGGCCTGGACCTGGCACTCAGAGGGGCAGCAGGCACCGTTAGTAGCATAGGGAGTGGTTTGCCTAGGCCATACAACGGTCAATGTGCACGCGGTTACCAAGGCACACCGAAACGAACTGAGAAAATCGAGATTTTACTTTTGACGATAATCTCGGAGAATTTACAAAATTCTAAAGCTTAAGCATAAGGTCAACAACTGAGCGGCGGTTCGCGCTGAGGGAGCTGGAGCAATGGATAAAATATACCTATTTGCTGTCTATACAATGGCGTAGATGCTACCCTAATTTCAACCTCGGGCAGTTCAAAACGAACGTCCACATTTAGAAGAAATTCAGAATTTTTCGCAAACCCAAATCCTTTGCAATAGGCCAGACTTAGGAAAATCGGGCTTCAGCGGCCGAGATTCTGGGCAGGAGAGTGCATAATCCTCCTCGTAGGATGCATCGCAAGGCACTAAAA